AAAGTAAATATATACTATACTAATATATTATTTATATTGTGACCTGCTCTCAAAAAGTAAATAAATACTACGCTATTTTACTAAACTTTGAATATTTGTAACTGGAAAATGCATATTTAGTAAACACGTGTGTGAGTGGACGGCCAGGTTGGGACCCAGTGCACTAAGACAGCCCGTCAAGTGAAGGTGCCCTTGTGGTTGTCAGTTAAGCTATTACTGCTACATCAGCTTTAACCAGAAATCCCTAAACAATAAGGGAAAGACAAGCACCCTTGGACTTTCATGTGTAATTTCCAGCACTGTGCTCATGAGAAGGTTACAGTGCTGGGAAGTCAATGGTCAAAATTAGCCTGATCCTTGGCCCCTTGGGACTTGCCCTTAAGGTAGCTGAATCTACGGACATGTTCAGTATTTAACATTCAGGTTATTGGAAAACTCTTTGTCTTTCAAAGAGTGGACACAATTGGGCTACACTCTGCTGCTTGAGGTCCCTGTTACTTCACCATTTCCCTCCAGCTTTGCAATTAGGAACTTCACAAAGCAGTTCAATAATCAATATTCAAAGACAACCACGCAAATCTAATTCCAATCACAAGCTGCTCCATATAGACGTAACACTGCACCAGCTGGATGCCTTGCCGGCTTGATGGCACTTTCCTATCCACTAGTCTCAAGAGTAGACTCAGGGCTCTCGTGAACATAATCTTTTCTGTGAAGAAATCTCTCTCCATCAAGAAATCACTTGAGATTAAAACTTCTCTGTTCCTGAAATACTCCCGGGCTGCAGTCAAGATTTTGTGTTTGTGTAATGTGCAATTATTTGTTGATTTAATATAAGGTGTAGTATGAAAGGAATCATCATCATCATCATCATCATCACTGGTGTTGGAAATTGATCAAAATCTCATAACTGATGTGGTACCAGATGATGATGATGATGATGATGATGATGATGATTAGAGAACTACTGCACATCAGTGTGTATTAATTATATAATAAGGCCTGGTAAAGAATATATTCCAAACTGATGAGTAGGGAGGGAGAGTTTCTTTGTTTTCGATTATTTCTTTTTGTAGGTAATTACCAACCTTAAAAATTGTATTGGTTTTCATGTACACTGTCATTTCTTTTGGTCACATCCTCTGCAACCAAAGAGACAGGTTTGAAGCAATCCAGCATCCTTGACAATCCAACTCTTAAAATTTCATGGAACGTGCAAAAAGTTGGAATTTTGAACAAAAACAAAATTTGATTTGTAAGGTTGTTTTGTAAGGTTGTGCGATCAAATTTAAAACCTGATGGGTCGTGAGATATGAGAAATCTATTTCAGTAATTTTCAGCAGCCTGAAGCTGGAATCGATGTGGAGGTTTCTACCAATTGCCAACACTTCTGACTCCATTACCCAAATAGTTCCTGCAGGAATGAAATTACTCAGCAGGCCTGTCACCTTCTGGATTCAAACGTTTAATTGTTAGGGTAATCAAGGCAAAAAGAGCCCTAAGGATGCACATTACATCACGTACATGACATTATACCTCACTTATTTAGCTTTAGACTCGACGCCCACAGGCAGCACGATAGGATGTTGTTCTTTTGTGTGCTTGATGTTAAACTCAATTAAGTTGATTGCTGGGTGCTTCCAAATACAGGTTGTGTTTCTATAGAATGTAATAAGCTCATTTACTGGTTGATGGACGGTGATTACTTGTATTGAAACCAGAATTTATTCAATTAAAGTTTAAACTTGCTTCTTTCTCAAGATAATTAATGATAAACATGAGCCAGTGAATGTGACTCTGGCAGTTCAGGGCTTGGTTTAAGAACTAAAGTCGACCTGCGCCAAGTAACTCTTCACATGCAAAGCTTGTTGAAACAGATGAAAGCAGGTTGTGCCCATAAGTGTGTCTAGGACTGGAAATATTGCTGTGAAGTAAATAATTAACAACTGGTGGCATGTTGGAATGGTTGAAAAATTGTTTTATTGATTTTCGTTGTTCAGGAAAGAAATAATGTGATGATTAGTGGTGGTCTGATTACTTGGAATAATTGAAGATTGGTCGCCTAGACTAAACAACCAAGCAATCGATCATGTTTTCTCATAATCGAACAAAAGCAGTTTTGGAACACTTGTTGCATTAACAAAAAATTTCACAAGGTTGGTTTTGTCTGTTACATTTCATAAGCACTATAAGCTCATTCCAAGTCATGACTGAATTTATCTTAAAGAAATTATGTTCCTAACATACTAGTCATCCTTTAAAGATGTGAAATTTGCAAATGCATATTTGTGCAACTTGCAAAAAAACACACGAAAGAACCACGGGTTTTTTTTATTTTTGTGCATTAACAAACATAACCAGGAAAATTTGATAAATGACGCTTACCAATTATTTTCGATGATTGATCAAGAAATGGGCCCATGTGTGAAGCCCATGTCTTGGAGCAAGAATTAACTCTGAAACGTTGTATAAAGAATAAAAGAAGTTGTAAACTTTTCAAGTATTTAAACTTAAGCTGTTTCAGATTTTAAGTTCATGCAACACATTCAACATGTTCAACGCCACTTCAATCAGTAGTAGTAACCACTTCACCCATGACCAATTGCGTAGATCGATGCTCATACTGTTGATCACTGGATTGTCTGGTCCAGACTCGATTATTAACAGACCACCGCCATATAGCTGGAATATTGCTGAGTGTGGCATAAACTAAACTGACTGACTGACTGACTGACTGACTCACTCACTGACTCACTGAATCACTGACTCACTCACTCACTCACTCACTCACAGCCAATATGTCAATGTAATGACAATAACAAAAACCTTTATATCTGTAAAGAATACTTATCAATTTGACAACATATTTTATGAAGCTTTGCAAAATTGCATTCCAAAAATGCTAATCAACTGAACCAGATGATCATTTTGTAGTGCATACAAAATGATATTCCTAAAAGGAAATTCACAGGAGTTGGTATTCAAAATAAAAGATAAAGCTGAACTAATGACACAATCAATAACATGTATTCATCATGATTAATGCAACAAGGGAAAAAATCTTAAACACTCCTAAAAAACGAAATGCTCAAACTCCACAATGAAAGCAATGGGTGCTTCTGATAATTAGGCAAGACAATAACAATTGGCATATGACTGGCACTTCCAGTATTATAGCTAACAGTTGCAATTACTAACATTATACATCACACCTGTATCAATCTCATTACAATAGTTACATAACCTGATCATCTGTGAAAACAAGGAACTTTACTGTTACAGTAATTAGCCCTCAGTTTAGCACCTAGGTGCTAATCAGCAGGATTCAGCTACCACTGTAATTTAATTAATTAGTAATTAATCTTGACTGAGACTTCAGTCTCTGGTCTAAAGACAAGTCAAATAAATGTGTATTTGGTCTTGTAAGCTGAGTTAACAATCAGGAGTATGATAATACTAAAATCTACTGAAAATTATAATAAGAGTAAATGACTGAATGTGAGTTAATGTGAGTTATGTGTCTAGAAAATTAGGCGTGTCAAAAGGGCACAGAGAACATTTTTCAGCCGTGCCATTTCAATATTTACTGTGCCATGGCACACTAATATATGGAGTATTTCGAACCCTGTAAGAGAAACTGTTTAGGGTAGGAGCCTCTACAGTCAGTAGCCTGGACTGTCAGTCTGGATGACGTCTTAAACAATTCAATGAAATGACATGAGGAAGATAACACTTTCAACATTCAAACTAACTTTACCAGTCAGATGAAATCTAAAGAAACTAGAAGCACTCGTTCATACATTGAAACTGGCTGTACATTTATGTTTTATCATCATTAGTTTATTTAGAAATCCTCACACATAAATTAACAGCACTCATATTTTTTAGTGAAGTGTTGTTCAGAATGGTATGTAAAAAGGCACTTGGACAGAAAATGACATTGAGGTACTTCACCTCAATATGAAGCACACACTAACAGAAACGTTCATGAAAGCAACACAAATACTGGGTCTGGGACAATACTGAACATGCTGAAGTGACACACATAACAATTCCATGGAGAAGAAAAGGATGGCAGTGTGTAGCCATGCATTAAAAGTGATACCAAAGAAATCATAAGAAACATGACAGCGGTGTCAGAATTTTTCTTGATCATTTCAGCCATGGCATATTTGTGTGTTCATGAGCTAAAACATGACTTTTACACAAGGTTTAGCAAAAAGTCAATAGCATACCTTTACCACAGATGACATATTAGGTCATGTAATTCAGAAGTGAACGAAATAACTTCTTATTCCAATCTTTTGAAGAGCATGATAAGTCAAAATGATCTGATCTAAACATACAGTCAAATCCCGATGAGTCTAATGCCGGTGTCTCGAATATTCCCTGTTATAGTTGTCATCATTTGATCAAAATTCGATAAATACACACGATGACTGATTTGGTCCCATGAGATTCAAACAACAGCAATCTTGTATACATAAGTTCAAATGTGATTGGTGTAGCAAACTGATCTTAAAAACCAGCTGCTCATTACACGGGTGAGTTCACAATCACACTGTCTGTGCTAATCAGACTGGAACTGATAAGGTTATTAGTGATAGGGAAATCATTAGATAAACAAATCTTAGGCGGAGGAATTAGGACTGGACATTTTTCTACCCTCATAGACATACCTATGTCTCGATACATCGATAAGTTTTCCCCACCGATTCGACTCATCGTTTGACTGTAGTTGTATTCTTTACACACTACAATCACATGTCATTAAATATTTAAGAACACATCCCTACTTTGTTGATTGCAATTTTCGTGTCAGTTTTATTGAACACCTTACAATAGATGTAGGGTTGGGCTTGGACGGGTGATTTTGTTACTCTGGTCGCGTGGGTATTTGAAACACCTGAAGTGTTTTGGGGTTTTTTTTGCAGGGAAAAGATTGCCAGTGTCACCTTCAATGCTTAATTGTAACACTAGTAAAAATAAATATACATTACCTAGAGTTCTGACTCTTTCTTCTTCGAACTGTGTTATCTCACTCAGAAGAATGTTTCTTTGATCTTGATTTAAAGAATAAATCAGATCCCGAGCACTCTGGTGGTCGTAGAAGGTAGGCTTGTAACCACTATGCGCCAACTTGGGAAGTGAAACGATCACTTTCGGCACTGTCAACATTTGTATCCGTGCGAATTTCCGAAAATTTGTTCGCCGTGAAGCAAGAGCAACACACCTCAAACACATGTTTGCTGTCAAGGAAGACATCGCGAAAAAAGATTCCTATGTGCGTTAGGTGAATCGATAAGCAGTGTCTGCTGTTCTAATCTGTGAAAGCACCACACACTACAGTGCTCTCCCTTGCGGATTTCCGGGTTTGAGGGAGGTGTCGTTTAAAGATTAATATATATTTTGTCCCATCCATTTTACTAGAATAGTTAATAGATATTTCGAATTAGTATTGATATAGTTATGTTTGAAATTTATTATACTGCTTTGAGTGTCGTCGATAAGTCTGATTATTACATTATAAAAACTAAATGATAGCTATAAAGAATTGGTCCCTTATCAATGGTCATATGATTTCAAAATGGTGGCGCATCGCAACATAATGCTTTGGCTCGCTGCTTTGGTAATTTTGGGTTCCTGTGCAGCACAGACGCCTATTGTGATATGGCACGGGATGGGTAAGAAATAGTCTCTTGAGATAACTAAATTATACTGACATATATTCTTTGCAAAAGGATAGTATTATTACCATTGTTACAAATAGCACACGCCCTAAACACTTTCCCAGACAGTAGTCAGTCGTTTATGTTGATTTGAATCGTTCGTGAAAACTCTGATTGACCAGTAAAGAAACTACCTCTAGTGGCATAACTTGTCATATGCTTTGCTGTACAGAACTGTCCGCTTTGAGTGTCAGACTCTATATAGAGTCATGGTTTCGAATCCTTGGTTACGTTTCCAGGTTTGTTGGCACCTAGCCGAGAGCCGCGATGCGGTCCTATACAGTCAACACATGACCCTGCATCGCGGCTCTCGGCTAGTTGGCACCATATCTGTGCTGAAAGGTGTCAGCGGAGTATGAAGCGTATTGTATTGTTATTTTGATTGTAACGTTACATTTAGCATTGATTGCTTATGCAGTACCTAATGTCATGTTTTGATAATCATAATGAATGGACTATGCGTGAGTGAGTGAGTGAGTTGTAATTTCATTTTTTTCCTACAGTCATCCAGAATCTTATAAAGATTATCAATGTAATTAAAAATATATGATTGTAAAAATATTGATTGCTTTGTTTCTCTACAGGGGACAGTTGTTGTAACCCGCTGAGTATGGGCAGTATAAAGTCTCTCATTCAGAAGAACATCAATGGCGTCTATGTCAAGTCCTTGGAAATAGGCAGCAATGTTGCAGAAGTAAGGACCCAATCTGATGTGTCTCTGGAAGTGGAATATGGCTCTCGAATGACTCAGTGCAAAGTGCTGCATGTCCTAAAAGGCGGCTAATTTTGAAGTGATGGTCCAGGATTCAATCTAATGTGTCCTTGTACGCATGTTAGAAGGGCTCCACTGCACGTTGTTGCTTGTTGTAAAGTGCCTATTTTTAAGTGGCAACTATTTTATAGCTTAGCGATGGTCAACTATAGCTATGTTTAAAAGTCCCGTCAACAGTCCTTATAATATCATTATGTCATCATGAGCTGTGGCTATGCTTAACTGATCTTTGATTATTAGCTTTCACTGTCACTCAGTTGGTCTGGAATCAATTTATTGATGGTCATTAATTAATTAACAAAACAAACATTCGTGTTTAACCCATTCTCAACAGTTTTCGCTGAAGGATAGTTGCCGTAGTATGATTGGCTGCCATACATTAACATTATCCTTATAGCAGACTTGGCAAAAAGCGACATTAGAATGTGACTTGTATGTGACATGGCTTATTGAATGTCATCATGAGTTGTGTCATGGATCTTTGATTATCTTTCCTGTCACTTGTTGGTCTGGAATATTTACAGGCCTGTGAAATAGCTGCAATATTGCTGAGACAGTTATCAATGTTTACTTTGTTAACAGAAGTAACAAGACAATTATTTTGGACTACTTTCATAAAGCAATTTTAGCTCTAAGACAATCGTATGTTCACAAGGTTCACAGAGCCTGCAGAGCACTGTAAAAGTAATTTTGACTTGAAAGGGCCTTAACAAAAAAATATTCAAATGCTTTTGAATTTAGCAACTATTGTTTTATCTATGCTAAACAATGATCTTTAAATGTTTCTTAATATAATTATGAATAATAACATCTTGTATGAATAGATTAGTCTGTAATTCAATCAATGAATGCTACTTAACACTGATGTGTGGACTGTTTTATCATTGTTACACTATGAAACTGTATTACTATTAGGATGTACAAATGCTTTGATTGCATTCTGACAATTACTGAGAATGCCCTAATAAATATATGTATATGTTAAATTTTTTTATCTTAGTTTCACTAATAAATGTGTGATTATTACCTTGAAAAGTGTGAATAGTGTCTTGGAAAGTGTTGTCATTGCTTGAAAATGCTTAATTATTATTATATGATATTTATATAGCGCACATATCCAGGCAACTAGTGTTTGCTCAAGGCGCTGGTATTTTTTCCCTCGATCATTGGATGTCAGTCTCGACGGCACATCGTATTATCAATCTCAACTCCCTGGGGAGCATACAACTCTTGCAGCCACTAGGTGCACCGAGTTATTGTGGCCTTCTCATCCTAACGAGGTACCCATTCACAGCTAGGTGGACTGGGACACATAGTCACAGTACTTTGTCCAAGTTCACTGCACGTTGCTGTACCCGCAACTTGGTGTTTGCACGTATTCATGTGGCCACCATCTGGTCATATACCAACGGATTCGTGGGTTCTTTTAAGTGCACAGGGATGTGTACTGTACACTAGGGGTTGTGACAACACTGAAAGAGTCTGCACACAAAGTTGACTCCGAGGGTTTTACACCCGGTCACAGGTGGGCTCGATCCCGACACCTCAACCTCGCTGGATCACTAGCCTGGCACCTTAGCCAGCTCGCCCACCGCGCCCCATGAAACCATAAGCATGATAAGGCAGTTCCAGTTTTGTAGAAACCAGAGAGATTTATCAAGGATTCAAAACTAGGTCACCCTGTCATGCATAATTCCTTTAATTGAAACATATTGAATATAATATGATATGATATAATATATATTGAAAAATAAACTTTAAAGCATACAATGAAATAGTAATGTGTAACAGGGAGAAAAAAAAGCCATTCAAAGCTTTTCATAAACAAATGCTTGGTTATGTGTCTCATGAAAAAATAATTCCAACCTTGGTGACATGTTTCTTGAAGTGCTTTCAGAGAAATTATTGTTGTGATATTATTTATCAATATTCATGATAAATATTAAAAATCAATTACAATGTTGACTGTTGAGTTGTTGCATTAAAATCTTCTTGCTGGTTTCCATGGTTACAGGACACAGAGAATGGATTCTTCATGAACGTCAACAAGCAGATTGACATGGTCTGCCAGCAGTTGGCCAATGACAAGAACCTGTCTAATGGCTACAACGCTATTGGATTCTCCCAGGGGGGACAGTTCTTGTAAGTGTCAGCCTTCCTCTCTCTCTTCCCCCATCTTCTCCCCCTCCCCCTTCCTCTCTCTCTGACCCGTGAAGATCTGGGATAGAACTGGTCTTCAGTAACCCATGCTTTCCGTAAGAGGCGACCAACGGGATCGGGTGGTAAGGGTCACTGACTTGGTTGACACATGTTATCATATCCCAATTGCGTAGTTCGATGCTCATGTTGTTTATCACTGGATTGCCTGTTCCAGACTCGATTATTTATAGACCGTCGTCATATAGCTGTAATTTTTCAGAGTGGCTAAAATTAAACTCAATGAATCAATCAATCGTCTTTCTCTTTCGTATCTGTTGATAAAATACTGTGACATTGAATTATAAACTGACTCACTCATACTTTTTTTAGTCTACATCACTGTTACAATTGTTACGATGTTTCTCCTTGTTTATTTAGGAGGGCCATCGCTCAGAAATGTCCTACTCCCCCCATGCTCAACCTGATTTCAGTTGGAGGACAACACCAAGGTAAAGTCAGCCTATTTGTCAATATCCCAAATAATTATTACAGCGACAAAACAAGAGACTTTTTGTAAAAATATTGTGTAAATGGGTTTTACCTAAATTAATGTATTTTTAATCTTATCCTATCTCATATAATCCACTTTATCTTCTACTTTTTGCATTTGCTGGGAAGCCGAATTTTTTTCCCATAGTAATGACTGTGTTCTTCGAAAGTACTTAAAATATCATGGAAAGCTTTCAGAGTCCTTTTATTATATACTTTTCAACAAAAAAAAGTATTTAAAATATCATGGACTGACTGACTGAGTTTAGTTTTACGCCGCTTTTAGCAATATTCCAGCAATATCATGGCGGGGGACACCAGAAATGGGCTTAACACATTGTGCCCATGTGGGGAATCGAACCCGGGTCTTCGGCGTGACGAGCCAACGCTTTAACCACTAGGCTACCCCACCGCCCCAAAATATCATGGAAAGTTTTCAGTGTCCTTTTATTATATACTCTTCACAAAAGTAGGGGAACTTCTATTTTAATTACGATTGAAAAAATTGGTAGATATATTGGAGTCAGTCAATGTTGATATGATATTGATGAATGTTTTGAGAGTAGTGCATCACCACTTGCACTTTGCTGTGACCATAGTTGTTTGTACAGTAATCGCTCTTGAAAGATGATTGGTGTGAGATAGGATAAGGATTACAAATGTACAATTTACAGTTAATATTTTGAAAATTAACTTTTACAATGTCATCTGAGAAATTGAACAAATTAAAACTTCAATGTGAATCTTTTTTCATCAGGTGTGTATGGATTCCCCAAGTGCCCAGGAGACAACGGCACCATCTGTAACCTGGTCCGGAAGATGCTCAACTATGGAGTATATGTTTCGTGTGTACCTTGATATTTGTTTCTAGACTTGTAATAATGGTAGCAGATATGCCCACTATATATTCATGATACTAATTTTAAGTGAATAGTTTTTACCAGTAAGCATGCAAACCATGCCTAACAGTTTATGTATCGGACTGTTCCTTTCAAAGATTGTAGGGTAAACGTGATAAATGTTCCAATATTCTATAGTAATTGGAATAGATCTCCCCAATATATACATGATGCTAATTTTAAGTGAATGGTGTTTACCAGTAAGCACACAAACCATGCCTAACAGTTTATGAATCGGACTGTTCCTTTCAAAGATTTTAGGGTAAACGTGATAAATGTTCCAATATTCTATAGTAATTGGAATAGATCTGCCCACTATAATGCTCATTCACAATGCTAAATTTAAGTAAACGTTTTTTACCGGTAAGCATGCAAACTGTTCCTTTCATGATTTGTAGGGTAAATGTTATAAATGTTCCAACATTCTAGTTATCTATAGTTGTCATCTCAGCATTGGTACTACAACTACAAATTTAAACCAAATGATTTCTGTCCCTGCCTTTATTATGTGAGAAGCTTCATAACAGACATATTGATGAAGTCAATTCTCAGGATGATTACATTTAATCATAAACTGATGACATGTGACACACTTTTACAATGTAGAAAATGTTAAACAATCTTTGAGAAGGAAAAAGCCTCTCATGAAAAATGAAAATTGTCATTGTTATCAGTCATTTTCCTTATCCGGTGTCTTAATCCACTTTTTCAGGTTTGTGCAGGACAAGTAAGTACTTCAGGGTGGCGTTGTGTTTGCTTGGTTGTTGTTTTACGCCGCACTCGGCAATATTCCAGCTATATGGCGGCCGTCTGTAAATAGTCTGGACCAGACAATCCAGTGATAGACGTCGTGACCATCAATCTCCGCCTTTGGGATATGTTGACATGTGTCAACCAAGTCAGCGAGTCTGACCACACAATTCCGTTAGTCTCCTCTTACAACAAGCATGGGCTGCTGAAGACCATTCTAACCCAGATCTTCATGATTACATTATGTTTGTAGCAGCACAAGAAATCTCTGTGTTCTCATGATGACACAATTTCCCATGAAGTTAGGCTCTTGTAGTATACCAGAGACCTCTTGATTCAGATTCACCTTGAGTTTGTTATAGATTTGTTGGCATTCCTCGGAAGTTTGAGCAAAGCTTGACAAGTTGAAGACTTTCCATGTGTTTCGAAATGAGAGCAATGAATTGCTAAAAAAAATCAAGATCGAGTATTATTGTCGACAGTTGTGTTGGGTCCATTGTATTGCAGATGTAAACATTACCGGTAGATAATCGAGGATTGCAGTACCGTTTAGTGCAACTATTACAAAATATGTCAGTGTTGTTTTGAACTATCCCAATGCTCACATGACCTAGTTGTCTCCCCTTAGCCTGGTGCAAGCCGAGTACTGGCAGGACCCTCTCAATGAAGAGGAGTACCGAGCCAAGAGTGTCTTCCTCGCCCGACATCAACCAGGAGCGACCGGTAAGCATCGTCAATTGAAATCCAGTCATTTTATTTAGGGTTAGTTTTATTTGTTTTCCTGTTGTTGTGTTGTTTGGGTGGTAGGATGACGTCTCCTATTCTAAACATGTTTTCTATACAGGCTTCAGATACTCCATTTAGGAGCTGTAACATACATAATTTGGCCGGGACCTTGACCTGTGTAGCCTCTGCTTACTCACTCCTTCTCTACAGACCAGGGCCTAGATTTTGGAAGCTCTCTTAGCGCTAGGATAGTCGTAAGTTAATGTTAATGAATGGCACTTACGACTATCTTAGCGCTAAGAGAGCTTCGAAAATCTAGGCCCAGGGTGGTTGGGTGGCCTTGTGGTTAAAGCATTTGCTCATCAGGCCAACAGCCCGTGTTCTATTCCCCATGTGTACAATGTGTAAAGCCGATGTCAGGTGTCACCCGCCTTGATATTTCTTGAAGATTGCTAAAGCAGTGTAAAACTAAATTCACTCACTCACTGCAGACCAAGAACATGACGTACAAAGAGAACCTGCTGAAGCTGAAGAACATGGTGCTGGTGATGTTCCTGCAGGACACCATGGTGCAGCCCAAGGAGAGTGAGGTCAGCAGCATTAGTGGACATACAATATCATTATTATTGATAATGTTGATAAATCTTATTGATAACAATCATGCTCAACTTCAAACTGACACATTACATGGATGTGGGATGTACAACCAACGCTGCCTGTCATATGGTAAACATTATCGCATATTATCATCTAATCCTACCGGGTACCCACTAACTGCGGGATGATAAAAGCACAATCGTAACAAAGCCATTTTCGTAAAACGTGACACTGGGTGCCGAACCCTAGAAGCATTTATTACGAACTCTGTTCTTGCTCATGCTATCAACCACTAGTTTGTCTGGTCAAGGCTGCTGTGAGAAGGCTGTAATATTGCTGACTACAGTGTAAAGTAAGAATCATACATTTACAGTATTTTGGTAACTACTCGAGAGGAAAGACTACAGAATACCGGATACTTTCCGCCATCTTTGAAAACTTTATAACTGCGCAAAAATATGTCCGCATCTCGACTCGAGTTTTTAGTACTTCGCTACCTTATTGTACTTAGTTTTTTAGCCCTTGGGAAATCGTTACTATCTTCTTTAGGGTTAGTTTAACGAATAGGGTTAGGTTAGGTTAGGTTAGGGTTAGGTAACTTTCCCACACTCATTCTCAACTCCCTGAATTCCGTAGCTCCGTTTTTTCAAAGACGCATATATTATTTATTTGTGATAACTTACCTTTCTTTTTCAAAATCGTTCATTAGTTTTACTAACCAGAAGTCGCCCCAAATAATCCGATTTTAGTGGTTATTTTTTATTTTGATTCTCTCTTATTTTTTCAAATTTTATAGCTCATGCTTCCCTATAATGGAAGTGCATGTGACACTAAACAATATGGCTGGTAGGTATCCGGTATTCTGTAGGTGTACCATTCAAGAACAGTCACAAGGCTGTAATATAGCTCAGGTTCACTGACTTGGTTGACACGTCATCGTATTCCAATTGCGTAGATATGTTCATGGTGTCTTTGAATGGCAGAAGTGATACATATTTCAGAATATATTCTTACCCTTTAAGAATATGCTCTGAAACGTCATGTCCCTCAAAATAGAGAAGTTGGCATCCATAAATTCTTGCCTTGATGTTCATGATGTTGATCACTGCATTGTCAGGTCCAGACTCGATTATTTACAGACCTCCGGCATATAGCTGGAATATTGCTGGATGCGGCGTTAAACAACAAACCAACCAAAAAAAGCTGACTAGAGCATAGCATTTACAGTTTGGGGGAACAATTCTAGAACAATATGTTAGCAGTATTCTACACTGAATTAACTGATTGAAACTGTCACCTTAATATACTCTCATCATAAATAATTTATTATATTTGTTATTCCCAGTGGTTTGGATTCTATGAACCAGGACAGACTGAAAAGCTATACAACATGACACAAAGTGACCTCTACAAGAATGTGAGTATGATCTGGGTCACACTTGCCACATTTGCCGTACGATAAAGCAGTCAATGCTTTTCCGATTTTTTCAACTTCGCTGTTTGACAAAATGTTAGAATCGTGCGATAATCGTACAGCTGCCGCCTGTTGCCGCAGGACGACCACCAGAAATGGAGCTACAGTCAGTTTACAGGCACCCTAGACCCATCGCAGGCCAAATGTGGACAAGGCATATGTCATCCAGTATCAGCATTCACACAACAGAGAACTTTACTTATTCAATATGACCGCCTCCATGGTGTAGTGGTGAGAGCGTCCGCCCTCAGTGCGGAAGGTCACGGGTTCGATCCCCGACCGCGTCATACCAAAAGATGTTAAAATATTGTACTTGTTGGTCCCTGCCTGGCGCTCGGCATTAATGGGTACAACAAGAACTGGTCGGCTCGAAGTCAGTATAATGTGTCTGAGTGGGGTATTCATGCTTCACTGCGGCATGGTATCTCAGTGGGCTAGCACTATATAACCAGCTTCAGTCTGGGCTAGTACAAGCAGCTGCACATACACATACACTAGCATGCACGTCGTCATATGAGCGAAATATTATCAACGTTAAACCCAATTCCATCACCACTTATTCAATATAAATATCTCTGACTGCAACAAAACATATTCTCCCTGTATATATTTTAAAACAATGACAAAATTAACATGAAACCACAAATGTAAATTTTGCAATCATCCTTGTCCTATAGGACTACCTTGGTCTGAAGACGCTGTATCAAAGTGGCCGCATCACCTTCCTGTCATCGGATTCAGACCATCTCCGGTTCACTGATGATTGGTTCATCAACAACATCATCAAACGATTCCTCGTCTAGGCTTTCCCTCCATTCCTTTCTGATACTCTAAGCCCTGATTCTGCTAAAACTGTGTGTTATTCTGCTTAGATGTGTCACAGATGATTACAAATATTCCTGTCATGTTGATTATAAAGAAGGAAATGAGGATTTTGAAGAAATAATTGGAAAAAATACTCCATCAAAATAAAGTTGATTAATTGTACGAAAGTAATTAGCTGTATGGAAAATACATATTCTTTAAGCATGTTCTCAATCAATTTTTTCGAGCCTACATATGTAGAACATTGTCTTAGTTTTGCAATTTAACTTTGAAAAATACTTAACTACTAACCCTCTGGAATTACCATAGATGTATGTGTTCCTGCAGATTTGAAAAAAAAATCCATCAAAATAAATTTTTAAATTTACAAAGTAATTAGGATATTTAAAATACATTTTCTTTAAATATGCACTCAGTCAATCTTTTCTTGCCTACATATGTAGAATGTGTTCATTGTTTTGCAGCTTATACTGTAATCGTAGTTATTTTCACGTGGGATTAATTTTTGCGCTTTTAGCCCAAAAAGATTTTGCGTCAATAATCATACCAAGCGAAATATTCATGGTCAGAGTCATGACAAATACTCAAGTAGGAACAACATGCAATTTGTTTATTCTCTCAAATAACAACATCAAAACAATATACAAAGGAATAGAGGCATATACTAGTATACTAGTAATAGCGATCACAATCAGCAAATGTTTGTTATCAGTTTGTCAATGAATTGATAGCTGATTACTCGTAATCACAAAATGAACGAAGCTCACTTACATCAGTCACAAATCACAATGTTGACACAAGTATAATCCCACCTCTCTCTGATTGTTTTAGTAAACACGATTCAATTATGGCGGCTAGCTTTGATCATTGCATGTCTATCGGTTGTGAAAACTTTGTGATGGATACCATCACTTAGGTGTTTGAAATGCGAGAAAAAACAACTGTGCTAACAGGTCATTTGTAAACTTTCCGCAAAAATTGCTCCCCGTGAATATATACTGGCCACATAAAGAAACTGTGCACACAGAAAATATAAAGATATTCAGACAGTGTCTTCATACATAAATATAGGTGTGAACATAGCAAGCATTGGAGACAATCAAACGCTCATGCAGGTGCCAGGTGACGTGACGGCAGTGACCACGTCCCAAACCATTCCCCAGGCCTTCAATGTTCATTTATCTATGCGTCGTCGATGCACTGCTGTGCTTCACGCGCATGATGGTCATACCCGTTATTGACTGTGACTTCGTCTTGTGACCCCCTACTCAATTGTGAACTTCTGACGTCATCGTTACGGATATTGTTCATGTTCTTTTGACATGTTGTTGTGGCCCGATACTTCAGCTTATAAAGTTTCTACATCATTTCGTCATTTCTGTGTTGTATTCCAATTCTGAAGGAATTTTCTGTGTGCACAGTTTCTTTATGTGGCTAGTATATATACGATTACAGAATTTAACGAATGCCTTGTATGACACTACTCACCCGCCTGTAGTACCTCAGCTGTACAGATTACACTGTTAATGTTTTCAGTAGACAGCAATACCTTCAGAGTAGTCTTGTTGTACAGTCAGGACAGAAACAGTGCTGTAAATGCTCATGTAAATATGTTTTTCTTCATAGAACTTGTACTTTGTTTTTAGAAAATGACATTAACAACCTGTTCGTGCATTACAGGGTAAACATATATTTGATCATGTTGTACATAAATTTGTATGAAATTAATTCCATGGCAAAAGGAGCCCTAATCATTGTGAACCAAATCCCATTGTATATGTAAATTTTGTATTATTGTATTTACATTTGTATTGCTGAAAGCAGATAAACATTCTTCCTCTATGTGGTGTAACTCTTGCTGTGATTCAGTCTTCATAAGGGGCGGTAGGTTAGCCAAGTGGTTAAAGTGTTCACTTGTCACGCTGAGGACCCGGGTTTGAATACCCATATGGGTACAATGTGTGAACCCCATTTCTGCTGTCCACCACCATTATATTGTTCGAATATTGTTAAAAGCGGCGTAAAATTAAACTCTAATAATAGCTAAATAATATCTCCAACGAATCTTACAAGATTCTTTTCAAATAGAGAATTTGCATATTGCTTGCTTTATCATATTTGTGGTGTGATGTATTTACTCTTTAGTCGGATGTGTTCAGGACTTTGAGGCTGCAAAAAAGCCACAAAATAAAGCAATTGTTTCATCTTTCTTTTTGTGTTTTATTGATAACATTATGATGCTTTGTGTATATTTTCTTTGATTGCATAAAATATGTACATCAGTTTATGATCTATACTCTGTAAACCTAACAGATTTTTTTAACTTAAAAGATGTTTTTTATTCACATACTGATCTGTGTTGTGCCAGTAACTTACATGAAATAAATTATTTCTTTAAAAGATTTTGTATGTTAGTTTCTGGTAATAATATCTTTGAAAGAGTCCAGTTCATTTTGAGCCACAGCTGTCGGGTAGATGTGATATAAAATTGCTCACCTTCCACAGATATGCACTGATGTAAGGGTTATCTCTCGCAGACAACACTCTTTGTGTTCTAGCTTGTGTGTGCCACAGATCTTTCTTTTTGTGTTTTATTGATAACATGATGATGCTTTGTGTATATTTTCTTTGATTGCATAAAATATGTACATCAGTTTATGATCTATACTCTGTAAACTTAACAGATTTTTTTAACTTAATAGATGTTTTTTATTCACATACTGATTTATGTTGTGCCAGTAACCTACATGAAAAAAATTATTTCTCTAAAACAGTTTGTATGTTAGTTTCTGGTAATAATATCTTTGAAAGAGTCCAGTTCATTTTGAGCCACAGCTGTCGGGTAGATGTGATATAAAATTGCTCACCTTCTACAGATATGCACTGATGTAAGGGTTATCTCTCGCAGACAACACTCTTTGTGTTCTAGCTAATTTTATAAAAACCGTGAACACAACCACATGTTCATGTTGCAGATCGTTTCGGTATCTATAAATAGATTGTCAACACTGCGCGTGGCGCCTTTACTTATAGTTATCCGTTGGAGTTGTTCAAATTTAGTTAAATCAATAATGTGAAAACATGGGTTTCTATCTTTTAATGACTTGAAAGAATGGTAAATAAAAAGCAGAAAATATTTCCCGTCTACTACTTCGTGCACCTTACTTGTCTGTAGATATAATGTAAACAAGTCAATCACAGCATAAAGAATTTGATCTTATTTGGAAATCTGGTAAAGGTACGGTAATTGGGCTTGTAAACAGTATGTTCCATGGACGTATCTGGACATCCCCAGAAGCAAATATTCAACAGCTGATCTGCAGCAATTCTCAGTAAAGTTTCCCTCTTCAAAATCTCCACACCATCCTAAAATGACACTGCATTTAATGAAATACATTTTTTAATCATCCTTACCATTTTATTTTTCTATATGTAATTTTTTGTGGAATCCTAATTTACATACAAACTTCAACAATACTGGACTTCATGAACTGACAGCGTTTATGTACAGGTATGTCACAGCACCAGAACACAAATAAGATCCAAAATACAGTCTGCACCTGTACACTGACCCATCTTCCAGAAATAGGAAACCTGTGATGCAAAATCTTTGAACAGAGGATCCACAGTTCAGGACTTTGAGGCTGCAAAAAAGCCACAAAATAAAGCAGCTGTTTCATCTTTCTTTTTGTGTTTTATTGTTAACATTATGATGCTTTGGGTATATTTTCTTTGATTGCATAAAATATGTACATCAGTTTATGATCTATACTCTGTACACTTAACAGATTTTTTAACTTAATAGATGTTTTTTATTCACATACTGATCTATGTTGTGCCAGTAACTTACATGAAATAAATTATTTCTCTAAAAGATTTTGTATGTTAGTTTCTGGTAATAATATCTTTGAAAGAGTCCAGTTCATTTTGAGCCACAGCTGTTGGGTATATGTGATATAATATTGCTCACCTTCTACAGATATGCACTGATGTAAGGGTTATCTCTCGCAGACAACACTCTTTGTGTTTTAGCTTGTGTGTGCCACAGATGTGTATCCTATGAAGATAATTCTGATGAATGCCAAACAACTGTCACATCTGTGTCAGTAATGTTATTTAGAGAATCTTACCCTCATGTCTACTGATATAAATTCTATCAACACGAGCTGATAAAGCTGCAAATATCTGAGGCTTGTGAAGGATATATTTACTTATCAGCGAGTGTTGATATATTTGATATCAGTAGACACGAGGGTGAGATTCTATTTATCATCCAAAACTGTGCTCCACAGGAGATATCGCTTGTGTGATATCAGACGATATCTTCTAGGAGATATCGTTTTGACAGTAGATTTTGCACAATGCCCTGACAATGCTATGACGTCATGAACTTGATGACGTCACAATGCTATGACATCTCTGCACTGCAAATCTAATGGCAGTTCTGTGTTCAGAGATGTACATTTTTTCATTGAAAACTAATGAAGAGTGATTTTTGATGATAAATAGAAATCTCACCCTCGTGTCTTCTGATATCAAATATATCGACACTCGTTGATAAAAGTAAAAATATCCTTCACAAGCCTCGGATATTTGTTACTTTATCAACTCGTGCATCGATAGTATGTGTGACTATCGATAGTTTAGTAATTGACTTCCGGTATAAATACGCAGCGCAAAATACAGGAAGTACCAGATTCATTCACTTTGATTTAAAGTAACCCGTCCCTGTTACCTCCAAAACAATTGTGACAGAGGTACAATGTATTAGCATTGTGACGTCATAATTGTCAACCAGTTTTACGTCATACTTACGGCACCACGTGATGTTATTACACAATTAGGAGATGTGTTGGCCAAATTCCGGGGTGTTATTGAGTATTTGAAACACGTGAATTCATTTGAAACTAACGGCGTCAGCCGGAGATTTCAAATGAAATATTCCCGTGCTTCAAATACTCAATAACACCCGGAAATTGGCCAACACATTATGTTTATCGACATTGTAAACACAAAAGTAAACCAAAAGGTCCACACACGTTTTTGTGTTTGCACTCACTGACATCGAGTACAGGTACAGCAGTGAAATGTCATCAGCCGGCCCATTCGGCTGTTTCCCATGGTAATATCTGGAACTGCTCATTTGTGACGTCATTCAGACTTTCATCACGATATGATTTTAATGACGTCATCACAGCTGACGGCGTAACAATACAATGGTGTGGGCGATGTTTGTATGTATTAATACGCCACACTCCGGCACAGCGATGACTTAACATAACATCACTGCCACAGGCTAATTTGCATATCACGTGACCGGACTTTTCTCTTGTTTGTAATCAAACGCGCATATTCATAATAAGAAGAGACTGGACTCACGAAAGCTTTTCTCGGCGCTCTCTTCATAATGTTTTACATTGTTACATATTTTTATTCTTACACAACTGCCACAGTTAGGTCTATGACAGTACATATTTAGATATCAAACTGGCTGCATCGTTTGCTCTCCGTCGGCTTCGATGACAGCACGTGGAGCCGTACAACCTATGTAAACAAAGAATCGCTGCATAAATCGAAATAGTGTTACATGCTTTTGGATATTTGCTCAGTGAAACTAAACCATTCTATTAAAGATGTTTAGTTAGATGTGTAGACTCGTCAAAAATAAAAGAGTAAAAGAAATCTGTACATTATATTGAATGGACATTGCAAGATGTGACCAATCGTCACATTTTTCTGGCCTGTGGCAGAGGTACTATGCTGGCTTGCCGCATGGAACTCTGGGTAGGAGAGTGTTAATACGCAGCGAATTTCCGGGAATCGAATACCATTTGATCACGTTTTTCAAGCAATCAGATTATAGAACACAGTGGTTTTGGTTTACAATGTGTAATACCATTGTAAAATATTAAACAGTGATATTTTCAACCGGTGAGTAATAAAGTGCAGTACTCCCAGGGACAGACAGATAATTTATTTGAGTCTCACTTCAACATCAAACATATGTACATAGAACAAAATAATAAATCGTTGAGCCAATCTTTACACACTTATGAGAGACTATGTAACATATAAAAATACAAAGCTAAAAGAAAATATACTGTAAGCCATTAAAAATGCAATTTGACATTCATACTTTCTTTACTCACACCAATTTCAACATATATAAACCTAACTGGCAGATATGTTTTAAGTGAACATCTGTGAATAATTTCATCTGAAAATGTCCAGTCAACAACAACATCAGTGACCCCATAACGACATCAAACAAAGGAGGGGTCACTTGCAGTCAATATCGTGTGTGTCCACCGTGCGCTGCAAGACATGCTCGCAGTCTTTGGGACATTGAAAGACACACAACAGGAACAGCTGTTGGATGGTCTGCAGCCTCTGATGGTCTGTGGTCTGCTCATGACACACCACCCCCCCCCCCTCCAAAACGATCATGTTCAAGGACACAGTTTGGCGCAAGTCTTTCTCCTTCACGTCGATAAATCTGTGGACGTCCATTTGCAAAGGATAAGTTAAACCTGGATTCATCTGACAAAATGACATCTGGCCATGTCCTGTTGCCAAGATTGGTCCCATTTGCTACCCATCGCTGTCTGGCAAGTCTGTGGCGATGCAATAAGGTTGGACCACGGTACGAGTGACGACACCAGATGTTGAAGGCAGCAAGGCGTCCTTGCACCTTTTGGGCCCTGAAATGACGTTGACTTGTCCCAGTTGTCCTCCTTGCCTCATCATCAGCTGTTTGGAACCGATTTCGCAAGTGTGAAACTCGGATATTGCGGTTTTGTCGAGCTGTTATCACAGGTGGTGCACCAGGTCGCGGACGATCAGCAACACTTTCGGTAGCCCGAAAACGTTGTCTGAGTCGACTTACAGTGGATGGATGCACATTAAAGTGCCTGGCAATCATCACATCTGAAGCACCTTGGCTGACCATACCGATAACCTGATTCCTTTCGTCTTGTGTCAAGTGTGGCATTTTCTCAAAGTGATTGAGTTCCACAATTCCTTGTGCTTTTACAGGGCCTGGGTGCAGGCAATGCATGTGCACAACGTGTTTCATGAATGTTGTGTTTACGAGACATGTCAAAGGTTCAGTTTTAAGTATCAAAGTTCATGTGAGAGGAATGCTCCGGGACTCGAACTCGAAATGGGCCAGAATAACAGCCTTTTATCCCTACATCCTCTGTATCGCAGGCAAAAATCTTCAATAGAACTTTTGTGAGTTTCAGGACAAAAAATACCAATTGCGTTTTTAATGGCTTACAGTATAGGATGTATAATACATATTTACAGTACCAAATTAAGAATATAAAAAGGCATGTCGCCCTAAGATAAACAGGTTTTGGCTGTATTAAAAGACACAGTAAAATTTTATCTTATCAAGGTCACTGAATGACAAAAATACTAACAAGCTGCTCACATTTACTAAAAAGGACATCTCTTTCAAAAGAATAAAATGGACAGTGCAATAAAAACATGACATTCATCTTCAATAAAATCTTTACAGTAAAAACATGGCATTGCTCTTTCCTTTAGAGGAGTACAATTATATGGTCCAGTTTCAACTCTTAGAGGAGCAACACCACATCTAAAAAGTGCTAAAGCACGTCTATAAGAGCGAGGCATGTGGCTAAATAAATATAATTCAGGATGATATTCATCTTTAAAGGTAGCATAAGTTCTTAACTTATGACTACCATAGCTCGTTGTACCATTTACATTAGAAAATTGATTTTTTTTCCAAGAAGAGTTAAAACGATCAAAGAATTTACGTGACACTTCCGAAACGACAACGAGAATATGATAATTAACATGTATGTTATTAAAATGTTGGAGCCCAAGATCAGAAAATCTAACGTGCACGCTAAAATTCCAGTTCCGTTTCCTTAAAACAGCAGATACATTACTCCAAACAAAAACTTCACTTGTTATACGGAATGGATCTAAATTACATAAACGTTTAAATAATCTAGACACACCTCGCCACTGATTAACCATGGGTGGGCACCAACCCATGTCACCACTAACAGCGTTATTTGCTGGGCATGTACGTAAACCCGGAAAAAACCTCATTGCACGGTTTTGTACAGCATCTATACATACAAATTTATAAGTGCCCCATATCGATACACCGTAATTAATGGTAGACCAAACCATAGAATAAAACAACTTGGAATATGTTTCATATGGCATACCGTCTAACAATTTATACTTAGCAATTAACAACCCAAGTGTCCGACAAGCGGAATTAGCTACATATTTTGCCATTCGTAAATAATGTAAATGCTCTGTTAAAAGTAAACCTAAATAATTATAACAATCGGTTGTTTCCAATTCCGTGTCACCACATACAAATAAATCTTTATGTCTTGAAACTTGACGTCTAAAATGACAACTTTGAATTTGAAATTATTAACAGTCATCTTATTGGATATACACCAAGTATGTAAACAGTCCAACATAACATTTAAATCACTCTCAAAAACTTGAAACTGGAAATTGTTTCCATGTATCTCTAATCTTTTATTCTCTCTTAGTGTCTGTTTTGTATATACTTCTATGACTTGCGCTTTGAGCATGTTGTACATGGAAAACAGCGCATTACAAGCATGCTATTATTATTATTTATTATTATTTTCAGCAATTAAAACAATATCATCTGCATATGCTAAAACTCCGATGTTGGTACCGTCAACTTTAACACTCAAAGATAAATTTTAAATTGAAACACTAAGATCATTAACATACAACTTAAACATAAGCGGTGATAGTGAACAACCTTGCTTTAAACCACACTGAACATCGAACCAGGGTCTATATTTATGTAACATATGTTATTTGACCACTTTCTAAAATGGCATTGTGTATTTTAGGGTGTATATTGCCCATTAATACGCACAGCACATGTGACATTTTTATAATGTGAAAAATAGCTTTTTTCAGGCTACCATTCTCACCAAGAGATCTTAGTTTCTCCCAAAGTAAAGACCTATCAACACAATCACAGGTTTTTTAAAGTCAATAAAAGCCGTAAAAGTAGACTTTTTGCGATTTTTTGGTCTGTGTTATAGCAGAGACCATATAATAGATCTATTATATGGTCTCTGGTTATAGGCTTGAGATGTTTTCCACGGTTGGCCGACTCTTTTTGTAAAACCATTCTGATGATCATGTATATACGTTCATTTTCTTCAGCATATTCATTGAGTCTGTTGTTTAGAACACCACAATACAGTTTATAAAAGGACTAGCCAGGGTGATACCCCGGTAGGAGAGGGGGTCACGGGGTATTTGATGGGTGTGAGGAAGTGACCCGGCTGAGTACTGGAGCGTGAGCGGGGCAGCGCTGGAGCGAGACAGCGGGATCGTCAGAAAAAAATGGCGGCGTATTTCGATATGATAGTTTGTTTCGCTGCTGTGGTATTTTTGGGTTCGTGTGCAGCACATACACCTGTTGTGATGTGGCATGGAATGGGTAAGAAATGCGTGGTTGGTATGACACATGTATCTGCTGTTTAAAAGCATACTTGATAATATATACATGTTTCACAAAATGTCTGTACTGCACAATAATGGCAGATAGGACCGGCAGGCAAATATCACAGAAATGAAATCAAATTGGATCAGTTATCACACCAACCACGCATCAGAAGATCTTAAAAAAAGAAATGTTCCTCTTTAAGAAGATAGCAGAATTTGCTGACATATAATATTTCTGCTTTTTACAGGATACGATGATTACATATACAGAACCGTAACCTAAATTTATATTCGTCGATAGCCTTGATACACAGGAAACCGTTATCGCTATGTAGGTTAAGCTTAGAACATAGATCTACACTCACGTCATATATCTATCTATCTATCTATATATCTATATACATATATATATATATATATATATATATAGATAGATAGAGTACCATTGTCTTTAATTCAGAGCGGCAAATATCTAAGACTTTAACACAGAAGCGAGTATATACGACGAGTATATGGATGGCAACTTCGCACGCTTCAGGGAAGCAACTGTGTATATGGTTATATCCCAAAACTTCCACATCCCAATACTACCACAAACTGTTAAAACAAAAAATCACCCTTTTTTAGGTAATAGGATAGCCCGGGAAGTGCACTGAACTGAAATAACACCATCACCTGACAGAGTAGAGACTTTAGTAGAGAAGAGAGCAGCTAGTTAATAAATCTGAAATATATATAATATAAATTCGTGCATATTAAAATGTAAATTTTGTTTTCTTGTTTTACCTTGAAATATTGTTATTTATGTTCATATTATTCTGCATATACAAAACATAATTTATGCAAGCTTAACGTACATTTAATGTACATGTATATTCAAATATGTAGTTTTACAATATAACATGGCTAACGGCCGATTTGCAAATATAAAGTAGTGTGTAGCAAAAAATAAAAATGAGAATATGAATTGTATTATGCTTACTTGAAGCTCTACTACCAAACATGCTTGCACTACCAAATCCAGGCATAAACACATAAATCGATTTTAATTAAATAAGCAAATTGATAATGTTATGGTATGGACATTGGCATTAATTGTTATGGTAGTGACACAAGAACGGTAGTGACATTTTTAATAATAGCCAGTTTTATATGTTCACTTTGAAAGATAATTTAATGAAATTTGTCAGTCAGATTTTTTCAAGACGGAACCGTCCACTATGACTGTCAAATGTGCGGGTGAAATCTTGGAGACTATAGGACATAAGTTCTACATAAATGTTCTACATAGACTGCTATATGTAACTAGAAAAGATACGTATTTTTGTTAATATCCCTGTCATTATAAAATATATATTAATTTATTACTAATAAAATATATAATGTATTACTAAGTGATTGTTTGTATTCATTACTGTGTAATGGCTTACACCATTACAGACTGAGGTAATCAGTATACGAACATGTGTGCAGTCAACCAGAAATCTTGTTGTTATAAGCTGTGGAAGGTTTGGGATGTGGAAGTTTTGGGAGGATACCGGGTATAATTTCTGAGGCGCGTTATTACGAGTGAGTACTAGGGACCCGTTATCGCTATGTAGGTTAAACATAGACCATAGATCTACACGCACGTCATAGAGTACTTTACTCTCATGGCAGGTCATATTAAAGTCACATTGTACACGTTCACTCTGTTGTTCAGTTCCCAAACACCAAGTATACTGAGTCAGTGGACAGTGATGGTTCCAGTGAGTAGCCTGGTCTTGGCTCGCAGCAAGCCCTGATCAACTGCTACATAGCGACGTCCCCTTGCTGGTTCCCGTGGGTGACCTCCCGTGTTCTTTTCTTTTCTTTTTTTGGTTCAGGTGTGAATTTAAGGCCAGGTGAGCTGTAACCTACCTCGATTCTAGCTGTCAATAAACAGTTAGTCACGTGACGAAAGGTGATGCCATCTGTTGACAATAAATAAGCATGGATACGTTCATTACGGTATAGGAGTCAAGGTTCAAACTAGTGTGAGCCCTGAACCGTGAAGTTCTTTTGATAGGCAATAAGAGAAGACACCCTCAATACTATGGAAACTATTTCGGGCCATCGCTTATAACTTTTGCCCGTTTTCATAGGGTTCGCGGACGCTTTCACGACATTTAAAGATACGTAACACCAGCAGCTTTGACTAATAATTCAGACGGTTGTCATAACAGGTACTACAGATATGTACCCCAGGTACGTTTTTGCATACAGGCATGTACCCTAGCAAAAATCAGAATACAGAAACCTACCCTACCCTCGCACGCACGGAGAGAGCTGTGACAAAGTCAAACAAATAAGCTTTGTCACCAAAGCCAGGCGTCTAGATGAAATCAAACGAAACATATTGGGTGTGAAAACGAACGCTGTGCTCGTAATATTGTGCTGGTTTGAATTGTAAACATTAATTTCAGATTTTACACTGTGTCCCATTTTTTTCAAATTTCAGACGTCCATTCGTCTAATAGTTGCATGGATTGGCTCAATGCGTTTAGAATATGCATGAAAAGAGTATCGCAGTAAGAAATAACAAATAACAAATACAAATAGATGCAATACAATAGTTTGATAAATTCAAAGTTTCTGTGCTGCGTGACGTCATGACTGACGCAAACTGAAGCAGCACGACAAGGATAATTATCGGCATTTCTGATTTCTTTTCTTAGTTACAATGAAAACAATAAAATAAACAACAAGGATAATAATGGGCAGATAATCAGAATGTTACTGATTATTTACACAAAAGAATTATGTACAAATAATCCCTTAATCACTTGCAAACTCCTGCGTACCGATGCTAGTGAACACGCCATTTTGTGAACAATCGGTCACCGGTTGTGATGTCATACGTCAACATGGTCGTCCTTATTTGGTGATTTCTTTGAGGTGAAGAAGTAAACACAATAATCAAATCCTACTGCTTATAGTTTCAATATTATGATGTATATTTAGGCATATTTCAGATATGTTTTCACGAAACTAATTTTATTACCTACATTGTGCCTTGTTCGATATCAGATCATACGTAGATCATAGTCATAAATAACCCTTTTATAATTATGGTTTGTTAGAACAATATTTACATAGTATTTACACATTTAGAGCAGTACATAACATATGTTTAACGTTTAGCGCTATACACATCTTGTTTTCTATAAAATAATTGTAGCGGCCATAAAATTTCCGAGTTCCGTGTTGGCATTTGAACCACGGACCTTCTGTTCCGAAGTCGGACGCCTTGTCCACATGACCAAAGAGGTTAACCCCGCCAGTAAGCTGACAAGTTAAGGATGTCATCTGTGGGATGACTCCACTCCCTGCTATTCCTTGACAAGCACTTGGGAAAGCACTGAGAGGTGATGCAGCTCGCATTGTGATGCGTTTAGGTGACTCTGCTTCACTCAAGAGCGTGTATAGTTCTTCCATCACTGAGCAAGGGGAAGCTCTCATGGCTCAGTTCTAAAGTGCTCGTCAAGGACTTCACAGCATATATGGGGTTGTCGCCTTGAGGATATGCTTGATAGACGTGTAATGCAGGGTCAGATTCAGCAACACAGATCTAGTTCTGTTCTTATGACGGTGTTCTGGTTACATCAGGAGCTCAAGGACACGTCAGGTCACAAGTACGACGTTAAACCCAACTGGACTGTGACTGTCAAGTGCTCTTTATACAAGCAGCTACCCTATAGAGATACATGCATCATGATCCAGCCAAGTAAGAAGTCTACTTTACCACCTGGACTTGAGATAGCTCCTGCTTTATTCCGCTACCAACACAAGAGGATGATAGAAGTACCAATGCAAGTGTCCAATCTCACAAAACAGACTATGGTTGTCTCCCCTAGGGCTATCATTTGTGAGACACAACCTGTGCAGATAGAGAAGATAGTCCCTATTGATTTGGAGCAAGTAGCTGCTGAGGAGAAACAACATCCATTGGACAAGGCAAAGATATCCCCCAAAGTCACCAAGGAACAGAAGATGGGTGAAGAACTACTCCTACAGTACAGTGATGTATTTTCCACCGGAGACTTGGACATTGGCCACTACACCGAGGTGAAACACAGAATAGAGTTGACAGACACCACACTGATTAAAGAGCAACACCGACGCATACCACCATCTATGTTCCAAAAGGGGAAAGACCATTTACATCAACTCACTTGTCATAAGATGCTCTTACAGTCCCTGGGCCTCAAATGTTGTTCTTGTTCACAAGAAAAATGGTTCATTGAGGATGTGTGTGGACTTTAGATCTTTAAATCAACGAACTACTGAAGATGCTTATACTTTGCCTCACGTTGAAGAAATTTTTGACAGACTTGCAGGTTTTAAATTCTTCACCATGCTGGATATGAAGTTTGGATACCATCAGATTGACGTCGAGGAAGACCACAAGGGAAGAACAGCATTCACAGTCGGCCCACTGGGGTTTTATGAGTTCAAGTGTTTGACAGAAGCAGCATATGCTGGGGAAACTTTACCTGGAAATCTGTATGACTTATCTGGACAACATTATTGTATTTTCTGACACGTTTGAGCAGTGTCTGTATCGTTTGGAGAGGATTTTTCAGTCACCTCTGCAGCAAAAGATTCTGCTCGCCTGGGATGGACAAGTGGATAAAGAACTGTGACAGATGTCTCTTAAGAACAACATCAGAAAGCAAAGCCCCACTAGAACCCATGACCACTTACTAGCTGCTCGAGCTTGTATGCATCGACTTCCTGACTTTGGAGATGTCGAGAGGGGATACCAGCATATTCTTGTTCTGACAGTCCACTTCACGTCATATGCCCAGGCCTACCCGACAAGGAACATGACTGCTAAGACCACCGCAGAAGTCCTATTCAACGATTTCTTCATTCACTATGGTTTTCCTCTCAGGTTACTCGGATCAAGGAGCCAACTTTGAGAGCAACCTGATCAAGGAATTGAGCAAGTTAGCAGGGATCGAGAAAAGTAGAACTGACTGCCTGCCCTGCTACATAATCAAGATCTATTTACCAAAATAATATGATGACAGGATATAAAACTATTGACTTAATGTCGGCAAGAATTGCACCAATAATTTTGTGAAAAACTATGTCCTCCTTTGATCAAACCGTACAGTATTATTCTGATAGTTCCGTACAAAAGGGGCATTTCGTTCATATTTCATTGTAGAATTATGAAGAGAAATAGTCACAAGTCCGACTAAGACAATATATTTGCGTGTGTTGAAATAGTTTCTTTAATTTACGTGAAATTGATGCTAAGCAGAGGCACGTGTTGTCCACATTGAGATACATGGTAACACTATCTAACTGTTTATCTATTCAGGACATTAATTAGATGGTAAAACCCGTCATTTCATTTTCTGTCAAAAGAGTGTCAAATTCTGACTGACAAACCAAGATTTCGTATACCTTAATCGAAAATAAGATGAGATATGTACTAATTATCATACCAATGTTGTCTTTTTCCGACGTTGCCAAATACATAAAACATGACGTCAACTGAAATGGTGTCATTAAGAAATTTTGTTCTGTAATTTCATTACATTTGAAGATATGGCTGACATTCTGTTAATAATGCAATATAGAACAAACTTTATGGATAACAACTTCTTTTATTCGTGAGTGCGACGTTTCGAGACAGATTCTTGTACCGTTGTCAAGCATAATGGAACATGAAGAAGGGGGAAGTATATATATGCTGGATGTAACAATGTAACAAAGAAAACAACATAATTAACATAAATTGGCTAGGCAGAAAGCTGATGAAGCCAGAGAGTAGACAAAGGACAGGCGTGGAAGCCAATGATGTACAAATAATAATGAGATGTTTATACAGCAGAGTTTATACAGTAGATTGGGCTTGGTGGATGAGTGCATCATAAGCGGATGGAATGAAGTATCCTTGGTCTCGGTTGATGGTGGGCTTTTGGCGTTTGATGTGGATGGCTTCGGTGAGCTTGCGTTTGGTGAAGTCTGTTTGTTTGTTAGAGAGAATGGTGATGTCAGACCACTCTATTTGATGATTGGGGCTTGCTTTGATGTGGTCGGAAATGGCTGATTTGCTGTCGGAATTGGTAACAGAGGTCTGATGTTATCCATAAAGTTTGTTCTATATTGTACTTCCCAACTTCTAAAATGCCACTCAAAGAAGCTGTTAATAATGGTGCAACATTAGTCAAAATACACCTACACAATCAAAGAGAGTATGGGAATCTAAGAACAACTTTACATAATAGATCGAAAGGGCCATCCATTTAGCTATTACGTCCTTTCTCATACTGTGTGATTTAATCATTTCTGGTATTTGTGATATAAAAAAACCGTAGTCGTTACAGTGTGGATTTTTGTATTGGAATAGTCTGGTTCGCCATGACAAAAACATCACGAAAATATGACATCATTATCCATAGCAAATTCTCTCCATGTGACTTGAGTTATAATGGCCTAGTTTAAGCATAGCAGAGTAATGTCCCTTATCTTCATGCGTGTGGGACCTCTCGTCGTTTAACGCCAGAGAAGAAAATACATTTTCGTCATTTATGGCAAACCATTTCATACACTGAACGATATACATAAGCATGGAAATCCATTTCATATATTGTTATGTCGTTCAGATATCGTATATTTACTCACTGTTGATACACTATGCTTTTTCAGTGAACGATCAAAACCGGAGACATTTACTGTTTTTAACACATAGTAAAATTGCGGATAACATTTAACAAAGTCTCAAACCGCTTAAGTATTTGTACTTGAATTTACACCATGAGATAGTTTGATTCCCCACATGGGTACAATATGTGAAGCCCATTCCTGGTGTCCCCCGCCGTGATATTGCTGGAATATTGCTAAAAGCAGTCTAAAATACAACTCACCCACTCACTCACGAGCTGAGTTTAAGCCATTATCAGTAACCAATTATGTGTAGTGAAAATATAGTTTCAAAATCTGCCAATACTATGGTAGCATTGCTATGTTTAACATTGATAGCTTACACAATACATAATGTATTTGGATAATCCTGATTATGTTGCATTTTTATTTATTTCTTAGCAAACTCGATAATTATAGACGTGGTGAATGTACTATCGTGAAAAACACTGATTACTTTCTTTGTCTCCAGGGGACAGTTGTTGTGACCCGCTGAGTTTGGGTGACACAAAGGGTCTCATTGAGAGAACCATGGATGGTGTCTATGTCAAGTCCTTAAAAATAGGCAGAGATGTTGAGGAAGTAAGTACCGCGTCTGAGGTGTCTGTGGAAGTGGTTTCTGGCTCAGTTGATACTGCTGCAAAGTAACTTTGAGGATGTGGTCAAGGACTCGATCTGATGTGTCCCTTAGTACCCCGTCTGAGGTGTCTGTGGAAGTGGTTTCTGGTTCAGTTCATACTGCTGCATGTCGTAAAAGGCAGCTAACTTTGAGGATGTGGTCAAGGACTCGATCTGATGTGTCCTTAGAAAGGCTTCCGTGAACACTGTTGCATGTCGTAAAAGGCAGCTAACTTTGAGGATGTGGTCAAGGACTCGATCTGATGTGTCCTTAGAAAGGCTTCCGTGAACACTGCTGCATGTCGTAAAAGGTAGCTAACCCTGAGGATGTGGTCAAGGACTCGATCTGATGTGTCCTTAGAAAGGCTTCCGTGAACACTGTTGCATGTCGTAAAGGCAGCTAACTCGGAGAAAGGCTTCCGTGATGTGTTAAAGGTCAAGGACTCGATCTGATGTGTCCTTAGAAAGGAGATGTGTCCTTAGAAAGGCTTCCGTGAACACTGTTGCATGTCGTAAAAGGCAGCTAACTCTGAAGTGGTGGTCAAGGACTCGATCTGAGATGTACAAATGCCTTTGTGGGGACATTTTCATAACCACTGAGAATGTCCTAATAAATACAGTAGACAATTGGGCATTAACGACTTGATGGTTGAGGTAGCATTAACCAACCAAACCTGGGTACCCATTACAGTTGTATTTAGGGATAACTCCCTTACTTACGTGAAATGATATTTCTTCCCACATTTTACCCCAAACATACCAGTTCTTCAAATTAAAGTTTTGTTGTTAAATACTTCAATTTGGTGTCTGTTTTCTACTTCCTTATAAATCGGAAATTTCATAGATGAATATCTTACACTGCACTTTTCAAAAGAAGTAAAAATAATAATTTTAAACTGAACTTGGGATCTTCAATCATGGATGAATTAAAACTGATCACATGATGTTCTATTCAAGTCCGATACTTTTCCAGTCATTGTCAGCATGGCCATTGAACTTCGATAGGCTTTGGTTGGATTTGAGGAACATGCGTACACCCCTGCCCATTCATCGATAATGTAACACAAAGTCATATATACACTCTTCTCACACACACACACACACACGCACGCACGCACACACACACGCACGCACGCACGCACGCACGAACGCACGCACACACACACACCGCATTGGCCAAAAATAAGGAAATGTATTAAGGGTATTTAAGTGTACATAAGTCGATTAAGTTTGAAATTAGAAAAATCAGGAAATCCGACACTCAGATGAACAACATATTATGTATTGTTGTCGTTGTCAGCATTTGTTGATCACTGGATTGTCTGGCCCAGACTCGATTTTTTACAGACCGCCGCCATATAGCTGGAATATTGCTGAGTGCGGCGTAAAACTAAACTCACTCACTCATTGTCATCATTAATTCAGTTTACTCACTGCACATGTGTGGACACAAGGGTGCGTTCAGGCCAGTACTGATGACACCACCCCTTGCAGCTGTCACTGCTCAACACAGCCTTGGAAGGGGATTGCACAAGTCGTCAGTGTTTTTGTTTGGGGAATTCTTTGCCATTCCTCATGCAATGTGTTGGCAAGTTCTGTAATTATCTGAGGACGATGGTGACGTTTACGGAGACGATAATCAAGTTCGTCGCACAGATGCTCGATCAGGTTCAGATCAGGCGATTTGGAAGGCCAGGGAAGGACATTGACGTTTGCATTGGCGAAATAGGCACCTGTTACATGAGCTGTGTGGGGGTCGAGCATTGTCGTGTTGAAACAGCTCCCTCTAGCGATTCAAAAGCAGGAGGAGGTGCAGTCGCAGGATTTGGTCGATGTAGCGATTTGCTGTAAGATTGCCTTGAACCACCACTAGTTCTGATCTACCCGTGTAGGACATGGCTCCCCACACCATGATGCTTTCTTCACCAAAATCTGCCCACCTGTTAAACACAGTTCGGTGCAAAATGTTCGTGCTGACGTCGATAGACACGTTGTCTCCCATCCCGTCGTTGCAGGAGAAAACGCGATTTATCGTTGAACCAAACGCGTTCCATGCGTTCCCCAGATTCCATGCCTGTACTCTGTTGCACCATTGAACACGTCGTTGTTGGTGTAGTCGTGTCAGGACAGGTCAAAGTTTTGGTCGATATGCTCGAATTCCCTCTTCTCTCCTACCTTCAGTGTCCGTTGCTGTAGGAAATCGGTGACATAGGTGAAACACCCGGATGAATCGGTCCGTTTGGGACGATCTTGGGTCGAATTGAAGCAGGTATATCTATGTCATAATCGAGATATGGTGCTGTGGTGGACGTTGAAGTGTCTTGCAAATTCAGACTGGGTCTCCCCTTTTTCCAGACGTCCAATGGCGAAATTTCGGTCAGAAGCATTCAATCTTGGCATTGTTTTCTTCGTTTACATCATAAAGTTCGTAATGAAATGATCAATTTGGTTTGGTCTTTTATAGTAGATCTCTCACGTGCATTGCGTGGAAAACTTTTTCTGCATGCACTGTTCATGTTTCGTTTTTATTTTTTATGAGACACGTTTACAAAAAACATTTTGGCATGCGTTTGCGCGCAATACACTACAACCACGACATGATTAACGGGATTCAAACATAGGAACTGTCTTAATGATGATTGTTGTCGAAATATATCAAAATGAACGGCTGAAAATGCCTATAAGTTTTCTTTTTTTCTTTTGAAGAGTGTAGAATGAACGATATTGTCGTGCTCATTGTTATGATTGAAGAACGAATATTAACTGTAAGTTACCATCTATTACACTATCACTTACAATTGACAATAAAACCGTATTATGACAAAACGAATCCATGCAGTATATTGACGAGCGAAAATATCTGCCCTACGGGGGTACTCGGGTAATCCATACCAGCCCTCTTGGACTGCAGTTTGCTCTAATTTCGCCGTGGAAACTATGATCATTGCAAATAATGTTATGGCAGTGCCAGTTTTGTATGAACCACGGGGATTTATCAAGGATTCTATCCTTGGACACCCTGGGGGGCAAACTGGCAAAAAGACATCTTTTACCAAACATAATGAACCCAGGAACCATGATCAAAGTTTGAATGGAAATTCTCTATATAGCACTTTGTGCCAGGAAGTCCAATGCAACGTTATTCCATTTATGCATGCAAGTTGTGAATATTTTGGAAAAACATAGAATTTGAAAAATATGATAATATTTAACAGGAAAAAAACACAAAAATGCCACTTAATATTTTTCAAAAACAAGTAATGTGCTTGGTTACGAATTTTGTGAAATAATACTCACGACCTTGGTGACGTATTTTTTAAGTGTTGTGAGTGAAACTTTAGTTGTGATATTATTTGTCAATAATCATGATAAATATGAAAATCAAGTATCATGTGACTGTTATTGATTAAGTTGTTACGTTAAGATTAACGTATTAGTTACCATGGTTACAGGACATAGCGAATGGATTCCTCATGAATGTCAACAAGCAGATTGACATGGCCTGCCAGCAGTTGGCTGGTGACGAGAAGCTGTCTAATGGCTACAACGCTATTGGATTCTCCCAGGGAGCACTGTTCATGTAAGTGGAACTCTCAGTGCGTATCTGCTACCCTTCATCTTTCACTGCCTCGCTGTCGTCTCTGTATTATCTCTCATCCGGTTTGAGTGTGTATGTCCATGCTCAGCTGTAAGAATGACTCATTGTGACGCCCACATTATCTGGACATATGTCTAATTACATATCACGCGCGCCCTCTCTCCCTCATTCACTCATACACATTAGCTAGTTCTTTGTGGTTGGTTTGTTGTTTTACGCCGCACTCAGCAATATTCCAGATACATTACGGCGGTCTGTAAATAATCGAGTCTGCACCAGACAATCCCGTGATCACTATAATGAGCATCGTTCCACGCAATTGGGATGCAATGGCATGTGTCAACCAAGTCAGCGAGCCTGACAATCCGATCCCGTTAGTCGCCTCTTACGACAAGAATGGGTTGCTGAAGACCCGGATCTTCATGGGTCACTAGATCTTTCTTTAGTCTACATGACTTCTGCAATGGTTACTATGTTTCTCCTTGTTCATTTAGGAGGGCCATCGCTCAAAATGTCCAACTCCCCCAATGCTCAACCTGATTTCAGTTGGAGGACAACACCAAGGTAAAGTCAGCCTATTTGTCAATATCCCAAATAATTATTAGTGCGACAAAACAATCAAAATCTTTTTGTAAAAATATTTGGGTTTTACCTAAATCGGTGTATTTAATTTTGCAATGTCCTCCAAGAAACATTGAATGAATTATGGTGCAGACATGAATCTATTTTCACATAGGTGTGAATGGCCTCCCCAAGTGCCTAGGAGACAATGACAGAATATGTACCATGGCCCAGCACCTACTCAACATCGAACCATATGCTGCGTGTGTATCTTGTGTGTTCTGAACTCGTACAATAATTGTAACAGATCTGTACACTATTTGCTTTATATTTCGAAATAAATGTGAGAGTAAATTAAATGCCAAAAATGTGAGCGGTCTGTGCTCACATTAGTAGTAATGTTTAAGTCGTCAGAGGCCATTTTGGTTGATCCGGTTGATCCGATAATGTATGCACGAGAATGCATGAATATGTTAATGTAGGCAGGACGTCACAGGTCAGGAAAGGTCAATGAAAGAGGACGTCGTATCCGTCAGGGTGGCAGGAGTGAAACTGTCAGTTGCCAGACCCTGGCGTGGAGTTTTATTCTTGTACTTTGCTGTGACATGTACAAGAGGGAATCTGGAAAGACACTCTCTTCTTCATGGCAACACTTGTCGGTATGTGTTAGAAAACGGTGGTACGTGTATTTTAATTCTCTCTTACAGTAAACACAGGTAAATAAACCCTTGTCATGTTCACCGTTGGCATCCACGGGTAGCAGGCCGAGGCATGTGTCACAGAGGTAAGACATCTTGTACTGAACTGTGGAGTAGCTCTCAATCTGACGTCTCAACTGAAATCATGCGCATGCGCAACAGCCCTCTAGAAACCTATGGAAGTCACAATACTATATTGAATACACAGTAAACATGCTTACAGAGCTATTGACATGTTATTTTGGATTATATATGTGTTAACAAGATGTCAAAGTGATGACTACCACAACTCGTATCAATCGGCGAGTCGAGACCACTCAGGTCTTTACCGAACTGTGTAAGTAAGACTGTGTAAGTAATAACATGCCCAACCTGAACCAAATCTGCCCTCGTTGTTATTTGTGCAACTGTTGTACATTTCCTGTACATTCCGACTCCAGGACATATTAACATGTTTGTGAACTGTGATAAGTCAATGTCTAACCTTAACCTTTATCATACCGGTACTAGATCCAATTGTCAGAAACACTTCAAATTTACAGGACAATCTCATAATGGTGTAACTAAGAAAAAATCCAAAATTTCAAAGTGATATCACAAACGGTTCCAGAGATACCGGTATGTTCCCATATGGGAACATTGGCAGGATCATCGTGAAAAATGAAACAAAACTATATATTTGCAAAATCTCTTTGATTCTTGAAATTTAGTAAACAAAACAATGTTTAACACATAAATCGATGATGCAGGAATTTCCCGGGAAGAGCTAGGTAATGAAATGTTTGTTAGACAATCACATAAATTACGATGATGAGGTGGTATATAACTTATAATAATAATAATAATAGCATATTTGTTACGCGCATATATCCATGCTAAAGCATGCTCAAAGCGCACAAGATAAAGATGAGATTAATGGTAAAGAGCTACAGTTCAAAGGCTATCTTGAACATGTGTGTTTTTAGATTGGATCTAAAAGAATTAAGGTCACAAGAGTCTCTGAAGCTCTGCGGGAGACTGTTCCAGGCTATAGATCCTGCATGGACAAAGGACCTCTTTCCATACATCACTGTCTTTACTTTGGGAACAACAAGCAAGTTCTTTTCCTGTGAACGGAGAGATCGGGAAGGTGTGTACACGGATAGAAGATTGGATAGATAGGAAGGCGCAGTTCCAGTGAGACAGCGGAAAACAAGGCATAAGAGTTTAAACTGGATCCTGAACTCGACTGGAAGCCAGTGGAGAGTGTACAGTATAGGAGTAATGTGTTCATATTTTCCAGAGCGAGGCACGATACGGGCGGCGACGTTCTGCACTCTCTGCAGCTTGGCTATCTGGGTCTTTGATGCACCGGCCAGTAAACAGTTACAGTAGTCAAATTTACTCATTACAAGTGGCAATACAAGAGTCTTGGCGGATTCAACTGTAAGATATTGGCGAATGTATCCAATGTTGCGGAGTGACATGAAACAGGTTTTGACAAGATGAGATACATGAGAATCAAGTGACAAATTGAATCAAGGAACACGCCCAGAAGACTGGTATTGATTGCTACTTCCACTAATGTACCTAGAATGGGTTTTCTTCACAAGATTGCAGCGACTAAAATCATCTGGTAAGTGTGTCTGAATGTTATCCCAGCCATGTCAATATTGGCCTTGAACCAGGTCATCTGGTTCTAATGGGGGATTTCAGTATCCATGTCGATTCCGCGTGTCTTTCAATCTCCTACAACACGTGTCTGGTCCAACTCATCGATTAGGTCATACACTAGACCTTGTCATAACCAAAGGTAGTTGTGATATTCTGGATGTCGTTGATGTTACTGGCAAACAGATATCTGATCATTCACTACTTCAGTGCTCTGTCAAACTTAATAAACCTAAACAAGTGAAAAATAAGAAATTAGCTACAGGAAGACTCGAAATATAGGCATTAGGCAGTTGACAATGGATCTTCTGAGCTGCTTCAGTCACTCTGATTCTTGTGGAGTTGATGATTAGACTGATGTGTTTACTACTTGCTTATCACGAATATTTGATAAGCATGAAGTCTAGTTCTGTTGCCATTCGTCCTGTGGCTGGTATAACGATGACATCTGCAAACAGAAACAGATATGCCGTGCAACTTGAAGACAATGGCGTTGTTCAAAATTATAAATTCATCGCCAGCTCTTCAAAAGCGCCAGGAGTAATTTCAAGGAATTATATTCCTTGTTGAACAGTCTCTGGAAGTGGGATACAAATTGCACTCTTCCAGAACATACCGACAATTTATTTCAAGCCAACAGATTTGCAGATTTTTTCCACTCCAAGATATGGCATATATGTCAAGAACTTGACATTAAAGATACTCTGCAGAATCAGGTTTTCAAAGAGTCATGTTTCAGTGGTACATATTTGTGTGAACTCTCCTTAACCTATCCAAGAGAAATAAGACATGCTATATCCAAAGCTAAAGCAACGTCTTCTAGCCTGGATGCCATACCAACATGCATATGACTGTTGAAAGCAAGCTTACATTCTCTCATCAGTTCATTATCCATATGTGGTCAACAGCTCATTGGGGAATGCCACGTTTCCCAAAGTTTTCACAGGCAGTCGTCACTCCTCTCATTAAAAAGGCCAATGTAATTCTGGATGACTTAAAACAACTACCGGCCAGTATCTAATCTGTCTTTCATTTAAACATGTTTGGAGGAAATTGTTTCACGAAGGCTTGAAGGACACCTATTCAATAACGACCTGCTTGAAGCCTTCCAGAGTGCTTATAAATCCAAACATGGCACAGAGACTGCGCTTGTTCGTGTCCATAACGACGTCATCAGGGCAATGGACCTGCAGAATGTCACCCTGCTGGTCCTTCTTAATTTATCATCAGGCTTCGACACCATAGACCATACGATACTGCTTTCTCGCTTGGGGAAAGACTCGGTGTTACAGGAAAGGCTGTTTCTTGCTTGATCCAATCTGTCGGAACCACTCCATCTGCAAGAAATCTTGGAATCATATTTCAATCCAGTATTGTCCTTGAAAATCATGTCATGAACTTTAGCAAAACTTGCATCGTCACATTCACAACATCGGTAAAATCTGCCATCGTCTTGACCATGAAACGGCAAAACTTCTTATGCAGACTCTCATCACATCACGACTGTAATATTGTAACTCTCTTTTCTTCCATATTCCTTCATCTCTGATCCCAAAGTTACAGCGAATCCAGAATGCAGCAGCAAGGGTTGTAACGCCAGCAAGAGTTGTAACGCGCGCGCCGCGAACTGAGCATTTAACACCTATCCTGAATTTCAGGATTCAGTACAAGATACTTCTTCTAGTTTAAAACTGTGTCTTTGATGAATCATCGTGTCAGAAACCTTGTCTGGAAATATGCCAGCACATACCAACCAACACGTACTCTCCGTTCTGTCGACTATCTTCACCTATCAGCCCTAATCGTGAAATCATCAATGGGTGATCGAGCCTTCTCTGCCTCAGCTCACCTACTGTGCAACGATCTACCTCTTCCTTTAAGGATTGTGACACACCTCATTTTAAGACTCTTATACACACCTCTGCAAGCAAGTCTTTGACTAGCTATTCTGAATGACCTTTTCTTCTATCTCCTGTATAAAGCGCCACTGAGCAACATGCATGGATAGAAGCTTGGCGCTATAGAATAATAATTATATTATTATCATTATACTATTTGAAATAAAGAATTGAACAGATCAATCGTTGTTTTTCTTATTTATTAATGCAGTTTATGTGAATGATTTGATTTTAACGATGATCCTGCCCATATGGGAACATTTAAGGTCAATTCAAAATTATGACCTTTATTCCTGCTACAATGATAAAATTTCTTTTGCCATTATATACCTACATCATTTGTTTACAAGGACATGTCAAAAAAGTTGTAAAATAATGCAATTGTAGTTGTCAATTTTTTTATAGACCGTTTTCGGCTAAAAACACGTTTTGGGGGCATTTGTGGACCCTCGTCAATTCTTAACAAAAATCAAAATATGGTTTAGAAATGTTAGAACACTGGCAATTATCTTCAGATCAATATGGTTAAAAAATATTAATCTATCTTCACGCATAAAAAAGTTACAAAGCCTTTTATGATATATCCCGTATGGGAACACTGGCATGATAAAGGTTAATACAACAGTTTTAGTCAGCATATGAACTTTCACCACACACACACACCCTGTATCCAGTTTTCCATAGAAAGTTCTCTTTATTTAACAAAGTAAGCCACACGCTCTGGCGAGCGCGGATGCATTCAGCGTTATAGTCAGGTTCAGGTGTTTCAATAAACAGTTTCCTTGCGTCTACATTTATTATCTATTGCTTCTGTCTCTTTCCCAACAGATCTACCTTCATGGTGTTGTACGTGTGCTATATAACATAGATATATGTCTATCCATGTGTATTACGAACCATTTGTTTCAAATAGTAGGCTCTGAGTGCAGTCTGAAGTAAAACTAAAATTGTATACATATTTTAGTTTACACGGTTAAAACTCAAACCGTACATTTTTTTTTCATAACCTTTCATTTATAAGGAAAAGCTAACATGAACTATCATTTTAACATCTGGTTCAACTATCCAAGTCGGGACAGGGCTGAATAATTCAGCGCCTTCTTTACAAATTGTTATCAATAGTTTCAAGTCGCACCCTCCATTGTTTCAATTGAAAGCTGAAGAAGTAGGTTGCACGGTCTGTTGAGCGCGGGCTATTTGAAACGACGGGGTCACGTGAGTTTTCAAGCGCGCTCAATTCAAACTGGGCTGACAGGTACTCTCTATCTATTTATGGCAGCACGCTATACATAGCTCTATTCATTACACTTTGCTTTTGTTTTCACGTCTTATAAAGGGTTTTCTACAAGATTGCATGAACGCATATAAACATCCACCTTCCATTGACCTTTCCTGACCTGTGACGTCCTGCCTACATTAACATATTCATGCATTCTCGTGCATACATTATCGGATCAACCAAAATGGCCCTCTGACGACTTAAACATTACTCACATTAATTAAACTTTGCAATAATTTGTAAAATGACTGTTAACTTGATGGCATCATTTTAAAGCGAAAATACTAACTTAAATTTAAATCAAAATACTATCTATCCCACATCTCGGTTTAGTGAGAGAGAGAGAGAGTTAATATTTAACGTCACATCGGCAATATTTCAGCGATATCGTGACGAGAACATTTTACATTGAAATGGAATATGTTTTTATTATAAAACCTGTCATCGAAGGACAGTAAAACAACTAGTATATCACAATTAGATTTAAAACTAGTGTGGAAGGTTAAAACTAATAGCACTATTTGGACAATACAAGATAAAAACAGGCTATAGATCGCCAACAACTGAAGGTAGATTACCATACCAGAGACCATGGGGACTTACAGTACCTTTGCTACCTCGGTTTAGTGAGTGAGTGAGTTTAGTGTTACGCCTCACTCAGCAATATTCCAGCTATATGGCGGCGGTCTGTACATAATCGAGTCTGGACCAGACAATCAAGTGATCAACAACATGAGCATCGATCTGCGCGATTGGGAACCAATGACATGTGTCAACTAGGTCAGTGAGCCTGACCACCCGATCCCGTTAGTTGCCTCTTACAAGCATGGGTTACTGAAGACCAATATTCTAACTACACTGGTAGCAATGCATCACTCAAACACGAGAGGTATCAGTGCTATGGCACGAGCTCTACTCATTCGTGTCCAACTAGGCATCACAACAGGTAAGGACATATACCACGCAGTTTCGGCACACAGTTTTGCAGAAGAGATCGTTGTTGGCACGGATAGTACAGATGTGTACCCCAGGTACGTTTCTGTACACAAAAATATACCCTAAACAAAATCACACACAACACACAAACGTCAGAAAGAAAACGTTAACCCATGTTAAAATGATATTTTTTTAAGCTAATAAAGAAATGCCAGTATTAGCAGTCATGTTCATTTTTTGTATGCACTGTTTCAGATTTATACAAGACCAGTAAGTACTAAAGAGTGTCACTATATATGTAGCCGTTCTGTAATTGAGAAAATCCGAATATATTCTCTGGTAATCTAAAGCTGTCATTTTAAATAATGCAATTCACCAAACCGTGTTGTGTGCTGTTAGTAGGCCAGTAACCTATAATCATGGGTTAGATTCTCCTCGAACATGTTCTTGGTTTGTTGGCTGTGTTCATAAGTTTCAGCAACACAAGACAAGAGCTAGTGGCTCTGACACTATTTTAGATCCTTGCGGGGTTATCTGGATGCAAGATAATGCTATGGTCTGAATTGTGTCCATTGTATTATCAAATTATATAAATTATCGAGGATGACTTTCACAATACTACCATCACAGTGCAACTATAACAAAATGTCAGTGTTGTTTTGAACCATCCCCATGTTCACATGTTGTCTCCCCTTAGCCTGGTGCCAGCACAATACTGGCATGAACCTCTCAAAGAAAAAGAATATCGAGCCAAGAGTGTCTTCCTTGCTGACATCAACCAGGAGCGACCGGTAAGCATCCTCAATGGTTTTATTTAGGACTTGAGTTGTTTGTTTTCCTGTAGTTGTGTTGTTTTGGGTGATTGGGGTGGGGATGACGTGTCCTGATCTATTTTTCAGACCAAGAACATGACATACAAGGAGAACCTGCTGAAGCTGAAGAACATGGTGCTGGTGATGTTCCTGCACGACACCATGGTGCAGCCCAAGGAGAGTGAGGTCAGCACCAACAATGGTGATGATGATAATAATACAATCATGTTTATCAAGAATGATCATCATAACAATCATTATAAGTAATACTTCTATCAATATTATCTTTATGGTGATAATACTACTAATACAAGTGCACATTTAAATGTTTTTATAATCACTAATTTATTATAATTGTCATTCACAGTGGTTTGGGTTCTACGCCCCAGGGCAGACTCAAGAGCTATACAACATGACACAGAGTGACCTCTACAAGAATGTGAGTATGTCGTCCAACATCAGTGCTCTGTTTGACTCACACTACAGAGAACTGTCGATATTCAGACAAAATATATTCTCCCTGTGTATATTTTTTTAAACAAGGATAAAACTCTGTAAATATATGTCTCATAGGACTACCTTGGTCTGAAGACGCTGTACGAGAGTGGCCGCATCACCTTCCTGTCCTGGGATTCAGACCATCTCCGGTTCACAAACGAATGGTTCATCAACAGCATCATCAGAAGATTCCTGATGTAGACTTCTTTCATAGTTCTGGCACTGCTACAACTGAGTTCCCCATAGACTCGTCAATGACTCAGATGTGTGTCTGACAATGAGAAACAGTGGAATGGATTCCGAAAATTTGCGGAACCAGTTCTCTGTCTGATATGGTCACGGATGATTAAAAATACTCCTGTCAACTGTGAACATGTTGATTAAAAAGAAGGGAATGAGGATTTTGAAGGAAATTTTGGAAACAATTCTCCGTCAGAATAAAATCTATCAATGCTACAAAAGAAAGTAGGATATGGGGAAAACACTTTTCTGTAACAGTAATACTCAGCCTATACTAGCCTACATAGGTGCAAGATTTTCTTGGTTTTGCAATTTAATTTTGAAAATTTCCATTTAACTACAAGCAGTATACCCACAAGAATGTATATGTTTCCTGCACAGTTTACACTGTTAACGTTTTCAGAAGACAGCAATAACTTCAGAGTGGTTTTATTGCTGCAGTAAAGACAAACATTGCTTTAGATGCTCATGTAAATATATGTATTTCTTCTTAGAAGTTGTACTTTTACAAACATTTAATAAGTGATATTATAAGAACCTGTTTCAAAATTCTATATAAAATTTAAAATTTTAACAATAAATTGTACTTTATTATACTTATCCTATCTCACGTCTTGTACTCTATCTCTCATGATCGAGAGCTGAGTGGAAACGAACTGATAAGAAAGTTTTGGGCCGCTCTTGTACCATTCGCCCGAACACACCCCTACTGCTCCCGTATCTGGACACTGTCCAACCCCGCTGCACAGATTACAACAATTGCTCCAAGAAGAAAATGACTACACAAAGGGACAACATGATCAAGTGGAGGGCATGCTGCATGCTTCTCAGAGGCTGCCACAGTGCCCAGATACGGGAGCTTTAGGGGTGTGTTCGGGCGAATGGTACAAGATGTGAGATGGATAAGTTGAAAATAGAGAATTTGCGTATTGCAAATTGTCCTTTGTATTGAATTTCTTAAGCTTGTGTTTGCAGGACAAAATGAAGCAGCTGGGTCACTATTTGTTTACATAATGTAACATATGTATGTCTGGCAAACAGATTCTCACTAAACATAGCATTATTGATAATACTAGTTTTAGGTTTGCAGTACATACTAAGGGGGGATCACTCTCATCTGACTTCCTGTTCAAGGCTATGTGCTGATAACACCTGCCACTGTTAGCATGACAGTTCCCAATAAAGCTTTATAACAAGAAGCTCAACCTTGTAACGTGATTACACGTGAGATATATACTAACTCAAAAGAGAAACTGTGCATTGCAAAAAATACTCTTAGATGTAACACATTCACCCAAAGGCAATGGTATTGCATAAAACAAAATGTATTTGTCTGCACACATGAATGTTTTTATTGTACTGTAGGGACGTAAAGGGTCCACAAGTTGAAAGGGTAAAAACAGAAAGTCACAACTGCAACAACGTGTATTGCCGCCGTTGGCCTGAACCACAGCTGTACAACGACGCCTCATGGATGAGATTAGTCGAGCGTGAAAGACCTGGGGAACGTTATTCCATATGTGGAGATGATGAAGCGTTACTGGGGGGATTTGGCAGATGTTGAAGGCGGCGATCAATTTGCTCAATTGGCGAAAGATCCGGTGATACTGCTGGCCTGGGCAACACATCAAGTTGTTGTTGCTGGAGAAATTGTTGCACAACACGGGGTGTATGTGGACATCACACATCTCCACCAAAACAGGTTGTCTGAGGTGTCATCTGCACCATTGTAACCGTGCCTGGCGGTGATGTAATGTCATAAGGGGACGTATCGCTGGTCTCCTTGCACGTAAGCTGTAACTTCGTAGGCGGTTGATGACGGTTGGAGGATGAATCCGTCTTCAGTTGGGGATACTACGGGCTGTTGTTGTTGCTTGTTGACACCGATTAGGCAGATGAACCAGTCGAATCCATCGATCTTGCGCAGGGGTTGTAACTCTTAGTCTCCCTGAACGTGGGCGATCTCTGACGATATTTTGTTGACCATATCGACGGACTAATGCTGATATGGTGTTACGGTAACAATTAAAATGTTGAGCAACCTCCCGCTGGGTACAACCAGACTGTAGCAAACCCATGTGTCGTTCACCTGTTGTTAATCTTGGCATTACATTGTGGCGGGCCGCCTTGGGCTATTCAGTTGACAATGTGTGCGTTTGGATTGGCCATGTGTGGGCATTAAGTAGGCATATCATTCGCACTTTTGCATGCATTTCACACTTCTTACAGGCAACAGCATGCCTTCTTCTTCACGTGCATCACGTCCTCCAGTGTCTCATGCAGTTTTGTTAACACGTGTACCTCTCTGTTCCATAGCACTCAGGTATCTCCAGGTTTGAATTTCGTGCTCCTCTGATATTTACTTTTTGAAATATAATAATATTTTAAATGCACACTTCCTTTTTCAGGCGAATATATAAAGATCACGTAGAAACCATGACAAGAACACTGATAGTCATAGCCTTTGATCAGGAACAAACAACAATGAAGATATTGTGACATACTTTTATTAACTTGATAAATAAATTGTGATCATGTGTCTAGGACGTGAATCAGTTAAAAAATGTATCAACAATGTAAAATGTTGCAAGTACATACAAGTGGAAAGGCAAAACCAAAAACTGAATGCCACTAAAAAGAATCTTTACAAATACAAAAAAGTGTAGACAAAACAAATTTTCAACATGCATAAAAAAAGACAGAATAAACTTGTAAAATGTATATACATCTAAATCTGCACACAGTAACAAAAAGAAATTCCAGTGTGTTGTGGAAGTATTCTTTGAAAAAAAAGTAAATTGTGCAGCACGCAACAAAACTGGCAAAATGTCCAAGTATTTGTTCTATGAGATCAACAATAGGTTAAATACATGATGGTCACTAGCCAATTGTGCTTTTTTCTAAACCAACACAATGACCATTACATTGACTAGTATTATGCTTCAATTTGAAGGACAAGGTAGAGGAAGGGCTAAATTTGGCCAGTTGGAAATATTAATCAGTAAAGTTGAAGAAGTGTTCCTTCCATTGCAAATTCAGGATTCAGATAGAGTGCAAAGAGGGCTGGATTTCAGGAAGCAACCTTACGTAAAGTTGTTGCACCATACAAAAACCGGTTGCACCTACTGTTCAATATGAAATTACATATAATACTTGAGTTTGGGTATTGAGCATCATTAAAACTGGGGTCTGATCTTACTTCATACAAATTCATGACCTGAACAGAAACAGTCATTCAGTCAATGTCCATGTACTCATCAGTCACTGCCCCAAGCCAGTTCCTCATCATTCTGTTTTCCAGCTGAAGCCTGTGTTCTCTAAACAGCAAAATATTAACATGCCCTGGGTGCAAGCTGGTACAAATATGAGGTTGCAGTTTGCAGTTTCAGGTTGTACCAGTGCACCAATGCTTAAATCGAGCCCTGATATGTATGGATTTCTCAAACTTCAAGGACGGTTTTAGTATGAGGAAGTCTGTGATCCAAGATAAATCTTTTAGCAATAAACTTCTTATGTACATCTTGCCTTTGGGTCAAAGATTTGCTCATGTTAAAATATTGGAAAACGGTTCCTGATAATCCTCTAAACATGCCTTTTGATACATATCAGCTTCACCTCTTCATTTTAGTGTTATCTGTCCAAGTGTTGGAATGAATAGTCTTATTCTCATTCATATGAACACATCTGATAACTTTGATAATGATTGGTCAATATTTTCCTCATTTCTTAAATTATGCATATGTGAAAAGCCACAAAGCTCCCTGATCATAGCTTGTCCTTTGTTAACGAGTAGTAATAACCCAACAGGTCTACAACCTGCAGTGCCTCAATGATCTGCACTACGTATTTGATACAGATAAACAATCTACAGCTAGGTTACCTGTACATTACCTGCATTAAATTAATTAATGATCAATAAATAAACCAAAGTGACATACATTAATCTTGTATCACATACTAAACATAAGAATAATTGCTTCATACCTGTTTTGAGAAAATGCTAACAACAATTATTGCTCTTTTTCTCTGCTCTGTTTCCACCACATAATACCGTGCTGAATATATAATCTTTTTGATATGATGTGATCATTACTCAAATGATCACAAACACATTTGTATAAAAACAATTTATACACTAAAGAAATTGAAATTATTTTTTTACTTTAATTGAATAAAAATAAATCATTAACAATACAACACATATCTTAATATACCAGAATACCAACACAAGGATACTTATTCCTAACCTTCAGATGAGTGAAAAATGGTGACTCATCTGTTTTCACTGTTACTTAACGGGGGAGCTAAAATGACCCCAAAAGCTGATTAGTAGATTGGCCCTTAAGCTCTCATTTCTGTTTAGGCAGGAATATTCGTCATTAAGTAGTTAGTAAAGAAATACATAACTTTTATCATCATTTATCCAGTCTGTTTGTATCATGTATTTCGTTGCATCAATTCCAATATCAAATCATCCATGGTCGTTTTATTGAGTATTTCTAAAACTCAAAGCAAACATCTATCAAATATATACACTCAACAAAGACTTGTGATATGTAATTTCTGTGAGGTTTAAGGAACTCTTACAAGAGGTTCTTTTTGAATAGTGTGAAATTCTAAGACAGTGACTAAGACTTAGTGGAAAGTTATTTCCCACAAAACTATTTGAACACAAGTTTTAATTCTTTACACGAAGCTAGTTTCGTTGTATTAAGACATACAGATGGCTCATAGCAATATTGATGACACTCAAATGGTATAAAAATGTGTGAATAAGCATTGTACCACATACTACTCTGTAACCATGACAATGTCACAAAAACACACTTCGTTGTAACCAGCAAATACAACAAAAACTATACAGAGGGTGCAGATATGTCTCAAAAGATAAATTTGAACTGATAAAAGCAATACTTTTACACTACCAGAACTCACTAATATTAACTCATGATAGTATAGCCATACCAAATGCTCTATTATATCATGATTTTATGGATAAACCTTTATTCCATAATTAAAAAGTTCAATAAATACAACTGCTGTGTTTCATTAATTATTTAGGTGAAAACAAGCTGTTTTCGGGAAACTATCTTGCAAATACCATGACAACCTGTGTTCTTATCATCCCTAACAACCATGACCAGCAGAAGAGCAAGATGGTCAATTATCACTTTAGTTACCCTCGCCCCCAGCAACGGGGATGAAGTAGCTATCAGCATATGGATATCTTTCAAAAACATCTGTATACTTGGAATAATAAATCGTGTTAGATTTCCATAGATGCTTATGTTTCTGAGTGAAACTGTCGAATACTGTTTAAAACATCTACCACTTTAACAAACATTGGACAGGTTTGTGCATCAAAATGGCAGTTTCTGCATTACTGCAGACTTTCAGACTTGTCATATTGCTTCATTGACAGTTGCTGAGAGGTTATTTGGTCCAGACAAGACAAAAAAAATCTTATCCAATAACAAACTTTTCACACTTGATGACAAAAAGTAGGTTGTGCTGATATCTTAGGAGTCTATGTCTGCGGACCATTGATTCTGTTGCAGCCTTCAGACAGAAAAGTGAAAACACTGAGTATGATGAACGAGAAACCTAATGTGACCTTGAGCTCTTTGATGACTATTTAGTTTGATTTGGTAAGAGCAATAATACTGACAAGGACAAATGCACAACCTAAACATGTTATCTGTAATTCACAGCCACACCCTTGATGATGATAACTCAAGAGACTCGGAGATGCCAACCCATAATTGAGACAAATACAATTACATAGATAACTGGAACGTAAAATGAGAAATTTAAAAAAGATGTAACCACCATAAACATGTTTCACTACATGGCTTTAACGAAAATAGATCAATGTCTGCGTCATTTAAGACCCAAAGTTCTCAAAACATATATTCGTGATCGCAAGCATGATATAAGTTGATTAGTAATTGGTGGCATGTGTGACAATGACTTTAGAAAGGTCTGTGTTTAGATCAAATAACAGGGATGATTTTGTAATATATTCATCTTATATACTCGGTGGAATTATGTAATATAGTAATGCTTCCATCAGAAATAGAATCACCGCATAACATAGTGTGTTCTACTTCATTGGAAGCTCTTATTCATATAGATCCTACTAGAAAGCAACTGCTAATTTAGTTCGTAATAACTGCAGTATACGCATTCAATTAAAATATACAGCAAATCTCCATTAACAAAAATCTCTTTGGTATATCTGTCAGTTTGATGGAAACGTGTTTCTTGTAAATGTAGTTTATGGTAGTCAAGAGGCAGCCATATTTGACCCAGGAACCCCTTAAGTTCAAACACTGAGTAGACAGTTACTTCTGAACATCTTTCTCCCCGATGTATTGTGTGGAATAATTTGGTTCAAGACATTCTCCCAAGCTTTCCCTTTAGCCATGCAAGACTTTCACAAAAGAATGACATGAATATGAATATATGTTCCATGTAATGAACAGGAATAATATTAACCACTGACATAGGGTCAATACATCATGATACTAATATCACAGGGGACAAGCAGTGGAAACTTAAAACCAAGCACACACAGATAAGGGAATGTGTAAATGAACTTCTGGACGAGACATTCATGTATCAAAACAATAAATCTGGAATGATCGTAATGATTATATATTGCTCTGAGGAATGGTCACCATAGTAACTATGTACATGGAAAGTGATAAATATTAAAAACAGACAGGGCCTTGAGTCTTTGTGTGCAAGCTATTAGTCATGTTATTGTCTGGAGCAAATTGTAGCTGGGTCTAACTTGTCACTACTTGAGTGAAATAGATATCAGCAGGAGTGGAAATAACTTTAAAATTGCTAGTGTACTCCGGTACAGTGGCACATGTAAAATCACTTGCCCTGATAATTTTTCCACTATACCGGCCATTTTCTTGTTGATTTTTTAAATAAACAACAAAATTAACATTGGAATATCAACTGGACACCGGTACAGTGTGATATACAAATTTGCTTGCCCGACAGAAAAAAACACTGGACTCGGGCGTCGGGCAATGGGTTATTTCCACCCCTGATCAGGTGAATGAAGGTAGACACAAAAGATGTTCATCATGTCGGTGAAATGCAACAGCATGTGTATGATGATGACAAACTAAGAATCACAATCGGGGTGAATGAAATGAACATGAAACTTGATTGTGGTGTTGTGTTACAGATTGTGTTACAGATCTAAAAGAACTAAGAATTTGCCTCAGCATTGTCCCTCTTTAACCTTAAAGTGAGCTGACTTTATAGGATAGTGTGCCAGTGTTTGTTTAACTAAACATCAATGACACTATTATACCATTCTATACTGACTGATGGCTATAACAGGCTCTCAAAAAATGGAATATATGTCGTAGCTGGGACCGCAAAAGACATATATTGATATTAAGTTTCAAACAATGGTACCACTCTAAATTGGACAAGAATTAACAGCATGTCTGACTGACCTATATTTTACCTTTCATTTACTATGATCAGCTGCGAGAATCTGACATTACCGGTAATTAGTTGTACCTACCTGACTTAATCAGCTGTGCCTATCTGACTTAAGTCAGCAGCGCCTACTTGACTTTATCCAAGTGCGCCTACTGGTACTGATTAGCCATGGTAAACTGTCAGTGTCCAGACATTGAATCAGGTAATAGTGCTACATATATGTACATTTCTTGCAATAATGAACTGCTCCTGACCAATTTGAAGAATGAACAATTAAACAACATGCCAGCATGTGATGATACTGGACTGAATATTGCACACCGCATTTTGTAAAACATGAAATATTTACAAAAAACTTCAGTGGCCCTTGACACAGAGCTCGATGCAAGAGAACCAATTTCTACAACAAATTATTGTCATGAATCTCTGAAGTTAACAGTCGCTTCAATTACAATGCCATGATGATATCAATCAAATTACTTTCAAACATTTAGAGATCACACCACTGTAATGAAAGTAGCACATCAGAGTATCATACAATGTGGTGTTATCACAAAATTGGTAGAGAAGTCTACACTACTATTTTCATTGTGCCAACCAAGACCATTTTGGAGCAAGTTCTCCAAGGCTGATCTCAAATCAACACAATGCTAATGAAGAGATTATTCATATAGTTACTTCCCCTTTAAAACCTGACTGGAACAGCACAAACTAAACAGCTGAATCTTTATCTATGAATTATCATTATGACCAGTAAAATACCACAATTTTAGAAATGCGTATTTACATCACAGTAAGGACTGGTGAATGAGATCCACTGTTCCTCCGAACAGAGACTTGCTTAAATTCATGCCTGTTACACCATGTTACACAGTAACTGAAACATAAATGTTCCTAATAGACTAGGAGATCATCTGGAGGGTGTGCTACTACCAGTTAAAGGCTTGTAGGGAGAGCACTAGAGCACCAAGGATCAGGAATAACGATGCTGTGAGACTGGAGGCTGTGGTGTACTGGCATTTGAGGGGGAGATCTCGGAGGGCTGGGCATTTGTCTTCCTCGGCCAGGGTAGCATGGGATGTCTCCTCATGGGCACATGTGCCGTTCACGATACGATACGCTCCAGAGTTAACAATACTGAAACAATAAGTAACATGTTAGGAAAATACACCAGCAAGACTCTATAGTTCACTTGCATATTTCACGAATATTACCCTTACATCACAATAAAAATCAGAAATATATTAAACAAGGATATGCAAAATAAATTTGGATAAATACTTCATAATGGGTGCCAGGACAAGTGTGAAATTATATCAGTGGAGTTGAACTCGTGACTACTTGTCTCACATGTAACAGCAAGGATCACTCCTGCAAAGCTTCATTGTAAACTTTTATGGCAGACAAGCGATGGAATACGCTCTCCTCAAAGGAAAAGTTCTGGTAATCTAAACATGAATAATACCAGTAGTGGTTAGATTCTTACGTTCTTGTAATCTTGCAGTTGAAGTTGTAGAACAGGCTTTCTCTATACTGCTTCCAGTTTTCTATCACTAGCAGGTAGAGGTTTGTGAGGGGCAGGGCAGTCACGTAGTAGAACCCTGACATACATGGACCTGATACATTGCCAGTCACCATACCGCTAGGACCTGTACATATAGAACATCACTGGTTAATGAGAGCTGTCACATCGTAGAAAACTGACGTACACAGACTTGATATGACAAGCATGGGTTGCTGAAGATTAATTCTGACCCAGGTCATATAATGCAAGGGGTATAGTCAATGCCTCGTCTATCTGTCCATCCGTCCGTCTGTAATCATTTAATTTCTGGAGCATAACTAAAAAGACGTTCCCTGTTTTTCAACAACAATTGGCAGCAGTGTAATATCAAACAGATCCTGAAGTGGTGCCTTTTACTATTTGTGGATTTCTTGCATTTTGTCTTTTTCGAAACGATTTGGACTTAGTCTCAAAAGGGAGGGTGGGGGGGTATTTCCTTTCCAGAACACTGCTCACTTTTTAGGAATTATAAGACAATGAATGAATACAAGATATATTTTTTTTAATGAAACTGTGCACAAACAAAAACATGGTTGTCAGCTGCTGCCTTTTGCTATTAGGGATCTTAATTTCTTTTTTTCTTTTGACTTTGATATTGGTGTGTACCTGACACAGAATGGTACAAAGTTATGAATCCCAATTCCATGTTATTGTTTTGAGAGCCCAATAAATACTCTTGTATACGGATGGACAGATTAGACAAAAATTCTCTCATCATTTTGGATTATAAGTAACTGTCAGATGATTTGCTCTACCTTGTGGGGGCCGGGAGGATTTGTCATCTTCTGATGACTGTTGTTTAAGTATATACAATGATTGAGCACAAGAAATACATACCAAGGGCTGAGTCATTGGCTTTGTAGCTGACCACATCCTGAATACAGCCAAATTCACTGTGGAACTTTGGGATAGGACCTCTGTTCCTGAAGTAGTCGTCCAGCTCTTCTGGCTTCTTGGGGATCCCAAGCAGGCTCACCTAGGAACAGGAGGTGAATGGTTAGAGAATTCTGCTAAGGCCACATCAGCAATTTTGCAACTATTCGCAGCGAAAGGTAAACAGTAAAACAGTGTATGCATGGAGCTGTAATCAGTTGAAGCAGTAACTAGTTCATCACGGTCAGACGCATCAGCCGTCTTGGCCTACATGCACAGGGCTTTCTTAACACTATATACATGTTCTCCCATACTCTAACATGAACCTACAAAAGGTTTACTGTTAAGGTTTATTTGTGCAAGTGGGCCCAGGAAGGAAACAGCTTCAGTAAAACAAAGATAAAACAAACATGGCAAAATTTGACATCACCAGTTTCAACCAACGATTTTAAAATTTCTGACTGTTCCCTGAAGTAACTGCTTTAGAAAACCTGCTTTTGAATATGCATGCTAAGATAGCTGTAAAACAATATCATCATCTCACATTGTTCCAACTGAAGTCACTCATTGGAAGTTTTATTTCTCAAATGTAGGAAGTATGTATAAAAATACCAAGAAGTTGATAGTGGTCAGCTCAACCTTATTGAACGCATGTGAATCGCCCTTGCACAATGACCTGTCTCTCCACAACTCCACAGGAAGTTGGCAATGCTCTTACTGAAGAGTGGATAAATCTTCCTAAGGCAATCATCAACATTCTACACATAACCTTGTATACCTAAGGAATGCAAATCTGTACAGCAAATTGTGGACACTTCCAGCTCCACATGTGCCCTCCATCTATTGGTGAAAATTAGATAAATCATATCATATCTAGTAACTGATGATTGCTGCAGCTGGTTAAAGTAGGATATTTCTTACCTTAGCTTCTGCAGGTGTTATACGACAAGTGCCCTGAAAGTCAAATGACTCAGTTCGTTTAAAGAATCCATGTTTGTAGACAAGATGTTTCATGACTTCGCCTTCTTTCTTGCCAAGCGTGACTCCGGCATATTTGCTCTTGTCCAGGTTCCCAGCCAACAGGAAATCTGGGTCCATCACCAGGTAGGCCTGGCTGTCAAACAGGTAGCACCTGAAAAACATCAAGACAGAGCTCTTACCCCATGAGGACAACATACATGGGGGCAGTGGAATAGCAGAAAGTCCAAGGTATTTCAATGAAGGCGTTTGATTCATACATCATAGCTATTTGATTTGTATGTACAGATCTTTGGGATGCTATGCCCTAGGTTTTTGAATGATTGTCCAAAATTCTTGATTATTATGTCTTAAGGCTGGGATGATACACTATGTCGCGATACGATACGTATCGCAATATTTTACCTGTGATATGACACGTATCACGATACAAACACATTGAAAGAATGACACAGTATTAAGATTTAAAATGATTTATTTCAAGGTATTTGTGTATAACAATAACACTATTGTATTAAACAAACAAGTAACTCTATCATACTTGTGTATTTTTCTCTAAATAAGTACTCTAACATGTTTAAGATAATACTGTTTTGAAAAAAAAGTTGTGTATAGTTTTGTATCAATACAACAGTCGACAATACAATAGCTGTATCAAACTTAAATGTATCATGATGTATCGGTGCATCGTCCCTGCTCTATTATGTCGTAGGTTTAACATTTATATATATTGTAGAAGTTTTAGTCATGTATCCTGTATGTTTGAGTCTTGACATAGCTTCAACTGGCCAGGGATGACATATCATATATATGTAGAATGTAGAATTTGAAATTGAAATATCTTGTGTCTCTATTCATGACATATCATATGATCTACTATTTCCTCCAAGACACATCAATTTGTTACTTAAAGTAATGGATGTTCCTAGCAATATCTCAAGGTCACTATAACAAATCATGAAATTTTGGTCTTATTCTTAGACTGAAACAAGTTACTTTGACATTAGCAGAATAATTCTGTTACAAACACTCAAGAGCCCCATGAAAACACTCACTTTCTGACACAGGATTCTCACACTAAAACATCTACAAACACCCAATCTGTGACCTTAACCACCAGTCCAAAGCCACGGTTATTCAAATAAACTCAGCCAGTAATAGTCCACTTAAATAGACAAAAAGCATCTCAGGTTTGGGGAAGAAAAAAACACATGCATTAAAAATTCCTTGAAATGTATGCTAGAAAACTATTAGTGCTGAAATTAATCTGATAAATTACTACGGTTAGTAAAAATGTCCTATTTGGTAACAGTAATATTTATGGTATCATTATTGTGCAGGACATGTGAGAAGTTTCCATACCTCGTCTCACAGTCAGGCTCTCCATCCGGGCAGTAGTAGGTCTGGCCACAGGACTTGCGGAAGTCACTGGCCTGCATGCTCTCCATGGTCTTCTTCTGGAAGTCATCATACAGAATGTCCAGCCCAGTCACAGCTTCCACCCGCTCTGTTGCACATCGGCGCTGGTCGGAGTTGGGGCCTGGCGCCTTGCTTAAATAACAAACCTCTGCAGACAGAGTGAGCGAGAGGGTTTAATACAGCAGTATCAGTGAGACACGAGACTTATTGAATGAGCTTCACAGTTCAACGAATCAGTAGATCAGGGTACAACTGAGGGTGGCAACTCTATGCAGTGAGTTGTTCTGCAAGAGACTAGTGAGACACCCCTGCAAACCCACGCCCTGATGAAAAATACACAAGAGTGAAACAGAGTACGCTCAGTACTTCCCTTGTTGCTTGTCCCAGACACATAGTGTTATCAGCATAAAACTTCAATCTAGTTCCCTGTACAATAAGTTATAATGTGTAACCTAATCAAGTGAGATTAACCACATCCTCAATAATCTCGAGGGTATACATTCCGATAGATCTCTACAAGTACCCTGGATGCATCTACAGCTCGGCCCGATAATTCTATTACTTCCCTTTGCTGACTCCGCCCGATAAATCTATTACTTCCCTTTGCTGACTCCCCCCTTCTCACAGTAGCCAATCAGAAAAGCCGTTACAACTAAGCTTGCGAGTGTCAACAAAGATGGAAGCTGCAGCTACGAAGGTTTGCTCGCTGAGCGACTCAGCTTTAGGGAATACATCAGACAGACAGGTCTGAAACCTTAAAAAATATATGCAAGAACTCATTCTACCTCTTTCAGGGTGCCTCTGCAAGAAATGTGTTGCCAAGTTTAATCGTTATGATAGTAGCCTTGTGACTGGTACGCTCAACTTCTCAGCGTAGACACCTGATTGGATAAAAAGCCAGCAAAGGGAGGTAATAGAATTATTGGGCCGAGCCGTAGATCCATCCAGGGTACAGGTGGAGATTTATTGGAACGTAGATGGACTAACCAATCTAACAATGTATTTACACTGACTAAGGAGTTATTGGGGGAATGTGATCAGGATTCTAGTTAAATCACAGCAAGTCAGCTTAATGTGGCGGAAAGTTCAAAGAGATGCCTCTTTCAGTTCATCACTTTAGTTAGATCCATTAGTATGGGTACAGTGCTAATTATAACAAACCCAGAAACATAATCTTGTCAAACAGGTTTCAGACCCACGATCATAGCTTTCTGCCATGCCCAAGTTATGTCTCTCTGCACAGCCAATATTAAACTGGCTCTGTGTAGATTACACAATGCCATTTAGAAAGTAGTCAAATGTAACATATGTTATATCTGGGATTACACTTTTTTAGTAAGTAATCCCATGCAGGATTGGAACCCACACCATCAGCGTCAGGCACCTAATCGCCAGCAAACAAAGTCAGCCGCCTAACCCGCTTGAGGAAGTCGCGGTGGCTGAGCTGATGATGCTATTTCACACATCTGTGCAGACATTCAGCTTAGCGTTACTTACTGATGAGACAGTCACTGTCCAGGTTACATTTGCATCCCCCAAGCAGCGACCCCTTTTCATATTTGGCACATTCTTCATCTGTCTTTGGTGTCATTCCTTCAAACACAGCTTGCGATATTGTGTTGATTTTGCCTACACCAGCAGCATCCATATAAGGTGTGGAGATGGACGTCTTGTGTGGGGCAGAGCTTGTTCTCTTGTACCATGGACGTCTAGAGATACACACAAATAATCACTTGGTTAGAATAGAATAGAATAGAATAATACTTTAATGCCTTTTCAGGAATTTGTGTTACATCAGCAGAGCTACTGACACATTAGAGAGATACCAAACATATTTACATAAATTCTTTGATTTAGGTATCTTCACATTTGTTTAAGAGAGATATGGTACTCGGAATAAAGGATGTACGGGCTCTCTTAGTTTTCACAATTAGAACTTTGTAGCGGCGGCCTGAAGGGAGGAGGTTGTATTCCGAATTTAAGTAGTGAGTACGGTCAGATATGATTTTGACAGCTTGATTCACGATTTGCCGCTCATATATTGATGATAAACATTCAAATCTGACTCCAGCGATTTTACTTGCAGTGTTAACAATTTTGTCTATTTTAGATTTAAGATCTAGATATAACTAAATATGAATCCCTGACATGCTCCAGTGGATCAGGACAATATTTTTATCAAATCAATTTGAAGCATCAGATTATAAAGTGTTCAGTGTAAAGGATGAGTGAGTGAGTGAGTGAGTTTAGTTTTAGGCCCACTCAGCAATATTCCAGCTATATGCCGGCGGTCTGTTATAAATAAACAGGTCTGGACCAGACAATCCAGTGATCAACAGCATGAACATCGATCTGCGCAATTGGAAACCGATGACATGTGTCAACCAAGCCAGAGAGCCTGACCACCCGATCCCATTAGTCGCCTCTTACGACAAGCATGGGTTACTGAAGGCTCATTCTAACCCGGACCTTCACAGGATGAGTGAGTGGGTAGGGCTTGTGGTGTTCTGAACTGTGGTCCAGTAATGTTAGCTTAATGTAGGCAGATAGCCTGAAGTCATACAGGTCTCAAAATATTCATCACTTCAGAGAAACCAAGCACAGGCATGGTGCTGACAAACATAAACACATTAAATCTAGATAAACCAGTATTCGAACCCATGTTCAAAGACAGGCGCACACAGTCAATTGTGGTGGCATAGACAACTGGGCCACCCTTTTCCTCAGTTGAAAATCAAAGAGTCCTCGATATTACTCCATCATTAAAAGTCAAATATTTTGAAGGTCCCAAGAGTCAAACACAGTGAAATTCAACCTTTACATCAGTACACAAAAAGTGAGTGAGTGAGTGAGTTGGGTTTAACGCCGCTTTTAGCAATATTCCAGCAATATCACGGCGGGGGACACCAGAAATGGGCTTCACACATTATACCCATGTGGGGAATCGATCGGGTCTTCGGCGTGACGAGCAAATGCTTTAATCACTAGGCTACCCCACCACCCCAGTACACAAGAAGACCCATAAATATACAAAAGGGCAAATAGCTGATGCCATTCAGGATTAGTGATTGACATTATGACAGTTGATCAACATACATGCAACTGTCCATGCTTAACATAAAAGACAGTACCACACTTCACTTTTAAAAGTACTGGTACATACACGTAAAACTGACAAAATGTGGACATGTGCGAATAATGAGTGAAAATATAAGCATAATAATAATAAAATGATAATTGTACTTTGACATGTATGGTACTCAACCCCCCACAACACAATGCTCATACAAGTATTACCGAAAGGATCAGTGTATGTCTAATTTGCAACCTGTGGAGAAAATAACCTAGTGGTATTACTCGATATCATTCTTTAAATATATATATGTTATGACCTTGGCCCTTCCAGATGCACTCACTTGGTGGGGTCGTAACCTCTTGTTGACCTGTGACCTGGGTAAGTCCTAAAGACACCACTCCGTAAGCCAACATTTGTCCACTTGATTTGGTTTATGGACTCAAAATCTCGAGTTGCCCAGATTCTCTCAATTGGCTGAGTCAGCAAAACATCCGCTCTGGACATAAGTAATGTAATTAGGGCCATGTAACAATATTAAGATGGAAATGTTACTTAAAATTATATTCTAATATGTTCGAGAACATTTTGTATTCCATTGAACTATTTCTGTATTGAGAGATGTTGTTTGTTTACTTACAATCCCAAATGATGGTTTAGAAATTAAACCATAAATACAGATACAAGAAGTTCTTTAAAAGATGATCCAAGATCATGCAGTGTACGATCACTCTCCTACCAAGAGGTCCATGCAGCCAGCACTTTACCTCAGCAAAGGCAACCGTCATGATGATCTGTCACATCTTATATAGTCCATATAGTGCATATGTTTTGCATCTGTTTCTTTTTTCACAAGTCTTTTAATCTTGATAAACATATGTAATGAAATGATAAATCTGTGAGAGCTCCTCAGATCGTGTGACTGATGTTGTTCGTGTTGTAATGTGTGTGTAATGGATATATGTATTTATTGTAATTCCAGCGTCCAAGACAAATTCCCTTCTTGGGCAATAAAGTATTATTATTATTATTATTATTATATCAAACTTTCATCAAGAAAATACAGTCAAATCCCGATGAGTCGAATCTCTGGAGACCAAGTAATAAATTCGACTTATCGATGTATTCGAGACATAGGTATGTCTATGAGGGTAGACAAAAAGATGATCCAGTCCTAATTCCTCCACCTAAGCATTTGTTTATCTAATGATTTCCCTATCACTAATAGGGGCACCTTATCAGTTCCAGTCTGATTAGCACAGACAGTGATTTCCGTAAAATCACTAATCTGCCTTTTGAACTCACCCGTCAATGGCGGAAGGTGTGAGCCGCGATGGTTTGTTAATTGGATCAGTTTGGTACACCAATCAACTTCTCATTGACTGACTTCGGCTTATGTATACAAGATTGCTGTTGTTTGAATCTCATGGGACCAAATTTGCTTCTCGAGTCATCGTGTGTATTTATGAGACGAATTCGTGTAACCGGTATTCAAATAATGACAACTATAACAGGGAATGGTCGGGACCGACAGGTACTTCGAGTTATGCATAATATTCGAGACACCGGCATTCGACTCATCGGGATTTGACTGTATATAAAAAAGTAGAAAAACTACTTCCATTTGCATAGTTATCTTTTATTCATAAACGTGGTACAGCTCCATCTGTGTCAAAGCCAAATGAGAGCTACCGATACTTTGATTTGTAAATGAATATTGTCGTGCAATTTACTTCGTAGTAGGTGAGTATGTAATTATCAAATCAATATGTGGAGTGCACCAAAAGACTTACACTAAGCCTGTATGTTTCAGATTTCAGAATATGGGCATTTGTCGACAAACTGGAGAAAAGATTAACCTGTTATGCTAAGTCCTCATTGTGCCAGCTTATGGTATCTCAATTCTTTCATGAACACTCTGGATTCTTTCAGCACCGCATCATCATTTGACAAGTGATGTTACCAACCAACATCTTGATGGGTATACTATTGCCAATATTTTCGTATTGCGATATATTGTGATATGTGTTGGCGTATTGCAATATGTATTGCAGTATATTGTGGCCACTGGCCACTGTAAGGACTCAGATGTGATTGTACAGGAGTTTAATTGAAAATGTTTCCAAATTAAAAACTTCACTCTAAAGTTTGGAACTCGTGAAAAAGCGTCCGCCATTTTGGTTTGTTTATCCTTCCAACGAGTGCCGGTACCAATCTATTTTTCCTTAATTATATGGTTTAAAAGTCACGCAAATGTGCAAATAGCTATTAATTATATGACCAATAAACATTCTCAAAACTATTAATGGATAATAATATAAAGGAAATACAAATGTTATTAGTACTTTTGACTACATCACGAAAATTTCCGATCGTATCCGGTGAACCGGTTTGCGAAAAGTGTACCCAATATATCGTATCGTGAAGTTCGAATTGCAATATACCGGGTTAACCAGTATTATCGCCCACCCCTAATCTTGATATCAACTTTATACAGAACATGTCTGTCCTACATCTGCCATTTGATTTCCTACCATTGTGACATTCCGATTAGTTTGTCTATCAAATTATTGCATCAATCCTATTAGATTGTCAGTTAAATCATTGAGTCATACCCATCATTCGGTCTGCCTTACTTTGTCACACTGAACACTATGGCGTTCGATTGATAAAGAGCATTTATCTACCAATCATTCATTATTCATGAGGAGGTCTTAGGCCAGGGCCCCGTTTCACAAAGCTCTCGTAGCGCTACAATTATCGTAGTCAATGTTACAGTATAGGAAGTACAAATGCTACGAGAAAAGTTACGAGATCTTAGGCTTACAAGAGCTTTGTGAAACGGGGCCCAAGACTGTAACTTCATGTGGTAGATTTCTTTTAAAGACACTACTGCCAGTTGACACAAACAAGTTGAATTTATCACTCATATTAACTACAATTATCTCAAGAGTCATAATACAATTACAGAGATCCAAACAACCAAGACTTAGTACTAACTGGGATGATTGGGATCTAAAATTAGCAATTTAAATAACTTGAAAAGATCAAATCAATAGAAGCAAATAAACTGAATTGTTTTTCAAACTGTTGTTATCCGAAACAGTGTCCCTGAAATATAATGGTTGGTATCTTTGATCACATAACACACTGGACAAGCTAGGATTTGTCTGATACAGGCTTCAGTTTTAAACCTACCGAACACCCTTATGAAACTTCTGGTTGCCTGAGTCACATCCTTCATCCTTCTGGTAACTGTTGATCCAGCGATGAGCGTCCAGGGTCTTCTTGTCCAGGTTGTCATCATACATGTAGGTGGTGGGGTCACACCAGGTCTTGGGGGCCAGGAAGATGGTGGAGTACTTGTAGGAGATCCTCAGCCCTGGGTAGCGCTTCTCCTTCTCCCGGACGTCCAGCTCGTGGTACGCTCTCGGCAGCTTTTCTCGCAGCAGGTCACTGGTGTACTCCTTCAGCAGGTTGAAGTAACTCTTCACGTACTTCGATCTGTCAACAGGCTCTTGGGACCGACGGAATTCCTGGTGGAGAGGAAAATACATGTAATACATAGGTATAAAACATTTCAAGAACTTTTTGTTATTTGTAAGTGCATTTTAGAAATTTCCAAAATTAGCTGTTTGATTCAAAATGTAATATGGTTTGAAAAGGGTGTTTTAAATATATATTAAAAAATGCTAGAGTGCCACACTAACAGAGTTCCCACATTTTTGTGAAAATGAATTCCATGATTTTTCCAGACAGATATTGCTTTTTCCAGACACAACAATATATATCCTAGGATATCCTGATACTTTTAAACATATATTACTGTGTCTGAAATAAAATAATATCTTAAATACGGCCTCCCATCTCCCCTTACAGCTGTCCATTCACACCTCTTTATGATAAGATGACAAAACAAAAATGAAACATCAATTGAATACATGTTATTGTTTAGATTTTAGTACCACATATATTCAAGCCAGTATTCACATTTATTACCCACGTGGTCAACGTATGGGTAGTTGCATATTAATCTCGTACGTCACACGAGTGTCGTATCGCGTTGACCTGTGTCGTAACGACTTGACCTGAAATTCTAACGATTTGATTGGATAACCGATGACCTCTCAATTAGGTCACATTCTGACGTAACTATTTTTTCATTCATAACAAACACGTGAATTCATTCATTCTACAACTTAAATGCATTGTGGGAATGTAAACATTGCGAACGTTGCCGTGTCGCTGTTTAATTGTGAGTCGAACTGAGACATTATATCTGTCAAAAAAAGTAAACGCAATGTTTCCACCAGTGATGTTAGCCGAATGAAGCAGCTGGAAACCAAGAAGCGAGGTGCAACGGAGTAGTTTACTGTAGGAGGCTGTGCGAGGCGATGACAACTGACATGCATCGTGGCGTCGGTTACCATGGCAGTGGCGTCATTAGTGTGGCGTCATGCAAATATTGTACTACAGTACAAAACTCTTCCGCAACCTCTTTATGAAACCGGTTTCGGTTTGAAACCAAAAACATAACAAAAATACGCTATTTTGTCAATTTATATGCATGTAAGGCGTGGGTAATAAATAAAATACCACTTTCGGCCTCATTACATACGAATTATCTGAGAACTTCGTGACCTTCCTATGTTATCTGACCTCGCTTTCGCTCGGTCAGATAACATAGGAAGGACACTCGTTTCGTATAATTCGTATGTAATGAGACCTCGTGTAGTATTCTCTATATATGCCAACTAATCCAGATACACATGATGATGGCTGCCATAGCCCTTGTAGTACAGTAAAGATATACATGTACAGCTTTGTTAAATAAAAACCCCAAGATTATTCCATGATTTCATCCATTTTTTTCAAATTCCATGTGATTTTTCCAGGACTGGAAAATGGGTGTTAAATTTCCAGGTTTTCCAGGTCTTGTGGGAATCTGACTAATGAAAAACCAATCCCAGACTAAACTCTTCAGCACCCAAAAAGTGCTGCTTATTCTTCCAAATAAATTGATGCACAAATTTACTCCAGACCATAAGAACCCATAGAAATTTGAAACTACGGGCCCAACACAACTCCTAACTGCCACAGGACTAGAGGCAGGCGCTGATTTCAAACGCTGTTTGAAAAGGAACAAAAACTTAGTATATTTGTTCCATTTGTTCTCTTTACTATATACATTTACCATTCTTGAAACAACTAATGAGACATATTAACTTACTATCCAAGGTCAGCATTCATAATCAGTCATTATAATTGTTTACTTTTTTTTTAATGTTCATAACCCGTGAAGATCCAGTTAGAATATTGATCTTTAGTAACCCATGCTTGTCATAAGAGATGACTAACGAGATCGGCTGGTCAGGCTCGCTGACTTGGTTGAGACATGTCTTCGGTTCCCAATTGAGTAGATCGATGCTCATGCTGCTGATCACTGGATATATCTGGTCCAGACTCGATTATTTACAGACCGCCGCCATATAGCTAGAATATTGCTGAGTGTGGCGTAAAACTAAACTCACTCACTCACTCATTTAATGTTCATAAGGAAATCTCTACAATTTCTGTAATTTCCATGACATTTCTGTAATTTCAGATATTTTAAACAAGTTAAGAAAGATTACTTACCAGATCCATGTCTGTGAGGCAATAGGCAAAGGAGTATTCAGATTCTTCAAGAGCAGCATAGAAGAAAGTCTGGAACACAAAAGGTCAACAATTAGACGATATCCACACTGTCACTCGAACAACACCTAGAGGTTCATATGCTCCTATCATCAATGTCATCCATGATTCTTGAAACTTTTTCATTTTGTGTTGTTTGCTCTTTTGGACTTCAATCTGTAATCTGTTTTTGGAAAATTGTCTTTTTATAACACCAATATACTCATTTCTAAAGAAAACTTGATACTCTTTGATCATGTGACACAGGGTTCTGTTGCAATTCAATACAAATACATCAAGTGCATGAGAGTTTGGTTTAAAGTTGCAATCAGCAACTTGGTGGCGTGTGGTCCTGTGCATAGTGCTCAGGTCATAAATCAGTTGAAGTTAAGCAACATTGGGCGCGGAGAGTCCTTGGATGGGTGACCGTGTTCGGCAGCTTAATTCCTTTCTAGGACTTCAGTCCTGCCCCACAACGAAGCACATGTGATACATGTGGTCTCACCTTAGGCAAGTAAGTTTGTTCAAACATGATTCTGTTCACCCAGCAGAAAATGGGTACCCGGTGGGATAAGTCATGTGACTATGACCTTCTAGCGCCTCACAGGCAGCTTGGGTTATCATGGTTTAAAACTGCCATGTTTGTATGAGCAGGCACTTTGTGTATGGAATTTAGTGCTATAAAAGTGAACATTATTATCAGCAATTATAATTCAGTTTCATTATATAAGCCAGTGTTTGATAACACAAGCAACATCCGTCTCAGGTATGATGTAACAAGATTCGCTTGTAGTAAACCCATATGAAGTATGCTCTGTTTGGTATGTCTATTTGTTAACTTTGGTTGTTGTAGTGTTCAGTGTTTTCACTGAATATACAATACAGGGGTGGAAATAACCCATTGCCCGACGTCCAAGTCCAGTGTTTTTTTCTGTCGGGCAAGCACATTTGTATATCACGCTGTACCGGTGTCAAGTTGAAATTCCAATGTTAATCATGTTGTTTATTTAAAAAATCACCAAGAAATCGGCCGGTATAGAGGAAAAATTATCAGGGCAAGTGATTTTACATGTGCCACTGTACCGGAGTACACGAGCAATTTTAAAGTTATTTCCATCCCTGCAATACATAATATAAAAACATGAAATACAAAAACAATCAATTCTGAGCCAGATAATGAACTGATCGACATTATAAGCATGAATTTATGAGCTGGTAGCCTACGTTCTTAACCATAAAACTACAACAATGCACCAGTATAGGATACATATCATTTCACAGAATACCCATTACTCATTACTAATAAATCAAGACACATTGCCTTCAGAGAACACAAATAACTGTTCTGGTACATGACATACACCTCATGTGTAATTGTTGAAGTAATGGTTTGTCATTTTCAGCTAGATACAAGCTTTGTCACAACAGCTTGTAAAGAATGAAATCTGATGAGGTGAGGTGAAATGGGGTTTAACATCACCCTTAAGAATATTTCACTCATATGACGATGTGCATGTGTGTATATGTGTGGCTGATTGTACTAGCCCAGACTTAAGCTGGTTTTATAGTGCTAGTTCACTGAGATACCATGCCGCAAGTGAAGCATGAATACCCCACTCAGACACATTATACTGACTTCGAGCCGACCAGTCCTTGTTGTACCCATTAATGCCGAGCACCAGGCAGGGACCAACAAGTACCATATTTTAACGTCTTTTGGTATGACGCGACTGGGGATCGAATCAGCGACCTTCCGCTCACCAGGCGGACGCTCTAACCACTACACCATGGAGGCGTCTTATCAAATCTGGATCAGACAAACTAGTGACTGATATTATGAGCAACAGCTCAGCTACTGGGGTAGGATGACACGTAATCAACCACACAACGAACCTTGACCGTACACCACACAACGAACCTTGACTGTACAATTCGCTTAATCGTCTTGTACAACAACTGATTTAATATAATCAAGAATCTCTACCAGGCTGTCAACAAATGATACCTCATAGCACTGAGAATACTGCCATACCTTACTGTTGTCTTCCGATCCCTTCACCACAATCTTGCCAGTGTTCCCAGCTCTCATCTCCCTCTCTAAAGTGGAAAACTCAGGCGGGTTGCCATACTTGTCGATCTCCAGCTGGGAGATCGGGATGAAGATGGGATCATCCAGCAGCTGTAAGAAAGATAATACTACGTGGATAGGGAAAACAATTTAAGTAAGGCCAGACTAATTTTATTTCTTGTTTTACGCATTTTTGTTCTCAGAAAAGGCAGGAGTGAAAAAAAAAAAAAAAATGTCACCAGTCAAAGCAAAAACACACATGAGTTTTTCAAAGGCATTGATTTTCAAGTTGCTGAAGTGCTCAAAGCACTGATTTCTAACACAAATATTGTTAGATAATTCAGTTTAAAGTCTCTGAGATACTGGTGTTTTAGTGTCCAACAAACTGCCTTGCATAGTCAAAGTCTTGCTTCCGTATATGTTAACATTAGGATTATATTTTTCGAGCAGTGATAATTCATTTTTATTTTTTTTCTTACTCTTGAATCCGTTAAACAAGAAATAAAATTGGTCTGGCTTAAATAAAAAATTTGACAAAGAAATTCCATGCATGAATCCAACTTTTCAACACCTAAACATAGTTGTTTGATTGGCATTTTAGAAGATGCTATTTGATGAACAGAGAATTTTCTGGGTTTCATCTTCTTTTTATTGTTGGGGGCGGTGGGGTAGCCTAAGGGTTAAAGCGTTGGCTTGTCACGCCGAAGACCTGGGTTCGAATCCCCACATGGGTACAATGTGTGAAGCCCATTTGTGGTGTCCCCCGCCGTGATGTTGCTGGAATATTCCAAAAGCGTCGTAAAACCAAACTCAGTCAGTCAGTCAGTCAGTCAGTCAGTCTATTTATTGTTTGGTACTACGTTTCAGGGCTTGTTCTTGCCCTGTCATCAGGTAGAACTAAAGAGTAACTATGTAAAACTATGTATTACTGCTTTAGTTGTACCTGATGATGGGGCAGAACAAGCCCTGAAACGTAGTACCAAACAATAAAAAGAAGATGAAACCCAGAAAATTCTCTATGTTCACCTAAACATAGTACTCTGCATTATTACTATCAACAAACTGTCAAACTCCTGCCAGAAGTCTTGTTACTGTGGTTTTCTAGACATCACCAATAATAAGTCCCCACAATGTTGTAAGGAATATCAAAAGTGATTTAAAGGTGGTCATCAAGTCAGAAAGGCTGAAAGACCTAAACTTACACATGGCTCTGGTCTAGCGCATTCCCAGTACATGTTCAAAACAACATCGTAAATATTGAGATGCCCTGTGCCCCTTTTAAAGAATCCTACACCAAATCCAGTTGTGAAAAGGCTACCATTGTTAAGAATAACTGGACATTTGTTACAAATAGCCAGTGTAGCTGTTCGGTTATCTGACTGAAAATACAGCATCAAAATACTCAGATCTATAATACATCCTGAAAGTTACAATAGATTTGATCGTTGTTTGATTGTTGTAACCAGTCTACCCATAATTGCATGTGCTTAGAAATAATATATGAGCTTATAACAAGCATATCTCAGTGAATTGCCAATTGACAATTATCATGGTTTAGCTACCTGGGTGTCGAGGCAGTGGGGTAGCCTAGTGGCTAAAGCATCTGCTTGTCATGCTGTAGCACCACAAACGATTCCCCACAAGAATACAATGTGTGAAACATTTCTGGCGTCCCTCACCACAGTATTTGGAATATTGCTAAAAGCTGTGTAAAACCTCTCTGACTCACTCACTCGCTCGGGTTCCACATGTTGAGTTGCAGAAGATAGTACCTGGTTTTACTTGGAATGACCGAGCGGAGCAGTATACTGATATCCAGCTACATCAGTGATGGTAAATGTCCTCACCTTCTTGCTAGGTTTAAGCCTGGGATGGAAGATTGTCTCTCCTTGGTTGTTGATGAGGAAGGAATAGACGTTGCCCCACTGATGTTTGGTGAGGAAGTTTTCTATCTCATCCAGGGTGGCGTCAATACCAACAACCCCTATGTATCTAGAACCAAAACCCACAGTGAGTCATCCTAGATATATACACACGAGTTACCTCCCTTCCACAAGCGGGAGCGAGGGCAGACCCTCCCTCTACCCATGTGCCTCACTCTCTCCTCATATACTGAGCCCAACATTTGAATTTACAGGGAAATCCAAAGTGTTATTTGGGGAGGATGGGAGGGCTGACCTCATGAGTCAGGATAAGTATAAAATATCAATTTTACTCAAAAAATTACATATTTTCCTTATCCTGACTCATGCTCTTTGCTTGTAGAATCCAACAGAGCGGAGGTGGGAATATATAATACTTCTGGATTTTAATAATTAGTGATTTGAACTGTGATGATTGTAATAACCCTATGAGAACTTCATAAAGGCATTGAACTGATGAATTCCTGCTGCCAGCTTATCAGCTGCCATATAGAGGTTATTACAATGTACTTATTATGATAAGTATATATAATATTAATACAATGCTTAAGACTAATAGACTTAAGCTTGTTAATATGCTAGTATAAACTCCTTAGAGTTTGTTAGCTAAAATACTTTTAAGATATAAACATAGCACTAAGCAAAATATGATTAATTTTAAGCTAATTATATAATAACAAACCTCTTTAGGGTTTGTTAGTTAAAAATATTTATATGATATAGACAGTGCTGAGCTTAAGATATGAATAAGCTTAGCTATATATATAACAACAAACTTTGTAGAGTTTGTTAGCTAATACATTTTTACAATATGAGTATAGTATTGTGCTTAAGATATAATTATCTTAAGCTACATATATAATAGCCAAACTTAGCAGAGTTTGTTAGCTAATATATTTTTACAATATGAGTATAATACTGTGCTTAAGATATAATTAACTTAAAGCTACATATATAATAGCCAAACTTAGTATAGTTTGTTAGCTAATATATTTTTACAATATGAGTATAGTACTGTGCTTAAGATATAATTAACTTAAGCTACATATATAATAGCCAAACTTTGAAGTAAAGTTTGTTAGCTAATATATTTTACAATATGAGTATAGTACTGTGCTTTAAGATATAATTAACTTTAAGCTACATATATAATAGCCAAACTTAGTAAAGTTTGTTAGCTAATATATTTTTACAATATGAGTATAGTACTGTGCTTAAGATATAATTAACTTAAGCTACATATACAATAGCCAAAACTCTGTAGAGCTTATTAGCTAATAGATTTATAATGTAACCATAGTACTAAGCTTAAGATATGATTAGACTTAAGCTAAATGTATATAGCAAAAACTCCTTAGAGCTTATTAACTAATATACTTTTATGTTATAAACATTACTGAGCTTAAGATATGATTAAACTTAAAGCTATATATATATAATAAGTAAAACTCAGTCGTAGAGTTTGATAGCTAATACATTTTATTATGTTGATTTAGACCTAGTATTGAGCTTAAGATATGAAGTAAACCTTGGCTAAATATATAATAACAAAAACCCCTTTGAGGTTTTAACAGCTAATATACTTATATGGTATCAACATAGTAATTGAGCTTAAGATATGAAGAAACCTTAGGGCTACATATGTATAGCAAAAACTCCATTAAGAGTTTGTTAGCTAATACATGACATAATGTAACCATAAAGCTTAAAATATGATGAAAACTTAAGCCCAATATATAATAGCAAAAACTCTTTTAGAGTTTCGATAGCTAATATACCTATATGCTATAAACATGAGTACTGGCTTAAGATATGAATAAGCTTAAGTTACATATATAATAGCAAAAACTCCATAGGTTTGTTAGCTAATACATGTTATAATGTAACCATATTGCTGCAAGATGTAATTGAAACTTAAGCCAAAGAGCAAAAGCTCTTTAGAGTTTGTTAGCTAATATAGTTATATGATATAAACATAGTACTGAGCTTAAGATATGAATGAGCTTAAGCTACCTATATAATAGCAAAACTCCGTAGGAGTTTGTTAGCTAATGTATTTTACAAATATGGAGTATAGTACTATGCTTAAAATATACTTGACTTAAGCTACGTATATAATAGCCAAAAAAAAAACTCTGTAGAGTTTGTTAGCTAATGCATTTATCATGTAACCACTGTGATGATAAAAAACGAGCTTAAGCAAATTATATATAGCATGAAGCTATTTAGTACTGTTATAAGATAAGTAAAAATCTGTAAGATTGACTTATCTTCTCCGAGGAACTGTCAACTGTTGTGCAAGGACCATGGGATCGAATTGGTGGATACCTGAGATGTCCTCGGTGGTGATATCTCTCAGATAATGGTTGGCAACCACCATATCGGATCTACAGTAATAAACCCTCCATTATTTCAAATAACATTTGTGTAGATGAAATTGTAGAAGTTAGGGCTCTAATATCAAGAGTATTAAAGCTCATGGAGGGCCGGATTAGGGATCCATCTGTCTTGTATGCATCGTAGTATGACAGTTCTACCAGTCAAAGGAGATATAATGCGTGAGACTACACACTCTGTCCGTAAGTTGATGATAGAGGAAAAATCTGTTGTATTTTTCTTCCTGTTTGGTTTAATTGGAGATAAATTTACAGTGCTCTTCAAGCTGGCCGTAGCGATAGCATCATCGCCATCATGGAGTCAAGTATGTCATCCAGGCATGTTCATAAACCTCACTTGTGAGGTGTTGGGTAGCACTATATTCATATCCCCAAGTTGGTACGATGAAACTTCCGCTTTATTCTCCAAACAGAAACTTAGTAGGTTTACTAACCATCTAGTTGTGTTAGTAGCTTGATGATGAAATGTCAGGTGTAGTCTGAAACGCTGTGGATTTCGATCCACTTTAATATCACGCGTCGTCCTAGGTAAATCGTTGCGATGTCCTTTGACGATGTATGCAACTAACCGGGAGTTTGTGTCCTCGATGAACTTTATGTAAAATCGCCTGACTGCTGTACCCTGCGTCCTAAACTTGACAGGGAGGTCTCTAACCTGAATAAAGCAGCCTAATCAAGAAAGGTTCAGGTTAACTGGGCTTGTAAGGAGGCTTTACCTCGTTCATTGATAAAAGTTGTCACTTGCTTAACCTATGTCTTGAACTGTGAACTATGCCTCGACCTCTGTGTAGGGCGCTTGTTCATCGAGGTCCAATCGAAATAAGGCATTTTGATTCTGTAGAGTACCCGGTACGCGTGATGTCACCGGTGTAGCAGGAAAAGGAATCTTGTATAATATAGTGCCATCGTTGATATTAGAACAATCATCGGTCTTCATCAGTAACTTCCTCGGTTACCCGAAAGTGACCGCGTGTTTCGAGGATTAATGGTGTAAACGCGCAGCTTCACGTATAAAATACCTCTGCTCTCACCAATATTAAATGCTGGGTGGTTATTTCCTGGCTGTTGTGAAAGTAATTTTCAGTTTTAAATATAATTCCGACTTCTTTATATATAAGGTATAATAACTTTGTAAGTTGTCAGCTTGGTAGACTGTATACATGAATGTATCGTATAATTGTAGAATTAAAGCTGAATTTGTTGTACATATTTCTTCCTCAGAAATGTTGACCGATTATGAGTTATACACGCTTGTAACAAGGCTGCTGTTCAATTTCGATATTGAATTAACACTGCAGATATGTAATGGTCACGCATGTGAATGTCGTATCGTCAGTCCGGATCGCATATACTATGAATTTGGCGTACGGAATAGTTGATTTCTGTGAATCTAATGAAACGTCGTTGACAAATTAATACAGCGGCGTTCTGTGTTGTAAATAGCCTGTGCAATTGTCTTCGCTGTAGGCTTATAGGCGGCATCTGGCATACAGTTGATAGACAACTTATACGATGTCTTGAACGGACTGGAGGAGTAGCTATATATGGACGAAAGTGGCTAGTATATGGAGACCTTGAGGAGACTTCCTCGGTGAACGCCGAGACTTCCACGAAGCTCTCGAGAAGTATCCCTTCTAGATCTACTGGTGAAGTAGACTTGCGAGCCACTTAGCCTTCTCGCGTACCTTCGGCTAAGATATCGAGTCAAAGTCCGATTAGAATATATATATATATATATATATATATATATATATATAAGAGCTTTGCTTCAGCTGAATGGCCTCTGTGTTTAACAGGATGTGGAGAGTCGGTACGAAGCGCTTACCCTCAGCGTCATGCCTTGTAGCTGGTGAGGCTCTAGCTCCTTCGCTGGAGGCGCCCTGGACTCTTGCTGGTTCTGCATAAGTAGGGCCAGTGGATCATCTTATCATTTCTGTAAAGTCGTATTCTGAAATCTGGTGATAAAGTGTCTCAATGATCGTTTCTAGATCTATTTAGGCCAACGAACATACGCGCCTCGTCATGGATTCAACTGAACCAATTCTACGATTAGGTAGTTCTTATTGTTGATATCGATGATCAACTTGTAGTTTTCATCGATGTCTTAAGCCTTGAAGAAGGGGTCCATGTTGTGCGTGGAAGCTTTACAAGCGTGGAAAGTTAAAGCAATTATGGTGTCTGAACTTTGTGGCTTTATGGGATGCTATAATCTAGATTCTGTGCTACCGCGAGCAATCGGGTCGATCGGAGGTAGGGTGATAGCATCTGCCGCCTTCCCCTTCATCAGGTATGTCTCGCGTCGCACTGCCACTCTAGGAAGGTGATGTAGACTTGTGTGCAGACTTGTGTGGTAACCCGTGAGAGGCGATCGATGTGGTGATGTACTTGAGGAGATCGGAGACTATTGACAGCTTAGCCGAAGCTCTTGGAGTAGTCCATTGACTCTGTTAAATGGCTGATCTATAAACTTGGTGTCGCTTCCCAGTGCCTTCGCGAATGCCTTCGCCCGAGCGCCTTCCCGAGCGGCCAACCAGCGAGCATAGCCAGCGCTGGCTATCCTCTAAGTTCGGTGCTGGGGAACGGCGATTTGGCAGCTTCGGCTTGCTAAGGCTCGCAAAGGTCTGGTGGCTGAGTCTGCATCTAAGGATGAAGCGAGGGAATGTGATGATCTATCCACGCTAGCGCGAAGGCCTTCGCCCGAAGAGCTGTACATCTGGGTCGCCGTCAAGGTGGTCTCTGCGACTTCCTTACAGCGAAGCTGCATCGTCTTGGCTCTTCACGTTGACTGGAGGTGCCTCTGAGTGTTGTCCTAAGTTGGAGCCAGCGAAGCCATCGTACTCTATGAAGCTGGCTGCTTCTCCAGTCTGTAGTGACCCTCCACGGCGACCATGATTTGCCGTAGCTAGCTCGTCTGGGATGGCTATCGCGGCCGAAGTAGTCGGTGCCATCTCTGCGCTGTTAGTGAGTGGGGCCCTCAGGTAAAAGTCGTCTGACATCAGTGCTTAGAGACATCCAGGCTGCATGGCGATCTCTGCTGATGTCATTGTATGCAATCACCGATCGCTACTTGTCTCATCGTCGGCCGTAGGATGATGATAGGCTGATCATCGTAGAGAGCTAAGTTCAGCGGCTGGAACAATCTCGATGAGAAAGTCTAGTAGACTCCCGTTGAATTCCCCTCAGAGGTCGGCGCTGCCCTGGGGTGCGAAGTCTGGCGTGGAGTGTTGGTGCTGCACGGGACCCTCAGGAAGATCATCGAATGTTGATCTGCGCCGCTGACATCACTATTGCCGACATCAGTCATTCTTTGATGTACATGTCAGGAATGATGATCGGCTGATCATCATACAGGCCCAAATCTGCGATGAGAACAATCTTTCGGCTGAGAAAGTTCTAGTAAAGGCTTCCGTTGAATACCCCTCAGTCGTGACGAAGGGATGTCTGGAAGCAGGGCGCTTCTTGGCAGGAGGCGGCGGACTCGTCCACGCCTCTCCCACCATTCTAGCCGAACCCAGGCGGGAGGGAGATCGCAACCAACAACAGTGTAGACTGGCCGAGGGGTTCAGGTGTATCAGTCATGCTAGACTCTGCATAAAGCTGACCTATCTGCTCGCGGCGTCTCAAGCGCAAAGTAATTATTTATTAAAGGTAGAATTGGATAAATTAGTATATAACTTGCAGCGTGAATCACATGAAACATGGCGAGCAAGAGCTAGGGCATATTAAATGCGGAAAATATAGATGTTGACATCTATAAATTCTCACCTTTAATATCAGCAATGATCCACACATTGGATGACATGTACTGAACCAAGACGACTACTACGACGACGACGACGACGACGACGACTACTACTACGACGACGACGACTACTACTACTACTACTACTACTACTACTACGACGGCGGCGGCGGCGGCTACGACGACGACGACTACGACTCCTACGACTACGACTACTACTACTACTACGACTACCACCACCACCACCACCACTACTACTACCCGAGAAGGTCCGGGTTAGAATAAGCCTTCAGTAACCCATGCTTGTCATAAGAGGTGACTAACAGGGTCGGGTGGTCAGGCTTGCTGGTTTGATTGAAACATGTCATCGATTCCCAATTGTGCAGATCGATGCTCATGCTGTTGATCACTGGATTGTCTGATCCAGACTTGATTATTTACAGACCATCATGTTGCCGAGTGCAGTGTAAAACTCACTCACTCACCACCACCACCACCACCACCACCACTACTACTACTACTACTACAACTGGCATGAGACAAGGGCAATGCTACAAACTTGTTGGTGAAGTAATGAAATACAGGGACAGAACTACTATACTACAGGCAATGAGACGGATAGTACTACTCACTTGCTGGTCATGAGACGGATAGTGCTACTATTACTACTGGCAATCAGACGGATAGTATTACTCACTTGCCAGTGATGCGACTCAGTACAGGGATGGTGTGTGTGATCATGAGACCAAGACCCCAGGCATCAAGGTAGGGAGACGTCCACAGTGCCTTGCTGCTCTTGGCATTGGAAGACAGGAACTCAAAGTAGTTGCCCATCTGGGAGATGAGGTTCTCACCAGTCATCAGCTTCTTGAAGCTTCCTCTGTGGGAACATGCCAGTTTCCCAGGAAACTCCTCAGCATCGTCTCGAATCAGGTAGCTGAAGATGCGAGCCTGAAACAGGAAAATAAGTATACCATTGAAAATCAGATCTAAAACATGCGAACAAAACACAGGATTGGATAAGTGTAAATTGACAATCAACCCATCCAAAATTAACACTCACAAGCCAAAAACACAGGATTTTATTATCTTTTCAGTCCCAATAAATTGGTCTTCACTCATACTTCCAGAAATCTGAATAGAACACTTTCAAATCTTTTAAAAATGAAAGTATCTGTTTCTCCATATTCTTGACAATACATAGTTTTGCTTAATGCATAACTCACTCTACCACATTCATTGATGAACTAACTTGTCTGTTAATACAATGCTACTGTACAGAGGTACAAGGGTATGTCCTGCTTCAGACCCGTGAACATGATCCAGGTTAAAACTGGTCTTCAGTAACCCATGCCTGTCGTAACGGCATCGGGTGGTCAGGCTCACCGACTTGGTTGACAACATGTCATCGTGTCCCAATTTCGTAGATTGATGCTCATGCTGTTGATCACTGGATTGTCTGGTCCAGACTCGATTATTTACAGACTGTCGCTATATAGCTAGAATACTGCTGAGTGCGGCATTAAACAAGAAACCAACCAACCAACCAACCAACCATGCCCTGCTTCAGACCCTGATATGAGTATACTAGGGCTGGGATGGGTAACCTGGGTACCCTGGGACGGGTGGGTAATGAGTTGGACCCGGGTACCCGTCACGTTACCCGGACCCGCTTTGATCACGTGTCTGAGACTCAAATAGAGTCTGAACAAACCACAAAGGAAGACCTATTGTTACCGATTAGGTAACTCGGTTTCAAAACATTTACCAAACAGTACGATGCATTACTTTGGCCAGTTATAACTTAAGGCATTTCAATCTATGGAACAGAGGACTATTCATCAGTCAACGCAATGCAAAAGCGTGCTATGAGATTTTACCTAGGTCTAGGCTATTGAAGTGGAGGCTAAGGAAGAAGTTCTTGGTGACATGGGATGGAACCCTGCAACTAAGTGTACGACAAGATGTATGCTTGATTCGTTACTGGAGGAGAATGATGAATATGGACCAAGAACGTATAGAGCCCTATGTTTTTAATTGGGAGAATAATCAAGCACGGAACAGACACAAGCCTTGGCACTTAGCTTTTTACCGGCGAATGAAGACATTGGGAATCACCAAAGAAGCTCTTTTAAACAACATCATCACTGTAAGAGACTGTGAAGAACTATCGTTACAAGCTTTTATGAAAACAAGGGAAAATTCATCACACCTGGAGAACGCAAAACGGGGATCGGGGAAAAACAAACTCTGGCACTACAGAACACAGGCCCTCGTGTTTTTGCAAGGATTAAAGATTTTTAAAATATTGTTTTTGAGATGACCCCCGACTCGAGATGCTTCACAGTACAATATATGATGTATTGTATTGTGAAGCATTTTGAGTCAGGGGTCATCTCAAATTTTTATATATTTATAAAAAATTCTTTAATCCTCACATAGACTCGAGGGCCTGTGCTACAGAATCCATAAATCAATATTCAATATAACAGAGGCCTATGTCTTAACACCTCAAAGTCTCACAGACGTGCCCAGGACGAGTACAGTGCCTCCGCGTATAGAAACCGGACGTTATGAAGGAATCGAACTTACGGATAGAAGATGTTTTCACTGGCCAAATCGTGTTGAATCGGAACAGCATTTTATTGAAATGTCCTCTTTACAACGATTTAAGAGAAGACCTTTTAACATCAGCAAAGTTTTTCATGCCACGTTTTACCCTCTTATCGGAACCTGAAAAGTCATCACTCCTTTTAAGCTCTGAAGATCTTATAAACGTGCATGCCAAAAACTGCTTTAAAACCCTTTTAAGATGCCGCCAAGTTTTATATAAATAAGTTTAACATTTCATGTTAATATTTTTGTATATATTTTTTTAAGTTCAGTTGTCATTTTATCTACTCACATGCCTCCAATATATTGCTGTGAAATTTAATTATCAACCGTCTCTCATAACTCCATTTATAATATTTACTGTATATTTTTATATGCATTATTATTTATTTTAATGTACTGTTTTTGTGCTTGATGCGAGTATTCAAATTATTTCCAGACACCACTCTTAATTTCGGCCATAACCGATTTTATTGAAGGGGAAAAACTCGCAATTAGTGTCATAACGGGTACCCAACATAAGACACAATCTCAGGAGAGCTGTACTTGAGGTTGATGAAATATTTTCTTTAGAAATAGTTTTGGGCCCCAATATCATGTACGGGTCCGTGCAACGGGCAGTTTTAGATTTTGTCTTGTCATCTGGAAAATATCATGTAATCTAGACAGGCTCTCAAGTGGCTTACACATATTTAGTTCTGTGATTTTAAATCATTTTAACGCTCTGTCATCTTAACCTACTGCTTTTTTAATGAATAAGTATTTCATGTTTCAGAAATGGAAGTGATTACTTAAAGTTATAATTCCGTAACACGAAGCAGAGCTTATTCGATATAATATGTATAATCGTCTATCCAAATGATTATTAATAATGTTGTCGGTTCTTTTATGTTAACTAAACGATTCCTTTTGGCGATGAAATAACTATATGTTGTTTTATTAAATCAAGTCCATGTGTTGGGCAAAATCGCCTCTTATTGGCCCACGTCGCCTTAAAACTATAAAACCAACCAACCTATTACGGGTACCCGGGTCGGGTCAGGTAATAGGGGGTCGGGTACCCGGGTAGGAAATTTGGACCCATCCCAGCCCTAGAGTATACTGTATTTTCCATTCAAGGACCTAGAAGAGATCCACCTTGAGCTAAGCCATATGCTTCAGGAAATCTAAGTACCACCTATATATCAAAGAACACATAAGAAATCTATTTCCTTTCTTTTCCAAGGGATTCACATACTGCTTTTCTATTTCTTCAGGTCTATGTGCAGCAGAGTGTCCGCTAATAATCATACAGAGGTCCAGGAATTTGTCCATGTGTCCTAAGAGTCCCATTGATACCCCAGGCCCCCGAATCAAAAACTGGTATTAGTGCTACATCGATCATAGGCCAATGTTAATGTATGAGAGCTATGACCACCTTTACCCTGGTCCATATTCAGTGAGAGTTACAATCCCCAAATTGGTATTGTCTTCAGACTATGACAAATACTAGTATGACTATAGTCCGTTTGGCTCAAAAGCGGACAGATGAATCGCAATCTAACATGAAAACTAACAAACATATAATACTCAATGAAACACTGATCATAATCAAAACATCAGACCAACTCTGTGATTTGTTTGCAGAATTTTTTTCCTCAGATTCAAAAAGTTGTTTAACAAACAATCATTAAAATTTTGACACAGTTCACTATTTGTTACGAGGGAGGAGTGCAGAGAAAGGGACAGCCCGGTGTTAGAGAAGCATGTGCACAAGTGCCGACAAAGTTATTGATTCATTAACCTGTGCTGTGCTGTCTCCATCCTTTCTCGCACACCTGGCTGTCCCTTTCTCTGCACTCCTCTCTCGTAACAAATAGTGAACTGTGTCAATATTTTAATGATAGTTTGTTAAACAACTTTTTATTTTTTAGACATAAATTCTGCAAACACCTCACAGAGTTGGTCTGACGTTTTGATTATGATCAGTGTTTCATTGATTATTTTATGTTTATTAGTTTTCGAGTTAGATTGCAATTCATCGGTCTGCTTTTGAGCCAAACGGACTATAGGGTTACTAGTCTTGCTAAGATGTATCCTGCTGAAAATAGGTTCATTCATGAGGAAAGGAGAATAATCACAGTAGTATGTCTTAAATGCCTCTCAACTTGAAAATTCTGAAACAATACCAAATTTGGAACCTACCACAGACTCGCTTTTTCCTAACTGCAGGGTCACTAACATTAAAGAATATATGTCAGAATAAAAAGTAGGCTGTATGGAATGAGCTGATTACGTGTGGATCTAGTTTCTTGTTCTGCATGTCACTTGCATCCCACACTTTGGTCCAGTTGTACTTGCAGATGGGTCCAGGAACATAGCCGCTCCTTGTGTAGTACCCTAACAAAAAACATCAAAAATAAGTCAATCACTTAGTGAAGGGTGGCGAGTGACTACCACATACAGTACAACCAGAAATTATTGAGAATTTAAAGATTGTAATTTTTAAAAATAAAATTCACTCATTACTCATGTATTAAATGTGAATATTAGCAGAACACAACTCCGGATTCAAAGACAGGTGAACAGTTAGTATTTTGTCAAGTCACCATGGGCAGCAATGCAGGCTTCAATGCGGCGGGGCATATTACTGATAAAAAGAAGTTAGAAAGTCGTGGTCCATGCTGTCCCAATATCGGACCACCTCTTCTTTCATTTCAGCAATATTTGTCAGATTTTTCTTATTGACACTTTCCTTCATAAGTCCACAAACATTTTCTATTATAGCTTGGCCAATATAATAACGTCATATTTGGATTCCGAAACCAGGCCTGTGAATGCTTTGAAAGATGTTTTGGGTCGTCCTGCAGGAAAATCAAAAAATTTCCATAGAACATGTAAGCAGATGGAAGTAAATGTCCCTCGAGAATATCTGTGTACCGATCACTGTTCATATTCCCTTCAAATACACAGAGGGGCGTTGCTCCTAACAGAGATATACCACCCCACACGTTATATTTCGGACTGTACTTTGGACGCTGATACAAAGGTTTTTCAGTTTGTTTGGCCCAGAATTTCAGTGTATTAGGAAACACCCACACAGAACTTTCATCTGAGAAAATCACATTGTCCCAGTTAAAATTTCTATGCTGTAAGCACCAGTTCAACCTTCGCTTTTTTTGTTCAGGTTTCATGATCGGTGATGGAATTCCTCGACTTTTCTGCCAACCCATTGCATGCAGCTCAGTTCTAATTGTTTCCTTACAGACAGCCACAGTTCCTCTATCAATCATATCCAGCCTTAAGTTTTCTAAACTCCTTCGTTTGTTTTAAGAAACAAGAATACCAAGCCGCCTCCTGTCACCGACAGTCAATTTTCTGGGCCTACCTGCACCTCCCTGGTGCTCAATGCCATATCCATTTGCAATATTTTTCAAAACACGATAAACAGTGGACAAAGGGATACCTGTTCTACTTGAAATCACTTTAGCTGATCTGATGTCCTGTGTTATATTACTCTAAAATCAACTTCCTCTTCTCTAAATCATCCATACTGAGGACCACTGAAAATGTCGTATGCTAGCAAGTAAACAAAGGGGTATAACTCTTCACAAACTAATGAAAAAGGATTAACGGAGTTGTCTCTCTTGAATGAAACCAAGCACTTGATAGCTGGTCAAGGTTGTTTATACTAGAAATCCAATTAAACATATTCCTAAAATTCTCAATAATTTCTGGTCATACTATATTACCGTAGATAAACCCGACCTCAAAGATAAGCCGAAGTCCTAATTGACCCTTAAAATCAGCATCAAAATGGTATGTTCTATACATAAGCCAAACCACCAACCTTCGTCCATCTTCTCGTCGTGAAATGTGAGTGAGTAAGTGAGTATGGTTTTTCACTACTTTCAGCAATATTCCAGAAATATCACAGCAAGGACACCAAAAAAGGCCAAGGGGTCTTTGTCATAACACAAATGGAATAAGCTATATTATATTATTATGGGTGTCCCAGATTCAAATTTTGTAAGAGCAAACATCAAAGGCCCTATGGTCATTCTAAGTTAGAGCTCAAGTCAATAAAATATCTGCATGATGTACACATGTAGTGGCCATAAAATTTCCAAGTCCCATGCTGGAATTCGAACCACGGACCTTCTGATCGAAAGTCGGACGCCTTGTCCACATGACCAAAAAGGTTAACCCCATCAGCAAGCTGTGGGATGACTACACGCCTTGCTATATACTCCCCCCGTCAACAGAATGCACGTCCTGGGCCTCATAGGTATGTACTGAGACTTATTTTGCTCAAATTTAATATGAACTTGCTCAGCCCCATGTTGGGTGTCAATGTTGCGGTCATAAAATCCGCCCTGCTATACACAAGCACCTGTTTATTCCCTACAGAGTGACATGAAGATGTGGATCCAGTAAAACTGATGACGACATGCTCTAGGAAGAATACCTTGTATGTAGGGATTACTGACATGCTGATTTTGTGTTCATAGTACAATGCTAACTGAGCTGAGAGTGCATGAACACATACTTGGTCTATCACTCGGATAAAAATAGAACAGACATGAGTCATAGACTATTAGTCACATCAAACTCTTTGAATGGCATTTAGAAGTGATACACGTAAAGGGAGAATTTGCTGTTGGCAGATGTCTGGTGTTCTTTGAGTCTAATGTTGCGGGGTCTGATGGTTTCACCAATGAATTGGTCACCACGATTTCCACCACTCGGTCCCTTGTTAACTTTCCTCTGTTAGTCTGTAGAAGGGTACTGATGTGATATGACTCCCCCTACATGCTGTAGAAGTGTACTGATGTGATGTGACTCCCCTACAGGCTGTAGACATATACTGATGTGATATCATGATATGACTCCTCCTATAGGCTGTAGAAATGTACTGATGTGATGGCTCCTCTCCAGGCTGTAGAAGTGTACGGATGTGATGTGACTTCCCCTACAGGCTGTAGAAGTGTACGGATGTGATGTTACTCCCCTACAGGCTGTAGAAGTGTACCGATGTGATGTGACTCCCCCTTCAGGCTGTAGAAGTGTACTGATGTGATGTGACTCTCCTACAGGCTGTAGAAGTGTACTGATGTGATGTGACTCCCCCACAGGCTGTAGAAGTGTACTGATGTGATGTGACTCCCCTACAGGCTGTAGAAGTGAACTGATGTGATGTGACTCCCCTTCAGGCTGTAGAAGTGAACTGATGTGATGTGACTCTCCTACAGGCTGTAGAAGTGTACTGATGTGATGTGACTCCCCTACAGGCTGTAGAAGTGTACCGATGTGATGTGACTCCACTACAGGCTGTAGAAGTGTACCGATGTGATGTGACACCCCCTACAGGCTGTAGACGTGTACTGATGTGATGTGACTCACCTGGTCCACACCGGACCTGCTCCCCATCTGTGTCCTTCCCATCAGTTGCAAAAACAATGAGTGCCTGACAACCAGTCCGGGGATTGCTGTTGAGAAGCTCAAACGATTTTGAAAAGCTCTTCCTGCCAGACACCAAAGGAAAAATTGACAGCAATGTGTTTTGTGTCAACATAATGAAGAAATGAAACAGCTTTTAAGAATATATATATTGTTGAATAGAATGGTCATGCAATATGTCCAAGACCATGTCACAGCACAGATGACTGGATGACCATTCATACAGCATACACCATACTATGGTGTCACATTACATAATGTAGAGAGCATTTCTGTATCACATGATATTGTTCCGTTTATAGCTTTTACATGCTACTTTTTTATCCAATCTGTACATGGTCACATGACAATTAACAAAGAGCCCCTTATGGTTACATAAAAAAATGGTTCCTTGTGTGTACCCGGTAAACTGCATGTGTTCTCATTAAAGAGTGAGTTCATACTGTTTCAGAGTTATGCGCCTAGTGTCGAGTACATAACAAAGACTACCTTCAGGTTTTGATATCAACATGTAATTGTGAACATGACACAGTTTTCAATCCATGCTGATGTCCACTAGCAGTACATACCCCAGTTCACTGGTTCCGCCAGCCTTCAGCTTCTCTATCTTCTCTATGAGATCCTTCCTGTGAGCAATGGTCGCTGGCACCATCTGTTCTGTCTGACAACTCAGCACCTCTGTCGTAAAGTAGTGCCACCTGGTTCAAACAATCATCTCGATAAGAAATGACCATTTCATAGGTTGTGATTTATATTTTTCTAAAAACTGCTTCCATAAAATCTTTGAAATTGCTATTTTGCCTAAGTTTTAAAACCATAAAACACCAAAACTGTTTGCTGTTCTTACTTGATGTTCTGTGAGATTGGGCTTTTAAATACAAAAAAGTCAGTAACCAGTAATGACATAATAATTACTCAGTCTTTGAAAGCCAAGTATTAACACTCAAAGGTCCCTAAATTTCAATACTTTTCAGAAGGGACATAATTTTTAACACTGGATAGTTTTTTTAACATGCTTTATATTCTCATCCATGGTGACAGACTACTTACTTCCCCACTTCATCCCAGTGGCTGGCTCTGGCACAGATGACATTAACATAATCCTGTTTGGTAAGTGTGTTGATCACAGCCTTGGCCACTCCCTTTGCAATGGAGAACTTCTCACCAGCCATGGACTTACTAGAAAAGTATACATGTAACAATGCGTTTTACACTGCTTTTAGCCATATTCCAGCAATATCATGGCAGGGGACACCAGAAATGGGCTTCACACATTGTACCTCTTGGGGAATCTAACCCGGGTCTTCAGCGTGATGAGCAAACGCTTTAACCACTAGGCTACCCCACCACCCCCTGTAACAATTGAGATCAGTCAGTTCTTGAATATGTCATAATGTATAACATAACATTTTTTCAGATAACAAATTAACACATTGCCTGTTTGATTAATGATCATGGTGATTTAGCTGAGACATAGACCAAAATATTTTTCTTAAATGAGACCCTACTGAGTGAGTTTTATTTGCTCTGTCACACGGATATCTATAGTAAAGACAGCACAAGATTATTTATTCAAACCGTTGTACCTTGTACTTTCAGCAAACAAAACACTTGTCAGTATATTTTTACCTGCAGTCCAGAACAATAACCACATCCTTTGGACCACTAGTAGCAGCAATGTACCAGGGTCGTACAACGTGGGTCGTAGTCGTTATAGAAGCCAGCAAAATTAGTTGACCATTCTCGACCAGGAAACAGACGAGTTACTCCAGTCGTGGAACCAAAGTATTGCCACCTGATAACAACAGAATTATTATCAGTACGAAAAGCATCAGTGGTAGTGCTGTAACGATGCATCAAACTATCGATGGATTGCAATTGTTTGATCTTCGAAAGCAATCAATTGATGGTGGAAACGAAAAACTATCGATGCATAGAGACTGATACTACTTCAACTACTTTTTATTTTATATAAACAATACATTCATTTGGGAAATGACTTCAAATGAGACAATTCAAGGAGGAAAAACAATTGCAATAGTTGGTCGCAACAGACTATCGCTATTGCAATAGTTGGTCACAACAGACTATCGCTATTGCAATAGTTGGTCGCAATAGACTATCGCAATACTATGTTGCAATAGACTATCGCTTTTGCAATGCAATAGTTGTTTTCACCCTCAATAGTCACCCCTAATCAGTGGAGCTAACAAGGAGTAGTTACCCCTCCCAATTTTCAAGAGAATATATCGGTAGTTTCTAAATATTATATTAAAAGAAATATAAACGTAATTTTTTAAGTAAATAAAATGGATATAATGCCGTATACGGGACTCCAGTGCTTGCCCAACCATCCGCTTGGGCGAAAAGGGAGAGAGTGACAAGTAAGGCAGGTCACCTGACTGTTTTTTGTGGAAAAGGGCAAAAGGGAGGTAACTCGTGCGTGAGTGTATTTATACGTCCGCTTCGGGAACTTCAAGGGATTCAAGTGTTCCACTACCATTCGAATGGGAAAGGGAGATAAGCAAAAGATCATGAGTCAGGATAAGTAAAAATCAAGCATTATGTAACAGTATCTAAATAAAATGAAATACTATCTGTTGAAAACAGTATTAGCTTTTTCCTTGCAATACACATACACAAAGCATATGGAGCACAAGTGAGTGAGTTGGGATTTATGTCACTTTTAGCAATATTCCAGCAATATCAAGGTTGGGAACACCAAGAAATGGGCTTAATACACTAAACCCACAGTGTTCATGAATGATGTTTCAAAATAACAGGACACTGGGTCGTCTGTCTGACCCACTGAAAACTCACGGGACCCACAGAAGAAAAAAATAGACACACATTTCAGATTTAACATTTCTTGTAATTGTCATTGAAATTATTAACAAATGTAAGATTTATAAACAGCAAACAAGTCAGTGTGACATGTCACATATAACAACTTCAGTGAAAGTCATTATGAACCATACAGTCGGACACTGTGGCCGGCGGGTTGTAGACTTCCATCGGATTGAGAGCAAATTTGCCGGACTTGTCCGAGGGTCAGATACTATGCGTGGACACTGTTACCCATGTGGGGAATTGAACCCAGGTCTTCGGTGCAACAAGAGAAGGTTTTATCCACTGGGCTACCAGTACGAAGTAATGAGCAGGGTGTGAAACTTAATATTTCAAGTGTATGCTTTCTTATGGTCAGTTCTGGCAATTATTGCTTACACTAATCACATTTCCAGTCATCTGTAGAGATTGTGATTGCATAAATGTTAACAGTTTAGCCTGATCCACAAATGAAAGTGGATGTGCCCCTGCAACCTTCATAAAGTTGGTTTCTTGTTTATGCCGTACTCAGCAATATTCCAGCTATATGACGATGGTATGTAAATAATTGAGTCTGGACCAGACAATCCAGTGATCAACATCACGAGCATCATTCTACGCAATTTGGATACGATGACATGTGTCAACCAAGTCAGCAAGCCGACCACCCCATCCCGTTATTCGCCTCTTACGACGAGTATGGGTTACTGATGACCAATTCTAACCTGGATCTTCACAGGTACCTTCATAAGGATCCACATACAATAAGATTTATCAATAACTGACAAGTCATATATTCACTGCTTTACCTGAGGAGAGGATCTCTGTCTGCATTCTCATGGAACACTTTTTCTAATCCAGCTGTGAACAGGATGGTGTTGATGACAGTGGGGTCATCACGAGGTACCTCATCTGCTATTTTTATAGTGGAGCTGTTGATACTGACGCCTTGTCGAAAATATCTGCAATTATATCAAAATCTGTTATCAAGCTGACACATAATCATTGCTGTTAACATCTCAATGGGTTATCAGAGGTGCAACACTGTTTTTCAAATACATCAAGGGAAAAGCACAGCTAAGCATGAGTGAGTAAACTGAGTTTGGCCTGAACCAGTGAGTTGTGTCTTACAGTGACCTCATATTGTCATAATAAAACTAACAACCTGATCAGCTGGATGTGGATACACTATATCAATGTCAGTAAAGCCCTGTCTGACAACTTACGGGTTAAATGTGAGATCTTGAGGCAGCAAGAAAGGAATGTCTGAGTCTCGATATTCATCTCGTCTCAGATCCTTCAATCTTGTCACATTGGAAGTTCTGTTTTCAGACAAATAGTCATCATATAACTTGCGAACTGAATTCGCTAGATTCTGTAAAATATAAGCAAAAAACATAAATTATTTTCTTCGTTGTAAAAGTAACTTCATGAAGTTCAAGCACAATCTAAATCATGAACTGGAAGGTTAAATTTCCAAGTCAAAAGGTATATCATATTGTTAACATACAAAGGGACCAACAGCCCTTGAATTTACCTTACCAAGTCATATTTTGTAAGGTCAATAATCAGCTATACGCATAAAGACAAAGACGGAAGAATTCTGATAATAATAATAATGAATGTTTATAAAGCACCTGTTTCCACAAACTTGTGCATGCACAAAGCGCTAATACATTACTACCCCAGATAACCGAAGCTGCCTGTGATGCGCTATAAGGTTGACAGTCGTATGACATATCCCATCAGGTACCCATTCACTGGTGGGTGAACAGTGGCAATTCATGAACAAACTCACTTGCCTAGGATGATGGTAGAATAACATATTCAGCTTTGAAAAACTTAAAGGTAGCCATGTAACATTTGATCCATGTGCTGCTTATTCCAAACCATCAAGGCGTATGTACTTCTCTTAACAACAAGTCAGTTTTTAACCCTGATACATATGATCAGTACATGTTTTCTCAGATACATACAGTAAGAATGTTACAGTTATAGCTACAACACTGGTATAGTATGCAACAAGGGATTTTCACTTCCACATTGGTCACATGTTACTTTAGGCCTTCCAACCCTTAAGGGTAGGTCAATGGCTTCCTTTAAATGATATGTATGTGAAACAATATCCTACCTTGGCTGCCTTCTTCTTTTTCCGGAAGTAGTCTCCAAGAGTCTCTTTAACTACATTGACAATTGTTTCACCATTTTTCTTCTCAAATGTGTAATTTGCCTGATCGAGGTAGCTTTGGGTGACATCTCTCTTGATTCCGTCCCCTGCCAGCTGCAGAACCACAAACGACTGTCATGAGGGCATCTTCCATATAGGAACATGATCACATCATATATTTCCATTCACTACAATGAACCACAGAACTAGGATAGCCTGTTACATAAGTATTTTATTCATTAATGTGATTAATCCATATTGGCAGTGATAACTGACCAATTCTCGTGATTGTCATTCTCAATTTTTTTCGATTAACAAACCTAACCTGCACAGATTAATCAGACATATATCATTTTATAAACTGAAAATTTCATGTTTAAACTTCAACCATGCTGTAAGTCGATCAAATTACACAGTGTAGCAAATATGTGTCATGAATATGAGGTAATAAAAAGGAATATTATTGATAAATAAAATATTACAAAACCCATTTCAATAACAAACTGTTTTAAAAAACTGGCTGTAAGTTACATTTGGCAGTACCGTATTTGCTTATTTAATCATGACAAAAAATGATTCTTCATGCTTTTGAAAGTGTCCCTACATTTAGATAGAACAAGTATATATGGATTCTAGATTCTAGAGCACGACTGTTCGATACGGGTTCTTGTATCGTTTTCAAGTGAGAATGGTACAGGACGACGACGAATTAGGAGCACAGAAGGCAGGTTGGCTTGGTTGGGAGGGTGAAGAAGGTTGGGTGAATGGCCTTGTGTAGGGGAGAGGGGGGAGATTGTTGGTGAGAATGATGAGAAAACCGGATCGAAATGGCGTGTTTTGGTAGGGGCGCGGACGTCGGAGAAGACAATGTGTGTTGAAGAGATTGAGTTGGAGCCTATTGTTAGTGTTGAGGTATACCGTAGCCGTGAGAGGTAGAGGGGATCGAGATGGCTGTGTTTAGGTGCTGCGTGGACGTCGGAGAGGACATCCGCGCTATGGAATGTGAATTTGGATCCCTTTTCTAAATGTAGATGCTAAGAGTAGGTATGAGGAGGAATTTAATCATTTGTTTGGGAAGGTCATATGACGACGTGCATGCGTGTATATGTGTATGTGTGGTTGCTTGTACTAGCCAAGACTGAAGCTGGTTTTATAGTGCTAGCCCACTGAGATACCATGCCGCAGCGAAGCATGAATACCCCACTCAGACACATTATACTGACTCCGAGCCGACCAGTCCTTGTTGTACCTATTAATGCCGAACGCCAGGCAGGGGCCAACAAGTACCATATTTAAACGTCTTTTGGTATGACGCGGTCGGGGATCGAACCCGCGACCTTCTGCTCTCCGGGCGGACGCTCTAACCACTACACCACAGAGGCGGTTGCATTATTTTTGATTTTATGATGAAGGTGGCCAAGGCTTTGAATATATTGGGGGGGATTGTGAGGATTAAGTAGGAGATGTACATTGTTGTGGTATTTGGGAGGTATATTGCTGTGAAGTTGCCTAATGTTTGTTTGTTGTAGGTGGCATTGTGTAAATATGTGGTTAATGTCCTCTGGTGTGTTGCAGTGGGTGCATAATCCATCTGTGTGTCTATTTTGTTTGTATAATGTATAATTGATATTTGTGATGCCTGTGATAACCCGGTTTATGCATGTGTCAATGTTTTTGGTATTGGAGAATGTGGGAAATGTCTTAATAGGTGCTTTGATGATATTTCTTACCCATGTTGATTTGTTGTTGTTTATGTTGTGCTGGAAGTTTAATTTGGTTATATTTGTTTTGATGAGTTGTTTAATTTCTGTTTTGGATGTATGGAAGTTGATACTAGGTGAGTTGTGTGTGGTGGCAAGCTTAGCAGCTGTGTCTGCAGTGTTATTTCCTGGTATGTTAGTGTGGCTGGGTATCCATATGAATGTTATGTTTTTATTTAAGCATTTAAGTGAATCGGTTTGAATTGTGATATTGTGAATTAGATCCGGGCGTGATTTTGAGTCCATATTATGTAGTTGTCTGATGGAGCTGAGCGAGTCGGAGTGTATGAGGAAGTTTGTTTGCTGTAGAGAGGGTATTAAGTGCAGTGAGGATTGCAGTTAGTTCTGCAGTATTGATGGTGGTATGGTTAGTATAGTGTAGGTTTGTTGTTAAAGGGGGAATGTGTTGTACATGGATGCCTATGCCTGTTTTGTTGTTTGTGTTGATGGATGCATCTGTGTAGATGTGGGTGTGGGAAGGGTAGTATGTGTTGATGTGGTTGTTATTATGTCTAATTTGGTGTGATTATCAGTGTTGTTTGGCAAGTTTTGTAGAGTGGAGGCTAAGGTGGTGTCTGTATTTAATGGTGTTTGGTTTGTTTGGTTTGTAGCAAGGATGGTGAAGTCAGTCCAGTTGATTTGGTGATTGGGATGAGTTGCTATGTGGTCTGATATGGCTGATGGTCCGATTTGATCATGGTTGAAGTCTGAGGTTCCTTGATTCTGGTGTTGATGGGCCTGGATGTTTCTCCTATGTATGAGTGTCCACAATTGCAGTCAATTTTGTAGATTACGCCTTTGGGGTTGGGTTTCTTGGTTTGTGGGTATTTTCTACCATTGGCCTGCAGGAGGTTGTTGATGGTGGCGGAAGTTGAAAGGTGGTATCTATGCCTGCTTGTTGCTTAAGGAGCCTGCTGATCTGGTGTGAAGGTTTGCCGATGTATGGGATGGAGATCTTTATAGGGGCAGATTCAGGTCGAGGAATTTTAGTGGTAGATGGTGAATTTTTTTAGGTTATTTAAAGATGACTTTTATGTCATTGTTGATAGTTTCTAAAAATTGTCAATAATGCATGAGTTTAGAGAGGTCATTCATGAATGCGTGCCTTTGAGGTAAAATGCGCGAGTCTCACGCAGGATGCGTGAGATTTGACAGGTATGCCACTTTCAGCAATATTCCGGCAATATGAAGGGGGGGACACTAGAATGTGATTAACATAATGATTCTCTCAGTTTGCCTGGTAGGCAGCTTTGAAAGAGTGAGAAAGTAGGATTTTACACTGTTCATAGCAATATTCCAGCAATATCACACCAGGGGTACACCAGAGAAGCGCTTCACACATTGTACCTTGTGGGGAATTGAACCCGGGTCTTTGGTGCGATAAGCAAACGTTTTAACCACTAGGCTACCCCACCCCTCACTTTGAAAGAGGTTTAGTTTGATAGTTTGACATATCCCTGAACACCAAATGCTGACTTTTGACTCACCAAACAGATGAAAGTGATTTACAACACCCATACTATGCTACCATGTACAAACCTGCAATATGTAGTTCTGGATGAGCATGGCCCAGTTCTGGATATCTCCTGCCAGAGTACCAATGTCATGTTTTTCCTCACCAGGATATGACACACACGAATAAAAGAAACTGATGAAGATAAGACTTGCTCCAAATGATTTCATTTCAATTATTCAACTGATAAAATTGAAAAGGAAGGTAACAAACCAGTTCAGTTTGCTATAATCATTTTCACATTTTTCCTTCCATCCAACATCTGAAAAATAAGTAAAAAACAGTAATAAGTATGATGAAAATCAAATTCTTATGCATCATGCATGAAAGAAGATATATATCCCTGGCATGTATGTAATTGCTAGCCACCAAGCTCATTATCTAGTCCAAGTTTTGGTCACAGTATGAATATTCATGCATCTCAAAAGACTAATATTCATTGTGTCACTGTTCTTTTGTGTCAGTAAGGATGCAGATTTGATATGGATGTTTATACCAACTTTGAAAGTACTGAAATTTGGATTGCATTTTTCTTTGCAGATTTAAAATATACTTATTATGGACAATAACATTCACTAATTTTACTTGTGTTCAATGGTATTCTTCTCAGTCTGTTGGCTCACTGACACTATTTGCTTTCTGGTGATTATAAGAGATAATTAACACGGCACCAGAATGACTGATTGAAGTGATGCCCTTTAAATCATGGCACATACAAAGCAGGAATGTATGTTAGGCAACAAAAAACAAACATGACACTATTCCCGACATAATGTGTCCATTGGAAACACGATATTGACACCTAGAAAAGAAATGTGTAAATGTCAATTCAAAAAGTATTTGATCATGGCAGTCTGAAGTGTGTGTCCATCTTCTTGTTGACTGTCATTCAAATTACTTATCATAAACGAAATGTCGATCCTCCAATGAGAAATAAGTAACATAAATTCTACATTATTTGTCTGATAACAAAACAGCCCACATTTGGTATTCCTGTTGATTTGGACTATACTGAATGTCATTGAACAAGAAGAGTTCTAGTGTCAGTCAGAAGATGCTGGATGGTCGATTTCGATCGATAGCTTCACATCCAAACGATTGCAAGCGGCCAGGCAACACGATATATGGCTAGTTAGGTCTACATGTTGACATACAGTTAGATGCATCTATAACAGGTGCTAAAATCTTAAGAAAATGAATGATTAACATAAACAAAATTCCGTAACATTACCACAAATTGAGAAGAGCAGACAACATTGATCGTAACCGGTGCCTGAATGAAACTGAAGATTTGATTGGTCCTAATAATCATTTTGTGGACTATTTTATTAACTGATCGCTGGTTGGTTATTTTTTCCGGAAACGGGAATTGAATACTCTACAACACCGCGCGTTCACTTTAACTGAAAAGCAGTTGAGGTGTAGGGTCGTCACACGGAGTTTACTGAAGATGGAAACCCGAATACAACGTGTTGTGCAAGGTATTCTTCATATGCGAATAAAACCTTCTTACAAAGCTAGTCAAAATGGGTGATACTACTGAGGGACAATTTGAAGATGCTGAGGAAGAAATAATGTAAGAAATTATCCGTTGAAATTTTGAGATAACAAGGAGAATCGCATACCTGCTGGTAGTAGATTGACGAGGACCCGAGGAGCACGTGTTGAGGTTCAGTACTCAGAAAGTAAACGAATGTATTAATGAGAGGAATTTGTATTTACCAGATTGGGGAAACCTACCGATCCGCCTATAATAGACCGAACGGGATATTATAGGTCGTTCTGCCTATTTTGCTATGGGCCGATCGGGCTATATTTGAACATTTTTCTAATTAGTCCACAAACTATCAATTTCCGCACGAAATGGTTTATTGTATATGATCATAGAGATGAATAGTTAATGGACCTCCTCAGTCTCAGCTTAAAAAATGTTTTTGTACAAAATGGAAATTTATATCATGTTCAGGAAAAGATGTTTCATTAACCCCCTGGCTGCCGAGTTTTTTTTCAGGCGCACATTTTCATACGCTTTGAAAAGTGAACGTTGTGCGAGAATTGCTCTCGCGTGGTCCTCGATCTACGTAAGGCTATAAAATTACACAGAAATGTAGAATATTAAATTTCCTATCCGTTGGTATAAATATAAGTGCAACTACCTTGGCGGTTTGAGAAATAGACCTTGCTAAATGTTGTCCAAATTTTTGTTATGCGTTAAAAAGCAGTAAATTTCTCCGCTTTTTATCACAAGACCGATAAAAGCACTGTGCTACTTAATTTTTAAAGGGACATCTTTACGGAAAGTGTGAGCTTAAGAAAATACAGCCTGATATCTGAACTACATAAGTGTATATGAATTGGGTTTATGTGCTTGTGCATAACGCTATACCAACATTAAAAATGACTCTCGCAATAAATGTCAAAATGTATTTTCTTCTATGACGCCAAACGATCGACAGAGAGGTCATACACGATAATGATAAGGGGATAACTCCGCTATGCGAACACTAGGTCAATGTAACTCAGATCACTTGGAGAGAATTTGTTGTGGATACGGGCTTATATATTTCGTTATTTTATATTCATGGTGAACCACACTATTCCAATTCAAAGTTCTCCAATGTGAACGGATGCACTTTGGTAGTTTCACAATTTATAAGAAAAGATGACAACGTATCACATGTGAAAGCACGTAATAGCGCATTGAATGGCCCTATCCGATATATAAGTTAGTTCTTAGATTCCCATATTCTCCGCTTGTGTAGATGAAATTTGACTAATTTTGCATCGCTATTACCAGAGTACTAGTCATATCTTCAAATGTAACGACATTGCTGAAAATAATACAACATATTAGTTGACGCCATCGCTTGTTTTATGCATTTTATGACGCCAGAAAAAGACGACATTGGTATGCTGATTAGTATATATCTCACCTAATTTCCATAAATTGTATCAAAGGTCTAGACTTCTATGTCAGAATTTTACACTCTTTAGACAAAACATAAAATGACTGATTTTTCCATTTAAATAGTGTCCTGAATATATCAACAATTAGACGGTTTGACAGCGTGATCTTATTGTGAACAACACGCACCACCTGTTTGGCATCAATTTAACGTAAATAAAATAATATTTCCCAACACCAATATTTTGTTTGGGATAAGAATTTTGTTTGTTTATGATTATGAAGCTATTTCTTCTCTTCATAATGTGATGCAATGAAAGATGCATAAGGATAGCTTTTATATATGGAACTATATATTAAAATATGGATATAAGATTTGTCCGAATTAACACATGAGATGGTATATATATTTTTCTACAATTTTCCTATAAGTAGTTAGAGTTTGATATCCTGTCATCACAATATTATTTAATCAAATATGAATTGAATATATTATCGAAAACAATGATAGAGAATCATAAAACGCTTCCCACAAACGCCAAGACCTTGCCGATCTATATGCAACATTCTTTTGTCTATAAAACGACACAAAATTATGCAATGAACAAGACAATTCCTTTAAATATGTGTGCATATACATTTCATACCATATATAAAACCATTGTCATTAATATTATCAGTTTTGCATATAAGGTTGAATTATATCACCGCTTCATTAACCTGTTCATATGAAATTGCAATATTAGTCCAAATAAATTGAATATTGTACATCATAGGAACTAAAGTAGATGCAGTTATGGCTACGCTTTGATCTTCTAACACTTGTGTAAAGGTTTAGAATATGGTGCAATAAATATGTCAATTTTTATGTAAATATGATTCAAACAATCAAAAACTTTCAAAGAATAAAACACCGTGAAACCCCATATGCACGCAGTGATATGATATTGAACAAGGCTAAATGTAGATACTGAAGTCAGTTTCATGAAAAAAGCATCCTAACTATCCGCAAAATATACATCATAATACTGACAGTGTAATCGGAAGGATATGGCGATTGTGTTTACTCTTGTTCGAATCGACCTTCACCTCAAAGAAATTGCCTAATATGTAGAACAATGTTGACGTGATGACATCACTACCGCTGACCGATTTCTTACAAAATGGCAGCTTTGCTGACAAGGGTGCACAGGATTTTGGCGAGGACCCTTCCACTGATTCAGGGATCGCTTGTACATAAATATGAGATGTAAGTAATCAGAATGATTCTGACTATCTGTGTATTGTTATATGTTTTATCGCTTTCACTATTCGTAAGAGAAAAGGACAGAAATGCAGATAATTACCGTTGTTGTTCTGCGGATTTACGCCAGTCATGGCCACACGCCATGCCTGAAACTTTGACAATTTCTTATGAATTATCAAATCATTGCATTGTATCTATTTATAATTTCCTATTTCTTGCTACGATACTCTTTCCATGTATATTCTAAAGGTATAGAGCCATTGCAAGCAATGAATAGACGGATGAATGTTGAAAAACTTCAGAAAAATGCTAATGCAGTGTAAAATCGAATTTGTCTTTGTTTACATTTCACACAAACGCAGTCTTCGCTAACAGCGCTCGCTTTCACACCCAATATGTTTCGCCTCATTTTATCTAGACAGTTATTATTGGTGACACAGACCAGTTTCAAATTGATTCTAAAATGTATGGGGAATTCAGTGATGCATTTTTCAAGCTGAATATGAAATATACGGATGTAATAGGCGCCTCAATACCGCCTTCGCTAAACGTGATTTTGTAAACACTATCCAATATGGCGGAAAGCTCTCACGGTGTTCGTGTAAGTGCATTTTCGAAACATCCCAACCGATTCTAGATTCATCGGCAACGCTTCAGAATTATAATTAGCGATTTCATGTAAAACTGATATCAGTGATCATGAATAGGTTATTTTTAAATTCAATACTCCCAGGAATTATCCGATTTTCACATTTCAAAACATACAGCAAATAACGCCGTGAATCGCAATTTCATACTGTGTCAAAAATGTCGCCATTTTCGATGAAGCCTATTTTAAAAGGTCATTTTCAGCACTTGAGCTTTGTCTAAAATAATACTGGATGGTATCAAGAAACAGGAAATTACCCGCAGAATTCGAAACTGTGAAGTGTATTTGTGTGCTTGGGATATTTTGATTTTTATTGGACTTCAAATTGAGGGTTGAAGGGGAAGGACATATATGTCCCTGTGGCATCCAGGGGGTTAAGAACACAATTTTGCATAGATTTTCCATTTGAAAACTGAACCTGAATGTCCATGTCATTAATTTTCAGTGATAATAGTCAGAAAATATTATAGACTTATGTTTAATTAGCAATTTCCAAACTCCTTTATTATGTGATAAAAGTTCTCCAATAGGGTTTGAATGAAAACCTTAGGACATCAAAACTTGAATGATGTTAATATCCTCATGCGGAAATGCACTACTTCAAATTTATTTGATAAATATCATAATTATAGTAATTATAGGCTGATCGGCGTATATCAAAATAGGCAGAACAGCCTATAGTATCCTGTTTGGTCTATTATACGCCGATCGGAAGGTTTCCCCAACCTGTTTTCTGCTTCTGTTGAAGGATGAATCTAAGCCAAGTGGCATTACATGACTGAGTACCAGCAAATTTGGAAAGATTTCCGCCCGTAAGAGCCAGTTATTTTTATCATTCTATGCCTAAGAATTGATGTTTGTTTGTTTTCATAAAAACAAACTTAACCCCTAGACCCTTGAAATAATCCTAATAAATAGAATACATTTCAAGTTGGGTTTGCGGGTGGAACACTTGCCGCAAAAGAAATGCTAGTTGACCACATAGGATTTAGTTATACAAGCTATCCCGTGAGGATTCAAAGTTAAAAAGGTCCTCAAAATGGATCATATGGTGAGATTTAGTGACATGGTTGATTGCATGTCAGCCTGCTTGCCTACCTACCCTAGCATTGATGTCCAAGATATTTTTATGGATATTTTAAATGCCACTGAAAGATACCCTAGCATTGATCATATGTGATATCAATCGGTGGAATGTCCGGTCAAGTCCAGATTATTTGTGGGTCGTCGACATATGGATGGAACAACAACCAGTAGAAAATATAACTGTACCCTTCACTCACCTGTTTTGTTTGAGGGTAATACCCGTGTATCAAGTTAACTGTACTAAATCAAGGAGTAGGTATCAAAAACCTAATGTTAAGTTGTTGGTTAAAAGATCCCAAGATTTAAATACCACAATAGCAAACATCAAGGACCCATGGACCCCTGTAATTTCAAACACTTTTTTAATAATGATGGTTTGGTATATTATATATAAGTGCTTATGCAAGGGCAACGTTTGATGGTATTAATTTACAAAGCAAACAAAATGATACTGAACTATTTAAGTGTAGAAAAAGTCATTTAACATGTTTTAGGTATAATGGTAAGATAATAAGTTAACTCAACGTTTCCACACATATTAATGGTCACACCTTTTCTCACTGTTGCAGACGGGAACCAAAGATTGTCCAGGTTGATACGACAGTAGAGCATCAAGGTAAACATAACAATACCAAGAAGTACATTGTCAAAATCAAGGCACTCAAACACAGCCTTGAATTAAATTTATTATTATTTATTTATTATTATAGGATATTTATATAGCGCACATATCCACGCACTAGTGCACGCTCAAGGCGCTGGTATTTTTTTCCCTCGATCATTGGATGTCAATCTCAATAGCTCAACGCATTATCAATCTCAACACCCTGGGGAGTATACAACTCTTGCAGCCACTAGGTGCACCAAGTTATTGTGGCTTTCTCATCCTAACGAGGTACCCATTCACAGCTGGGTGGACTTGGACACATAGTCACAGTACTTTGTCCATGTTCACTGCACTTTGCTGTACCTGCAACTAGGTGTGTGCACGTATTCATGTGGCCACCATCTGGTAAAATGCCAACGGATTCGTGGGTTCTTTTAAGTGCACAGGTTTGTGTACTGTACACTAGGGGTCGTGACAACACTGAAAGAGTCTGCATACAAAGTTGACTCCAAGGATTTTATTTTACACCCGGTCACAGGTGTGCTCGATCCCGACACCTCAACCTCACTGGATCACTAGCCTGGCTCCTTAGCCAGCTCGCCCACCGTGCCCCATATAGGACAAGTGTCATTCATAGGTTTGAATACCTGATCCACAAATATTATATCATCATTAATTATTTCAGTATTTATCTTGTTTGTAACAAATATTAGAGAATAAAATCAACCTAATGCTGAAAACTCATTCATTAGGAAATGAAATGTCTTTGCAAAGTTAACATCATCGAATCTCTAAATATATTTATAAAATTATAATGAATCATGCACAGTAGCATGTATATTGTGGAACCATGTTGCTTGGCAAAGAAGAAAGGATTACTTTTCAAATCGGTTGAAATATTTGCAGGACAGAATATTTTTATTGCATCTGATTTGCACAATACAAATTATAGTCAATTGACATTTATCCTCACAAGGTACCTGTAGCCTTTGTTTACTGTTAGTCCTTTATTAATCCATAATGGTTTATAGTTCCAAACATGTTTCCAGGGAATGGATATTCATTATTCATTAGGAAACTAACATTACTATTAATTAACATAAATTCAGTGATCATTAGCTTGATTTAAACATTATCTATCAACAGCAAGGCATGGGAATGTCTGACAAGTAATTATTTAGAAATTGACTAAAGGTTTACCTGTTATGATATCAGATGGGATGAATGGAGAAGACTATGAAGACAGTGATGAGAGTGACGATGATGACTTTGGCTATGACTTTGAAGGGGAACACAGAGACTTCACCAAGAAGTACAATGCTTCGCACTCTTCAAGGGTAGGTAGGATTACATGGAAACTTTGTCTTGTTGACATCCTGGTTACAATTCTTGCAGTGTTTGAAATTGTCTGAGAATATTGCTTCCCAGATGGGCCTTAAACATGTTAAAAGCTACTGTCAAGTTCCAAGTTTCACAAGCTTAATATGGATCTTATTTTACAAGAAATGTGATTCTTCCAAGGATTTGTTGAGTAAACCCGAAATACAAATAATGTTTCAAATCATATTCCTAGATCGGTAGCACTGATTTGTTGATTGTGATGTTTGTTCCATATTAAACTGTCGTGGTCTGATGTGTGTGAAATTCTGTTTAGAAATTTACGTAAATATTACTTGTTCTGATATTGTCATGTATGTGTAAGACAGTTGTTAGATGTTGTATTCACTGTTGTATCCACTGTTTAGTGTTTATCCACTGTTGTATCATCGTTGTATCCACTGTTTAGTATTTATCCACTGTTGTATCATCTGTTGTATCCACTGTTTAGTGTTTATCCACTGTTGTATCCGCTGTTGTATCCACTGTTTAGTATTTATCCACTGTTGTATCATCTGTTGTATCCACTGTTGTATCTACAGCCCAATGCCCAGCAGCCCAACCAGCAGGCCCCCAGCAAGAACAAGGTGCACTTCCAGCCTTCAGAGAAGTCCATGCGCAAATATGTCAACAAGATCAATGTCGGTCAGTGCTGGTCAGAAATTGATAACCCTTTTGGGGAATTATACGTCGGCAGATTTCTGGTAGTCCATGCTGGTCATAAAAGTCAAAGAAATGGATCAGATGGTGAAGTTTTCAATTTGGTTGATTGTGTCTTCATTCTCTCATGGTGTGGATTGCTCACAATATCGACCACTGGATTATCTTGGCCTGACTTGATTATCTTGGCCTGACTTGATTATCTTGGCCGTGAAGATCCCTGATAAATAACAAAGAAACTAAAAACTGATTATCATATAAATTTCATTGCCTTATCAAAGTAAGGGCCTAGAATTGGGTTTCATCATCAAATTATGATCAAATGCCATGCAGTGTTATTATTATGTCGTGACATGAGTTTTCTCTTGGGCAAGTGACTGTTTGAGGCATTCTTCTGTTTAACTAGCAGTAAATCAGGTACCGATGGTCTGGCTTGCTAACTTGTTGACACATGTCATCGTACTGCAATTGCGTAGATCGGTGCTCATGCTGTTGATCACTGGATTGTTTGGTCCAGACTCGATTATTTACAGACCGCCATCATATAGCTGGAATATGGCTGAGTGCAGCATTAAACAACAATCAACCAACCAAATAAATGAGTACCCAGTAGGTTGCTGTCGCTGTCCTTCCTTGCACCTCACCGGAGTTGTATCCTTCCTAGGGAGCTGAAATTTTAGTACCTACTTATCTAATGACAAGGGCAATACTGTTGTGAAGCCTTAAAGTTATTTGGGGGCGGTAAGGTAGAAAAGTGGTTAAAGTGTCTGCTCGTCGCGTTGAAGACACAGGTTTGATTCATCACATGGGTACAATGTGTGAAGCCCATTTGTGGTGTCCCCTGCCATGATATTTCTGAAATGTTCCTAAAAGCGGCATAAAACTAAACTCACCATTAAAAAGTTGAACGCTTTATTGTTATTGTTTTCTATTTACATTTTTCTTAGTGCTGTATTTGAAATGGTTATATCATTCACAGAGAAATACTATGGCCCCAAACTGTCCAGCTCAGCTGTGTCTTCCCTCACAGAGACAGGGAAGAAACTGGATGCAGACAGGTAATTTCATCGTCCTTGATCTGACATGGAGAGAATCAATAGCATTGTTACTTTGCTACCCATAGGAGAGGACTATCAGTGTGAACCCAGGTGTCCCCCCGCCATGATATTGCTGGTCAAAAGCGTAAAACTAAATTCACTGACTTTGTTACCCATAGGAGATGACTATCAGAAACAGGTGGTCAGGCTCACTGACTGTGTCATGAGGCCTGTAAGTAGGTCACGGCACTTCTTTAATACTTCCGATGTCAAACAAATTTCTTATCTTTTCGAATGGTCTCATGGTTGTCAGTTGACAGGAAGAAACCGATAATCCTTGCAGGATTAAAACATTGCCGATATAACCATCCAAGCATGGTTGTACACTTGGTCCAGTCTAGTAAAGTCATATTTGGCGGTCGCGCAATTTGGAACCAGAACTGGTTCTTGAATATACTCTTGTCACCGGAAATCTGGTAATAAAAGTAAGGTGAGCCCCGTCTCGCATATCGCAAGTTGGCGTGTGCAAAGGGAGCCGTGAACCAGCTTAGTACCACAAGTAGCGCCTCGCGAGTTTTACAGGCCCTATCAATGCTCATGATAATCACTTGATTGTCTTGTCCAGACTTACCTGCCGCTTGAATATTGTTGAGTGTCGATAAACAACAAACAAAAACAAAATAACTGGTTACTGGGTCATGAGTCTCTTGAATGAATGTTTTCAAGGTCTAGAGGTTTTTGTTGAATTCTGGATGTTTATTGTTGTTGGTTGTATCTTAGAGTCACTTGCCATGGGAGCATATTTCTGTGGTTATGGGTTCACCAAGATGTTAAAGATCTAAGATCTGTATCACTTTTGTGTTTCTCCCTTCGTTTACCTGACAGGCTGTGATACAAGTTAAATAGTGTTAAAACTAAAAGCGATAATAAACAAAGCTTCATTCATTCATTCATTCAGATCCAGATTAGAATTAGTCAAGTAAGTGGCTCACTGACGTGGTTGACACATGTCATCATATCCCAATTGCGTAGGTCGATGCTCATGCTGTTGATCCAGGGGTGGAAATAACTTTAAAATTGATAGTGTACTCCGGTACAGTGGCACATGTAAAATCACTTGCCCTGATAATTTTTCCACTATACCAGCTGTTTTCTTGTTGATTTTTTAAATAAACAACATAATTAACATTTGAAAGTTAACTGGACACCAGTACAGTGTGACATACAAATTTGCTTGCCCGACAGAAAAAACACTGGAGTCGGACGTCGGGCAATGGGTTATTTCCACCCCTGTGATCACTGGATTGTCTGGTCCAGACTTGATTATTTACAGACTGCCGCCATATAGCTGGAATATTGCAGAGTGCTGCACAAAACTAAACTCGATCGATCAATCAATCAATCAGCCAGCCTACTTTGAACTGACTTGCAGTGAAATTACTCCAATACTATTCAAAGCTAAGCTTAACCAAACTCACTAACCTCTAACATTTGTGAGATCTTGATGTCGATTAACATGAAGAAAACAGAAGAATTCAGGTGAGCTTGACATGGCCTAACATATGTAAATGCAAATCATGTGCAGATATCGAGGGAAGGACAAGGCTGACCGAGCCACAGCAGAACAAGTAATGGACCCACGTACCAGAATGATCCTATTCAAGTTGTTGAGTCGCGGATTCATCGTCGAGATCAACGGCTGCATCAGCACAGGGAAGGAGGCCAATGTCTACCACGCTGAGGCGAGGGATGGACCAGACCGGGCGGTCAAGGTAGGTACATGTACTCATGAAGCTCTACTATTGACAGTGGTGGAAATAACTTTAAAATGTACTCATTAAGCTCACTTGCCCTGATATTGAATCAGCTTATTTTTACATGTACAGCAAAACAACACCGGGTGCCTCTTAGTATCGCAATTTATGACCCCTTTGTCTTACATGTACAACAATGTTTATGACTTGTCTGAAACAATGTTTGGTATGAAAATGGACCATCCAACTGTCGGTGCAGATTCGTCTGTTCCTGTGCAGAACTTAAAAACCTTTCAATATTTCTTCACCAAACTTGGCACATAGATAGGTCTTGTGGTGTACTGGTGCCTTTTGTTGTTTTGGATATCTGAATAAAATATTTCTGGCGTTTCCATGGCAACAAGTTTGACTTACACTAAAATTGGTGTTGGTGATCTTTTCTGGAGCAGAACTTTAAAACCTTTCTATACTGTCCTTCCACTTTGCAATATAGTCGCTGACTTGGTTGACACATATCATTGTATCCCAATTGTGTATATGCTCATGCTGTTTATCACTGGATTGTCTGGTCCAGATTTGATTATTTACAGACCACTGCCATAGAGCTGGAATATTGCTGAGTGTGTCATAAAACTAAAGTAACTCACTGCTATATGTACACGCCAAAACATTTGACCTAGTCTTAACTAATTGACATATTCATGAAGAGTATTGTTGCCATTGCAGGGGATATTGATGACTTTGTCTTGTTGTTGATATTGTGTGATCTATACTTTGTTTACTTTGTGATAAATGTTTGTGTTTAGATCTATTTTCCTGTTTATTGTCAGGTGTACAAGACGTCCATACTTGTGTTTAGATCTATTTTCCTGTTTATTGTCAGGTGTACAAGACGTCCATACTTGTGTTTAGATCTATTTTCCTGTTTATTGTCAGGTGTACAAGACGTCCATACTTGTGCTTAGATCTATTTTCCTGTTTATTGTCAGGTGTACAAGACGTCCATACTTGTGTTTAGATCTATTTTCCTGTTTATTGTCAGGTGTACAAGACGTCCATACTTGTCTTTAAGGACAGAGACAAATATGTCAGTGGAGAATTTCGGTGAGCAAAAGTTTGTACTTAGTTTAAAACAAACAGAATTATGTTAAGGACATCTATAGAAGTGTGGTGGCCTGGCTCTTCAACTTGTTATGGTAGTGACCTTATTTCATTTCACCATATGGGTGTAATGTGTTAAACTTGTTATTAGTGGCATGCCATAATTTGCTTCACAGAGTTACATCCCTTTGGTCTGCCAGAAACCTACAATTGTGATTGTGAGTCCCGGTCTAAGACTTGCTGGCAAACAATGATAAGTTGAGCACCGACCTGACAACTGACCCGTGTTAGCATGTATAAGTGCTGCCCACAGCGAGCGAAGGGGCCCTAGGTTGTCCGCGATCAAGTGTAATGCTACACCGACCACTTGAGTCTCATGAGCAAGGCAGGTGCAGCTACGCGCAAAATCAATTTCCTCGTATGCACTGCACGTGCACTAGCCTACATTTGCTCTACCTTTCACAGACCAAATGGGTTTGCTCATTGCCATGCACCACCTACTTCTCGTAAACACGTTCTCTGCGCCGGTCCAACTTATCCTTGTTTGCCAGTAAGGGCTTATGCTGTCACACAGTGATATGATGGAAATACTGTTCAAAGCACTTTGTCTAATCTTGTTGGTGCATACTGTGATCCTCTGATAAGCTGATTGGATCTTTACTCAGTTTGTGTGTTGTGAGAATCAAAGAATTTGTTGACAAAAACCCAGTAAGATTTGACCACACACAAGCTCTTTTTCTAAAGTGAACAACCTGCAGAAAGTCCATAATTAGGTTATTATTCATGTATGTTACTGACCTATATCTGTTTCATTTCAGGTTCAGACATGGTTATTGTAAATCCAATCCCAGGAAGATGGTGAGAACATGGGCCGAGAAAGAAATGAGGAATTTAATCAGGTGAGTAATGTCACCATTTTTCTTGGGTTATCTCCCTTGATGTGGTTCAGTTTTAGCTTCCAGCTTGTGACACCTGTATTTCCATCAATGCAACCAGTAGCCATCTTCTAACCCTTCTAGTGACAAGCTTGTTTGTGCATGTCGTGTGAATAGGGAACAAGTTCAAAACTGATTTATTATGTCTGTTTGTTTTATGAGATTGATTTGAGATTGCAGACTAATTGCAAAGTCTCACTGATGGCTTGTTAGCTGTTTTCGCCAATTACGTGATATATGAAAAAAACAAATTTAATTTACAAACAAAACAGTTCAGCTGAGGGAAGAGATCTTGTGTTATGATAGTCATCCCTTATTTGTAAACAATGGTCAGTCTGTTGAGATCAACTCCATGCATGGTTGTAGGCTGCCCAGCACAGTGGGGAGTTGTTACTTGTGGCAGTGATAGTGTAGAGAGCTCCACACACAAGCTGCTGCTGTAAGGAGATTGTCTTTAATTGTCAGATTATCTCCCCTGATTGTTTGTTCTTTCAAAAGATGATCTTTTAAATGTACGAATGACTAACAAGTCATAAATCTATTTAAAGTACACAGCTGGAATCTTGACCATTATTGCTTATATTGTTTCCCAGAATCCACCAAGCTGGTATCAACTGCCCCGAGCCCCTCCTGCTCCGGAGTCATGTTCTAGTCATGGAGTTTATCGGGACGGATGGATGGTAAGCTGCGTGTTAGTGATGCTTCATTCAGGCAGCAGGGCAGAGTTAGTGAGTTAGTAGATATTGGGCCGCCTCCGAGGTGTAGTAGTTAGAGCATCCGTCCAGAGAGCGGAAGGTTGCGTGTTCGATCCCTGGCCACGTCATACCCAAAGAAGTTAAAATATGGTACTTGTTCGTCCCTGCCTGGTGCTCGGCATTAATAGGTACAACAAGGATGTAATCCCAATTTTGACCACAAGATCCCAGTTATGTCAATTAAGTTTCTGGCAAAGGTACCTAGTTTGGAATTTTAGAAAATCCTTTCTGATGTGACACAATAAGGCAGGTTAGGCATGCACGCTGAAGAGATGCACCGGCATCTCTTCTCACAAAAACTCTGGTCCTGTGTGGGCTTGGGGGATGTGGAGCGTGCCAGATCAACAACTGGAGTGGTGTTTCAGGGTCGGCATTCACCAGGCAGAATGTCAGGCAGTATAAGCACCAGACATTTCCGACTAGCTTTGTGGTGGCGCGTGGTCCTGCGCACAGAGCTCAGGTCACGAATCAGTTGAAGTTATGCAAAGTCGAGCTCGGACGATCCTTGGATGAGTGACCATGTTTGGCAGCTTGACTCCTGAGAGTTTCTAGGACTTCAGTCCTACGCCACAACGAAGCACAGATTTCTTTTACTCTTTTAGTTTTGACGAGTCTACACATGTAACTAAACATTTTTAATAGAATGGTTTAGTTTCACTGAGAAAATATCCAAAAACATGTAACACTATATCGATTTGTGTAGCGATCCTTTGTTTACATAGGTTGTACGGCTCCACGTGCTGTCATCGATGCTGACGGAGAGCAAACGATGCAGCCAGTTTGATATCTAAATATGTACTGTCATAGACCTAACTGTCGCAGTTGTGGAAGAATATATATGTAACAATGTAAAACATTATAAAGAGAGCGCCGAAGAGGTTTCATGAGTCCAGTCTCTTCTTATTATGAATATGCGCGTTTGATTACAAACAAGAGAAAAGTCCGGTCACGTGATATGCAAATTAGCCTGTTGTAGTGATGTTATGTTAAGTCATCGCTGTGCCGGAGTGTGTGTTGTAACAGGAAACTAATAGCATCAACTTGTCAGACTTATTACAGGCTGCCGTCATACAGATGGAATGGTGCTAAGTGAGTATTACACAACATTCAAAGCTTAACAGGTCGTCACCTACATGTTGAGGGATATATTACAGCAGAGTTTGCAATGATTAGTTCCTGCCTAATGTTGCCATGAGACTGTCAATATGTGTATTAAACCCTAATTCACATGCCTGCCAGGCCAGCCCCTCTGCTGAAGGATGTGGAGTTGTCAGAGTCGAAGGCGAGGGAGCTGTACCTGGACTGCATCCACATGGTGAGGAAGCTGTACCATGACTGTCACCTGGTGCATGCCGACCTCAGCGAGTTCAACCTGCTGTAAGTGTCATGTTTGTTTATTGTTTAACACCATACTCGGCAATATTCCAGCTATGTGGTGGCTGTCTGTAAGTAATCAAGTGTGGACCAGACAATCCAGTGATCAACAGCATGAGCATCAATGATCAATGTACACAATTGGGATAAGATGACATGTGTCAGTAAGCCGAACCACCAGATCATGTTAGTCTCCTCTTACAACAGGCATGGGTTGCTGAAGACCAATTCTAACCAGGATCTTTACGGGTAGTGTCATTGTCCAACTTCACCGTTTTACCCACTATAAGTGAATCTATCTATGTGAGTTTTATCTACTCTAGTTGATCCTTAAAATATCAGGGAAATAATTAGGAGCCAAGCCAACAATAATTCTCTGACAGGGGTGGAAATAACCCATTGCCCCACGCCCGAGACCAGTGTTTTTTTCTGTCGGGCAAGCATATTTGTATATCACACTGTACCGGTGTCCAGTTGACTTTCCAATGTTAATTATATTGTTTATTTAAAAATCAACAAGAAAATCGGCCGGTATAGTGGAAAAATTATCAGGGCAAGTGAATTTACTTGTGCCACTGTACCGGAGTACACTAGCAATTTTAAAGTTATTTCCAGCCCTGTCTGAACACATTTCCTTGTTTCAGATTCCACGAGGGGAAGTTGTGTGTTATTGACGTGTCTCAGGCGGTTGAGCATGACCATCCACATTCCCTCGAGTTCCTCAGGAAAGACTGCAACAACATTACAGGTGAACGATGAAGATGATTTTATAACTCGGAATTTAGTGAGGTCCTCTTCATGCCATGAGGACCAGCTAGAAAGAGGATTGCACAAATTGTCACGAAACCGATTATAAAACTGTGTTCGTGATATCAACCACTGGTTTTTGAAATTGATTATTTGCAGTTTTGGAGATAGTGTTTCTGACTGCGACAATGCAACGTTCACTTAGTGTAGCGGGGAGTCGGCAGAAACCTTAATGGAACATGGCTACTGCTTGGTAGTGCTTGGCTGCTAGAAACACAAAACACTTGCAGGTTGAGAATTAGTGCCATTGTATAGTATTATTACATCTAGAAACTTGAAATTATAAACTCAAGTAACCCAAGTGAGTTTAGTTTAGTTTTATGCCGCACTCAGCAATATTCCAGCTATATGGTGCAGGTCTGTAAATAATTGAGATCACTGGACAATCCAGTGATCAATAGCATGAGCATCGACCTGCGCAATTGGGAACCGATGACATGTGTCAACCAAGTCAGCGAGCCTGACCACCAGATCCTGTTAGTCGCCTCTTTCGACAAGCATGGGTTACTGAAGGTTCATTCTAACCCGGACCTTCACGGGTTCAAGTAACCCAAGACTGTCATTTACAATTGAAACCCTGAAGAAGTTTTGGAAGTGGAAGAATGCCTTACATCATCACAACTGTCGTGTATTTTTATGTGTTTGATCAGGAATCCTTTTGCTTTTATCTATTTCAGAATATTTTCGGAAAAAAGGTGTGTCAGCCATGACAGTAAAGGAATTGTTTGACTTTGTGACTGACATGAGTATCACTGACGACAACATCGACGACTACTTGGACAAGGCTATGGCCATCACAGCCAGTAGGACCCTGGAGGACGTCACAGAACAGGAGAAAATAGATGAGGAGGTGGGAATCCAATTGATTCTATCAAAGAATATTTGGTAGCCTGGTGTGAATGGTTCTGTTATTGCAATAAGAGATCCAGTTGTCAAAGGGTTAATGGACTTGTGCTGGCAAGTGTAATAGAGTTTGAATGTTCCTGATGCACTTTATGATATGCTGTTGGTCTTGTGGTGTTACAATCAAACTTTGTCTTTTGTAGGTTTTCAAAAATGCCTACATCCCGCGAACTCTGGATCAGGTGATAGACTTTGAGCGAGACTTTCGCAGAGCTCAGACTGGTGATGTTTCTCAGGTAAGGGGCTGGTTTACCAAATTTTCTGCTTCATACCCAGGTACCCAGGTACCCCATGTGTATCTTCGGCGCATGTTCCACAGTACCCCATATACCCCTCCCGTACCACTGTACATGAAGCACCTCTCTATCAAGAGTACCTCAGCATCCTACGTACCTAAATACCTCCAGTACCCTGTTCATCAGTGTACCTCAGTACCCCAGGTACCTCATTCATCAATGTACCTCAGTACCCCATTCATCAATGTACCCCATACCCCATTCATCAATATACCTCATTCATCAATGTACCTCAGTACCCCATTCATCAATGTACCTCAGTACCCCATGTACCTCATTCATCAATGTACCTCAGTACCCCATTCATCAATGTACCTCAGTACCCCATGTACCTCATTCATCAATGTACCTCAGTACCCCATGTACCTCATTCATCAATGTACCTCAGTACCCCATTCATCAATGTTTCTCATTCATCCATGTACCTCATTCATCGATGTACCTCATTCATCCATTAGCCCAGTCATCAATGTACCTCATTCATCAATGTACCTGAGTACCCCATGTACAGCACTCATCAATGTACCTGAGTACCCCAAGTACTGGCTTGCCTGGGGTTTTGTTACAGATGACTCTTACACTGCTGAATTAACTCCAGCTCTTGAAGTCTGTTTATCACGTCCTTTCTCTGTGTTCAGGTCTATGTACTACTGAGCCTGTTGAGTGATTGTGTACACTATGTCCTGAATGTCCTGAATGTGTTTACCATGTGGTCAGTTTGAAATATTTATTGCAGGTGCTGTACAGCAAGGTGACAGGGCTGAAAGAGGACTTGACGGGCCCGCAACAGGTTGGTTGATTTCATGTGTCTGTAAAGTGGCGACCTGTGGACAACATGGTCACACAATGTAGATTTGTTAATAGACTCGGTCACTTAGTTGAAATCATGTCATTGTTATACTGATATCTGGGTTGTCCAGCCAAGATTTTATTTGTTGGGGCTTGCAGTTATCACTGTGTTGTCCAGTGTGATGTTGCCATCCGCTGTGATGTTGCCATCCGCTGTGATGTTGCCATCCGCTGTGATGTTGCCATCTGCTGTGATGTTGCCATCCGCTGTGATGTTGCCATGTGATGAAAGATGAGATCCAACTCCTACATGCGATGAGGAATTCTTCTGTCTGATGGCAGTAGCCGTTTCCAGAAATGGTTTCAGGTTTTGATTGACTTTGGTACAAGATGACAACACCCTTGTGGACATGTTGAATGTTTTGCTAGAATAAATTCCTGCAACAAGTTGTCAGTACACCCAGTAATCTAAGATGACACAATAAGCTGAACTGAGTTGGCACACCTGAAACCACTGAATATTGGTGCAAATCTGGGTTCATGTACACGTGTGTCAGCTCTATCACCCTGCTTGTGGGTTTCACCAAAGTGGTAAAGACCTGCAACAATTGCGGATTTCTGCACCTTATGCTGACATGTAGCTGATATAGCTGCACCTTATGCTGACATGTAGATATAGCTGCACCTTATGCTGACATGTAGCGATATAGCTGCACCTTATGCTGACATGTAGTGATATAGCTGCACCTTATGCTGACATGTAGCGATATAGCTGCACCTTATGCTGACATGTATGTAGCGATATAGCTGCACCTTTATGCTGACATGTAGCGATATAGCTGCACCTTATGCCTGACATGCATGTAGCTGATATAGCTGCACCTTATGCTGACATGTAGTGATATAGCACCTGTAGTGTAGTGATATAGCTGCACCTTATGCTGACATGTAGTGATATAGCTGCACCTTATGCTGACATGTATATAGCTGCACCTTATGCTGACATGTAGTGATATAGCTGCACCTTATGCTGACATGTAGTGCACCTTGCTGACATGTAGTGACATAGCTGCACCTTATGCTGATATATAGTGTAGTGATATAGCTGCACCTTATGCTGACATGTAGTGATATAGCTGCACCTTATGCTGACATGTAGTGATATAGCTGCACCTTATGCTGACATGTAGTGATATAGCTGCACCTTATGCTGACATGTAGTGATATAGCTGCACCTTATGCTGACATGTAGTGATATAGCTGCACCTTATGCTGACATGTAGCTGATATAGCTGCACCTTATGCTGACATGTAGCGATATAGCTGCACCTTATGCTGACATGTAGTGATATAGCTGCACCTTATGCTGACATGTAGTGATATAGCTGCACCTTATGCTGACATGTAGTGATATAGCTGCACCTTATGCTGACATGTAGTGATATAGCTGCACCTTATGCTGACATGTAGTGATATAGCTGCACCTTATGCTGACATGTAGTGATATAGCTGCACCTTATGCTGACATGTAGTGATATAGCTGCACCTTATGCTGACATGTAGTGATATAGCTGCACCTTATGCTGACATGTAGTGATATAGCTGCACCTTATGCTGACATGTAGTGATATAGCTGCACCTTATGCTGACATGTAGTGATATAGCTGCACCTTATGCTGACATGTAGTGATATAGCTGCACCTTATGCTGACATGTTGATATAGCTGCACCTTATGCTGACATGTAGTGATATAGCTGCACCTTATGCTGACATGTAGTGATATAGCTGCACCTTATGCTGACATGTAGTGATATATAGCTGCACCTTATGCTGACATGTAGTGATATAGCTGCACCTTATGCTGACATGTAGTGATATAGCTGCACCTTATGCTGACATGTAGTGATATAGCTGCACCTTATGCTGACATGTAGTGATATAGCTGCACCTTATGCTGACATGTAGCGATATAGCTGCACCTTATGCTGACATGTAGTGATATAGCTGCACCTTATGCTGACATGTAGTGATATAGCTGCACCTTATGCTGACATGTAGTGATATAGCTGCACCTTATGCTGACATGTAGTGATATAGCTGCACCTTATGCTGACATGTAGTGATATAGCTGCACCTTATGCTGACATGTAGTGATATAGCTGCACCTTATGCTGACATGTAGTGATATAGCTGCACCTTATGCTGACATGTAGTGATATAGCTGCACCTTATGCCGACATGTAGTGATATAGCTGCACCTTATGCTGACATGTAGTGATATAGCTGCACCTTATGCTGACATATAGTGATATAGCTGCACCTTATGCTGACATGTAGTGATATAGCTGCACCTTATGCTGACATGTAGTGATATAGCTGCACCTTATGCTGACATGTAGTGATATAGCTGCACCTTATGCTGACATGTAGTGATATAGCTGAAATAATGTTCATAGCAGAAATGTACTGGCAAACAAGGATAAGTTCAGCCCCAACCTGACAGTTGACCCATATTAGCATGTTTGAGTGACACCCACTGGCTCTTGCCATTGTTAGGGAAGGGGCCCTAGGTTGTCCGCGATCAAGTGTAGTGTGACTTGCTACACTGACGTGAGTCTTATACGCAAGGCATGTGCAGCTACGCGTGGGATCAATTTCATCATCATGCACTGCACATGCACTAGCCCACATCTGCTCTACCTTTCACAAACCAAATGAGTTTGCTCATTGCCCTGCACCGCCTACTTCTCGTAAACACGCTCTCTGTGCCGGTCCAACTTATCCTTGTTTGCCAGTAGAAATGGATCAGTTAATCTAGTACAATGATGAACTGGATACCCTTGCATTTGGAACAGATTTGTTAACAGAAGGGGCGGTGGAGTAGCCTAGTAGTTAAAGCGCTTTGTTTACAATGTGTGAAGCCCATTTGGTGTCCCCTGCCAATATTGCTGGAATATTGCTAAAAGCGGCGTAAAACTTAACTCAGTCAGTCAGTCAGTGTTTACAGTACTTTGTTGAAGATTAAAATGATAACACTGTGAGCATTGAAAAGATGAATATATTGCATCTAGCATGTTAATTTTAAGCCATAGTTGACAAAGTAAAGCAGTTTAGACCCTGTTATAGTAGAAAGATCTGGCTTAGCAATTATGGTATAGTCGTTCTATGAGCAGGTCTATTCTCCAAAGTCATGTGTGTTTTTAGGAAAGATGAGCAAAACCTTTCTTTGCAAAGGTATGTTAATCTTCCAGGTTGCATGAAGATAAGTCAATCTACTCAATGCGACAAAAACATGACACCCTGTTCACCTCCCCAGTCATTTATTTAATATGATTTTCAGTCACATGATGAACATCGAGATCCAACTCCTACCAGTACAGCTGAATGAGGATTCGATTTCTGATGACATGAATAACACAATACAGCTAACCTGTAACATACATTATGCAGCGTCAAAGATCAGTTTGTCTCAGGTGGTTCAGTCATCTAAGATGCCACATTTTGCTTTGTAAAGCTACATCTCATGGGGACACAAGAAACCTATATGCCAGTATTTGAACCCAGATTTTCATTGATTATATTTCCAAGTTTGGCACTACCATACAGGGGTGGAAATAACCCATTGCCCGACGTCAGAGTCCAGTGTTTTTTTTTCTGTTGGGCAAGCAAATTTGTATATCACACTGTACCGGTGTCCAGTTGACTTTCCAATGTTAATTATGTTGTTTAAAAAATCAGCAAGAAAACGATTGGTATAGTGGAAAAATTATCAGGGCAAGTGACTTTACTTGTGCCACTGTTCCGGAGTACACTATCAATTTTAAAGTTATTTCCACCCCTGCCATACCTGTCTTGATGATTTTCACTAAGCGTAACGTAAAATGTCAATACATGCATTACTTTGAACTTTCCTCACACATAAAGCCACCTAGCTGTGATATGACTGAAATACTGTTCAGTGCATTGCAAGGTACACCCTCACTGAAGAGATCCTTTGTCAGCTCAATACCTGTTTCTGACATCTTTGGCCTTCCTCATTCAACAGACATGCTGTGATATGGCCCTGTGTTCTGTGTGGTGTAATCACAAGGCATTGTAAATTCCAAGCCTGTGCCTGGAGCATATTATCCTGAATTTGAGTTTTGCATTCATCTGATTCTAATCCATGGTCAGCACAATACCTATTTCCAATGTTTTCCCTGCTTCCTTGTTCAGACGACATGCCATGATATGACGACATGCCTTGATATGACACAATACGGTTTGGTGTTTTGACTCCAGGCCTCAATATAAGCTACCAACACTGTGGTCTAATGCAGCGTTTAAAATTCCCGCCTGCCCAACCGCCCGGAACGGTCTATTTTTATCTCGGATGGTCAAATTTCAAAAGTAGCCTGTCCGGTCGCCTGGTAGATATTTTTACCCCTAAGAAAAAATATTTTATAACATCAGACAGGTTCTCTTGCCGCCAGGGGCAGGGTTAGTGGTTAAAGCGTTTAAGGTTCGATTCCCACATGGGCACAATGGGTTAAGCCCATTTCTGGTGTCCCCAGCCGTGATATTGCTGGAATATTGCTAAAAGCAGCGTAAAAACTAAACTCAGTCAGTCAGTCTTGCCGTCAGTTCGAGGTGTTTAAGGTATAATGAAATTCATGTTAAACTACTTTCGATTGGACAGCTCATATTATATTGCGATAACCAATCACAACACATGTACTTTCAGTTTACCTAAACTCGGTGCATTGCCTGTTTGTGCTGTGTAGTTCATTGCGATGCCTACAAACAGTGAATGGAGCTTGCGCGAGTTAGAAATGGCAGTCAGTTTTTTTTTGTTGAAAAAGCGGACAGGCAAGTTTGTATCCGGACTGGTATTTTTTAAAGTTACCAGTCCAGCTGTCTGGCATGGAATTTTGGGAGTTTTAAACACTGTCTAATGTATTAGGTTTGAGCAAGATAGTGGTTCGTTCCCCAGCCATATTCAATTTGTTGTAAAAAGATATGGCTGTTACCCAGCCTGGTGTCACAAGGGAATGAAGTACATCTGGAATTGAACCCTTCTCAGTAACAGCCTGCCACAATCATCAGTTGATGAAGATAGAGATCCAACTCCTACCAGTTGAAACTGAATGAGGATTTCATATTCTGATGATGATACAAGGCAACTGTGGATGAAGCTGCTCCATTATAATCATACAGTTTTAATCAATTATAATTCTACATTATGTTTTACTTGTTCGGCAGGACCCAGATGTGTTGTCCAAGGATGAGGATGTGGAGTCCGAGGGGGATGGGAGTTCATCTGGGTCAGCTGACAGTGAGGAAGAGGATGGAAATAATCTCAACACTCAACGCCCAAGGGATGAATCCCCTGGCAGCAAGAAGGTAATAAACTTTGCTGGACGGAGTCAACTAGTCCGAACTTTCACAGTATATTTTTTATGTATCAACTGTTGTTGTCAGTGAGTGGGGTATTGATGCTTCACTGCGGCATGGTATCTCAGTGGCCTAGCACTATAAAACCAGCTTCAGTCTGGGCTAGTACAAGCAGCCGCACATACACATACACACGCATGCACGTCGTCATATGAGCGAAATATTCTCAAACACAACGTTAAACCCAATTTCACCTCACCTCCCAATCCTGTTGGTCGCCTCTTATGATAAACTAGGGTTGCCATTGACCAGTTCTAACCCAGATCTTCACAGGTTATGAACTGTAGCTTGCTTACTAGCCTTTTACTCCACACCCATGAAGATCTTCATAAGAAGAAGGTTAGAATTGATCTTCATTGACTCATGCTTGTTGTAAAATGCGACTAACAGGATCAGGTGGTCACGCTCGCTGACTTGGTTGACACATGTCATTGTATCCCAATTGCGTAGATCAATGCTCATGCTGTTGATCACTGGATTGTCTGGTCCATACTCGATTATTTACAGACTGCCGCCATATAGCTGGAATATTGCTGAGTGCGGCGTAAAACTCACTCACTTATCACTCAACTTATGCTCATTTGTAGGCTGAATGATTGAGAATGAACTGAAGAAAAGGATACACACATTTATTTTGCATTCACCTGAAGTGGACTTCATCTATGTATGGGAATTTCACATTTACCAGCTATATGTGTAATGAATTGTATGTAAATATACCATGAAGCCTAACACATGTTAAAAGAACACATTTCAGCGTCAGACTAAAAGTCAACCAATCAGTGTTCAGTGTTCAGTGTTAAAGTAAAGCAACTTGTGTTTCAGGAACGCAAGAAGGCTGTGAAAGAAGCTCAACGGGAAAAGCGGAAAACAAAAGTCCCGAAGAAGCATGTTAAGAAGCGGAAAGAGAAAATTGGTCAACAAAGAAATGTAAAACGCTGAAGTCTTGCAGCGGGCACTCTACCATGTCTTTCAAGTGTTGTTAACCCATTAAGTTACGGGTTAGAATGTATCTTCAGTAACCCATGTTTGTCGTAAGAGACGACTAACGGGATCGGGTGGTCACGCTCGCTGACTTGGTTGACACATGTCATCGGTTCCCAATCGCGCAGATCGATGCTCATGATGTTCGTCACTGGATTGTCTGGTCCACACTCGATTATTTACAGACCGCTGCCATATAGCTGGAATATTGCTGAGTGCGGCGTAAAACTAAACTCACTCATTCAATTGTTGATACAGGGAATCATGACGTTCCAGCCAATGAATTCTTGTCATGATAACCTCAATAACAGGTTGTCAGGTTGTCTCAAGTATACCAGTTTTAAGGCGCCTGGAGCATATTATATTATCTTCTGTTTGAGTCTCCCATTAACCTGGGTCCCTATTCTCGAATGGATCCTAGCCCTAGGATATCCTAACTTATGACAAATACTAGGATAGGTTTTGACTTCTCCTAAATAAATCCTAGACAAAACAACATGGCATTGTACTTGTTTGTTCATGCGGTGTTCGGGTGTAAGAATGTCAAAAAGAAGAATGCAGAAAGGATATATTATAACAGGACTGTGCCCTTGATTTTTTGACAATGTGGAGAGAATCGATACCATCTGTCGAGGTGAGCGAATCGGGAAGTAACAGAGCTGTGTCGGCCCAACCTAGAGAGAGCCACACAGCGTTCAAGAGCCCTACAAGTACTTATAACCCTTAGATACAGAGGGAAGGGTGGATTCCAGTCCGAGTTGGCTGTTGACATTTTGATGTCTGCTCAGGGATTTCCCAAAAAACGTGATGTCATATGGGAATTCCCATCTTGCTGACTGAAGAGCTCGTTATCTTCGCTAGGATCGTTTTGAGAATTGGTCTTATCCTTACGGTAGGATGTCCTAACTTCTGTCTTAACTAGTTAGGATCTGTCTTAGCTAGGACACTTTCGAGAATAGGCACTAGTGTTGGGAATCGGAAACCAAATCAACTATCGATTATCGGAGGACTTGTAACGATTATTGATTATAATCGAAATATATTTTTACTGTAATCACCAATTTTAAGGGTTCTTTCCCAGTTTTTTTCTAATTAATGTTGTTTATAACTAATACTGTCATGCAATGAAATGCACACATGCAAGAAAGACACTGGAATTGTTATTAAACAATAAAAGTGGTTAAAATTTTACAGTGCACATTGCTCTGTGCTGTTGAGCACATCTGTTTGTGAATAGTTGTCAAATTTAATGGCTAGTTTACTTCATTCAAGACAACAACAAAATTCCGCTGAATCGGAAAAAGTTTTTTTTACAATTGATAATCAGTTTTAATCCTTCTTTCAATCAATTTTCGATTATTTTCGATCATTGGAACACCACTAATAGGCACCCAGCTGATCGTGATCAGTGGTGTGCCAAAACTAAATCAGTCCTCGTGGGGTTCATCAGTAATTGTTGCAGGCACAGATGGTCATCTGAAGTTGACGTCTGATTGTGATTTTGGTGATGTACATCCTGATGTTTCCAAGTTTGTCAGCAACATACGCATGCTCAATGTTTTCAAGACAGTAATCTAAGACCTACATCACTTCAGGCTTTCCACAACATCAAGCATGATAAAACTGAACTCCATCGTGAGACGAGTGTCCTCTAGCCTTTATCACAGTCTACTTTTTACATAAATGCTACTGGACGCTCTCAGGTGATTCAAACATGAAATACTGTTACAGGGGCTTGAAACCGAAGTAAGTCACTCACTTTTGATAAGTGGTTGTTAAGAGTAGTACTAGCAGGTAAATAACCCAATAAAGACGGCCATTTTGGGTTTTTTTATGACCTCATTATGCACCTGCCTGACCTCTTTAGCCAAGTTAAAAAAAGATAACTGACCTAGTTAAACACCTGGTCTAGATGAACAAATGAGTATTGTCTCATTCTAACTTTAGATATGACTCTAATACTATTTTTAGATATACAGGGATGCGAATCACACCGAGGTTGATCTCTCATGGGGATCTTGCTAACCCGAAGAAGGCCTTTCGGGTTGTCGTGTCGAGCTGGGTCAACTTCTTACCTTTTATCTGTAGCTTCGTGACTTCACGTCCGAGGCCAGGTAGAAGTCTTCATCTATCTCAGACACCTTCATAAAATGGTCCATGTTATGATGTCGAAATCTTCGTGCACTGAAAGGTGGAGTATGTTGCCCCTGAGTCCAGGTACTGTGTTGGGTCAGGTGTGAATGCCACTACCCGCCCGCTGCCCCCTCACGACATCGCTGATCCGTCTGTTCAGCTTCTTTCTCTTCAGAGGCAGCATCTGCGACCAGACAATTGTGGCCGCTGGGCAGCGCAGGCGAATATATAACAGATCCCCATGCATGCTGTCGTAGAGGGCTTTAGCAGGGACCTCACACAGGTCATTAGAGCCAAGATGAATCAGCAGAAACGACCTGCATGGGCCCCTCGCCCTTATCAGCCCGTCCACCCTGCTGTGCAGGTCTGCCCACTTGAGGCCCTCCTTGGCCGGCCAAATTCCCCCCCCCCCCGGCGAGGCACAGGCTACTTCGCTGCAGCCTCGCCATATAACTGGAGCCAATGAGCCACGATGGCCCTTGATTGGTGGATGAAATAATACCACCCAGGTCACTTTTTGTCCTTTTTTTTCAAATTATACATAAAACACGTACAATATAAAAAGATTACAATGTATACAAAAATAACAATACAAAGAAACAATAAAATATATAAAGTAACAGTAACAATATATACAATACTAGAAATCATTAATTATCCCCCGCTTCGCGCTATAGTATCAGGCTCCGTCTGTCCGTCCGAATTGGAATATCTTAAGAACCGTTGACTAGATTTTATAACAATGTATCCATGGTGAAAAAAATTGATTTTCCCCCTCCTGTTACCATGAGAAGAATAGCCACTATTTTCATTTCATTTGTTCAAGTTTCACAGTTATCCAGTAGTTAGGCAACACTATAGAGTGATTCCCAAATGTGTGGATCAATCTGAAAATGCCTGTCACCATCATATTTTTGGCAAAGGTTTTGAGGTGGTGCCTAAGACATTGTCGGTGTCATACCAACCCTTGTCTTTCAGTTTTTGGGGCCAAAAGAAGCAGTTCCTTTGCCGATTCGATGCATGCATTCAGTGTACTAGTCACTGTTATCCACATTTTCAACAAACCCTGGATATGATATGTCGTCATGTATACAAAAGTAACAATATGTACCATACTAGTAATCATTAATTCTAGTTTCTACTGTCTACGATATACCACATTTTTTCCTTATCCTGACTCATGTATTATTGCTTGTCTCCCTCTTCCCGCGAACGTTAGTGGAACACTTTATCTCCTTTTTGAAGCTCCCTTCAAGAAAGCAGACGTAAAATCACTACTCACCACGAGTTGTCTCCCTCTCCGTTTTGGCGGGAAAACGGCGCCACCCGTCTGCCCACTCTTCACTCTCTCCTTCGCCCTAGTGGGCAGTTGGGAGAGCATGCATTCAGTGTACAAGTCACTGTTCTCCACATTTTCAACAAACCCTGGATATGATATGTCGTCATGTATACAAAAGTAACAATATATACAATACTAGTAATCATTAATTCTAGTTTCTACTGTCTAAGATTTACCACATTTTCATCCAATTTTGGAAGGATTTACCACTTCTAAAGTTTCATTTGTACAATACGGGATGGTTCACAAGAGTCAAAATTGATTTGACTGTTCTTAGAATTGAGATTAAAACCTCTCACTTTGCTGGATTTTGTTTTATAGGCATGATGCTTTCTTTGGTTTTGTGACCCGAACCTGCAAGTTTGCTGTCACGGTTCAGCATTTCCAAATACTCGTCAAGTGCAATGTTGTTATTTTTGCCCCCTCGCAAATTGACAAATCGATTAGCCACTAAACGCTCTGTTTGCTCTGCTGGTAAAGTTCCTGAAGTGATGGCAGTTAAATGGACTGAACCTATCTCTTTCATGACCTTGTTGGTTTTGTTGTACAAGGGTAGCTCGCACTTAGCTGATCGAACAGATCCACTGCCATCGGCCATGTCAACAACTCAACAGTGCCCTGACTAGATAATTTTTTGGCTTGATCATGTTTGTTTTCCCATTTACCTTTACCTGTCCCCTCGACCTACCTTCCACTATCCACCTGTTTCTTACCTTTTGGGCTTGATGAGGTTTTGCTTTGCCTTTACTTTTGCCTTTCCCTTTTCCCCCTACCTGCAGGATTTGGGGGGTGGGGCTGGGTGTTGTAATCTGTAGGAATTGACGCCGTGACAGGTTCCTCAACGTTTGGTGTACTACTTGCTTGCTTGATAACACCCTCTACAAATGCACACTCCCTAGCAGCAGTAAGGGTGTTTTTGAGCATAGTATTTATGTGCTTTTTTGGCCATGTGCAAGATAGTCACTGGCCATCTTATGTTCTGCAGCATCATTGGGATGCTGCCTTGCCACTTCAGTCTCCAAAGATTTCCGAACATCCGTAGTTGCATATCTCCTACTCTTGTTTTCATCATTGGTTTAAAGTAAACCTCTTGTCCTCTGGAATGGGGCCAACTCGATGGCCATGTTTTCCAATTTGTTGCCGTCAACTGTCCTGAAGAAAAGTGACTTTTCCGGCTGGCTGTCTTCAGTCATGTCACCACGTATATACCGGCAGTAATCCTTGAACATGTTGTACTCCTCTTTGGTCAAGGTTATGCTGACCAGGACCCTTGTGGATGTTTTGTGGTCCGTGAAAGACAATTGATGATTTGACTGCTGGTTGAATTGAGAGTAAAACCTCTCACTTTTCATGTTTCTTTGCCGGATTTGTTTTATAGGCATGATGCTTTCTTTGGTTTTGTGACCCGAAACTGCAAGTTTGCTGTCACGGTTCAGCATTTCCAAATACTCGTCAAGTGCAATGTTGTTATTTTTGCAGTCAGAAATTATTTTAACGACAATATATTTAGTAACAGTAAAAAACACCCAAACAGGAAACGATATATACAATGCTAACAAATATATACAAAAGTAACAATATATACAATGCTATAGTACTATCGGAAAAAAACCCCTGTATTTTCTCATTTATCTCTACAATTTATGTAATTGATATGTGAAAATGTGAAATATCTGTTAAACTTAGTTCGGTCTTACTACAGTCTCAGTGGTAGAGAGATAGGAAACAGAGAAAAAGGACTTTACTGAGGGGAAATTAGTGCAGAAAAGAGCACTGCGGTTTTTTTCTAAGTCCAAAAAGACTTATTTGGAACAGACCATGGCTTTATGCAAATTAGTGTGCGTGTTCTTTTAAGTTCTGCTCCTGCTCCATCTGGGGCCCCCTTCCCGTGACCAGCCTCAAAAAAAGTTCCAACAAGCTTCATTAAAATACCAAAAGACATCTGATGCAGAGATGCCAACCTTTACAAATGGACAAGAGGAATAATGATATGACCACACAGTGGTCACCTGCAAAACAAGTAGCAATTTTTTACAAACTTGGCCCTCAAATAAGCTATTTTAAGGCCTTTGGGGGTCTTTTTTCACTAAATTTTCACTCCAACTCAACCAACCATTCATACTGTAAGATTGCTATCCAATTCATATTCAAGACATCAATGACCAAAATAAGAGGTTCATTTGTAACTTTTTAATGGACTTCTAAATATTGATAAAACTGTATATCACTCTTATAGTCAGCAATACATTTTTCACAGAATTATCAACCTTGAGATTGTAAAGAAAGAAATGGATGGTGCACAAAAGATCACGTTTCAGAAAGATTAACAGTATGCAATACAAGACTGTTCAGTTGGATCAGAATTTCATATGTTGAATTGACCAACATGGATCATTTCATGGAGTTCATTTTACAGTCACTTTAATGCCTGATAAGTAGCACTCTTTGCCTTCTTGAGAAGTTCACTAGAAGGGGTGGCAGAATAGGCTGTCTCCCCCTTGGCCAGCACGTTCACTTTATGAGTGATCAGTCCATTTAGAGAGACAGTGGTCATGTTTGGTCGAAACTTGGTCTTATCTTTAGTCACCAGACTAAAAATACGCTCACAGTCTGCATTGGAATGAAAAATGACAACTGATGTCATGACGTGGGCCAGTTCCTTGTACTTGAGCTGGATGGTGATGGCGCTTCTTAGTTGTCCAATGGCAGACCAAGCCTCGTCTGTCCGCTTGTGAATGTCCACAATATCTTCTGGCAATGGCCTTCTCAAAGGCTTAAGATCTTCAGACTGTACAAGTTCATTGTAAGTCTGAAGATCTTGAGCCTTTAAATTGATAGTGTTTTCCTCAATGGCCTTCTCATCTACGAAGTACAGAGCAACACCTGTTCTTGCATCATTGAGTCAGTAATGACCTGTACAAGGGGGATTAAGTTTAAAGATTCATGATATGTTTTCATTTGAAATTTCCTCATTAGATGAAAGGGGTCAACTGTTTTGATTTAAGTGGAGAACCTATTAAATAAATGAAAAAATTGAAACTATAAAGTATGTGTTAACTGTTGTAATGATCCCATTACATTCTTTTGTTAAATGTCATCTAAAAAGTCCTGCCCCATATTAGGTCATTGTGGCAATATGACTGGACTGGTAAAATTTGTTACTTCACAGAAGGGTACACCACCTTCTTGACGGGTATCTGTACAACAGAAACAAAGTGAGGCAGACCTGCACACACTGGCGATGTGTCATCACTGCCTGTGCTGGCAAGTGCACCACTGTGGGGGACTTGCTGGAATGTTAGTGACTATATTCATTAGGGCTGCGCAATACAACCGGTTTACCGGTTCAGACATGAAAACGATACGTATTGCAATACGCTGATCGAAAACCGGTATTTTGACTTGCATTCGGAAAACTTCGTAACATTCGGAAATTTTCGGATATGTCCTTGTTTCATTTGTGCCAAATATTATTCACATTTTTATTTTATCATGATTAAAAGTTGTTATTAAAGCTTAATCAAGACTAGTGGTTTTGTTGTGTTTTTGCTCTATAAATTAAGAAGTAACTTGATTATAAGTACTTTTTGTTTAAAAATACTTCATGCAATATATTGCAATACTTATCGCAATACATGCTTTCGCATCGCAATATAACAAATTCTCTGCAATACCCACCCCTAATATTCATCCCCGTGAATATGCCAAGAATGTTCATGGTCAGTAATAATGACCATTAAGTATTACGTTATGTCCTTGATAAATGCTGATGTCAATACAAATATCATATTTTAGGGACATTTTGTGGAAATGCTGTGTTTAATATGCCAAGAATTGACATGATCAACATAGTACCATATTTATTATGTACTATTTATTTTTTCATCTCTGTTGAACTTCTAATAAACATGCTGAATGAACATAATGTCGTAATTGATTCTTCTGGACTGATCCATTATAAGAAATAGGTTTCAGCTTGAGGATTATAGTTTGGCATGAAATGCATGTGGACCCGTTTTTTTGTAAATATCTCTACATCCAATGACCCAATCGATCCCAAACTGTGCAAGTGGATGTTTTGTCAGACAACCTATTCACATTGTAAATCACCGATTTGATGCATTTGTATTAAAGAATCTGTCTATGTAACTGTCAACAAAATAAACAGCAGAACTCAGACTGCTCTGGAGGGAGCCATGTTATTGGCGAAAACGGAACCAATTCTCTCTGGCGAAAATGGAACCACATTATTAAAAAAAATAGGGACACCAAAACACTAGTTTTTTATTTAACACGATCATTTTATCGCATCAATAACAATACACTGATGTGGTTTATAAAAGGATTCTAATGCCTTACCCGCAAAACAAAGGTGTAACCTAAGTGGCACACAAGTTTCTCTTTCCCCTTCTGGGATTCCGTCTGCACCAGAGAGTAATTTGCTTCTTGGATAGTCGGAACTGGAGGTACTTTCTAGGATGGATCTGTAATTACATTACATCACATCACAATATCATTTCATTACATTACATTACATCACAATATCATTACATTACATTTACTTTATTTCTTCAAATTACCGTTCTTGTGTGATATCTTGGTCATCGGGAATGTAAGCTGAAGAGATGTTTATATCAGACAGTTCTGGGACTCTGGTCTCGGGACCCTGCTCCATTTCGGCCGGCTGGTTCTCTGGCTGGTCCGACAGCAAACTTATCTGTAAGTTGATGCCTGTCGCTTCAATGAGTTCATCAATTGTATCTGAAGGCCTTGAACATTTACTGCAAAGGAAGGGGTAGTCCTCGCTGCTTGAACAAAGCTCCCTGTATCTATGGACGCTGAGGCCAGTGCCACAGGTCCTGTGTGTCCATCCTCCGCATCCATCACAAGTGATAGCGTGTTAATTTCGGCGGACAGTCTTCTCGCAAGTCAAGCACCTAACAGCCATTGTCGCTTGTACATTTTGACGAATGACCACGTCTGACATTGAGTTGTAACAGAGCAGTCATGAGTTGTTTTAATGAAGCTTGTCAACCCATCAAAGACGCCGCTGTTTTCTTTGGAATAATATGCATGAGGCGTGTTCATTAACTAATGTTTATAAAATGTTTTGATAAGTAACATGTTTATACTTGTAGCCTGTGCATTAAGTACCAAGAATAAACTAATAACTGCATTAAAAACAACAAGTTCTTAATGTTTTGAGAAGAGACAAGTTTATTGTTTCAGCCGATAGATGTGAATGGAAGAGTCAACCATGTCAACAGCAAGTATCCATTTTAAATCATTATCGTTGAGCACTTTATTATACAACGTTGCCAATATTATACATAGGCAACGTAAAGTTTTATTTATACATTTAATTTAGAGCTACTATTTAATTGATAAAATTTTTATGCTTCCGTTTTCACCAAGTCAAGGTTCCGTTTTTGCCAATTTGATTCCGTTTTGGTTAGTACCGTTTTGGCATGGTGACGTTTTAGCTATAACCCAGCAAAGTCCACAGAACCTCAACAACACAGCCATGTAGTCTAGTGGTAGCACTTCACTTAGTTTGGTTTCAATTATACTTCAGTATCTTGTGTATAAGAGACGTTAGGGGTGGGTATTGCAGAGAATTTTGTGATATATTGCGATGCGAAAGCATATATTGCAAAAAAAATGTTTAACAAAACAACTATGTCTATGTAAATCACAAACCTTTTTCTGGGACCAAGGTAATGGAGTTCACATAGGTGGCCTATGCTTAATACAGCCATGTTGTCTCTTTGTTCTGTTGGTTGAATGAAGATGGGTTTGTTGGCTATGGTTGTTATTACTCTGATGGTGACCTGATAGTCTCCAAATGCCTACAGTGTAGAATAAACAAAGTAATGCACCAGTGATTTCAAGCAGCAGTATCTTCTCCCCATTACATAAATGGAACATTCCAACAGACAAGGTGGACAAATGCCTACACAATGAAAAAATGCTGGGTTTTTTCATATATTTGTGAAATGGAACAATAATTGAATTCATATCTTTACATCTGACAGGGTCTAATATCTTTACATCATCTTATGCATATTTTGACTGGCAAAAAGTCTGAGAATTTGTTTTACTCCATCTTCACTAGTCGACCAACAGCACTGAGAAAGTCGAAGGGAGCCTTCACACCAGCTCGTAGCTGATCCTTTAGTCTATCAAGCCTGCTGTCAATCTCCTTGTACACACGACGTCGTGGCGGTGGTTTAGCTCCATGGATGAACTGAACAAGCTTGTTCCGTTCGGTCTTCTCCAGCTTCTGAAGAACCTTCACCAACGCAAAGGTATTTGGATGAGCTCTCATGACGACCTAGTTCAGATGGGAATGCCACCCCTCGAGATGGTTGTTTGTGCGAGTTGATACAGGCTGGCTGTTGCCTGTAATATTGTGTTGTCACCCCTTTTCCCCACCATTTTCATTTTTTGTCACATAGTTCCTGAATGTTGGATAATATTTCTTATCCAGGAAGTCTTTGAATACACGTTGCTGGCCCTGCAACATGATTGGCTTAGTGTGAGGAGTAGCAGAGTAAATACTGTCTTACTTTTACTTCACCATATTCAAACATGTATAGCAAGTGGCATATTAATGTTACCACACATGACACAATTTTATGTTATATGTTCTGTTAAGTATCACCTTTCAAGTTGAAGACGGAAAACATGGAATTTGCTCTGGATCAGTGCCCCTTTATACATTAGAGTTTTCTTATGATAAATGTCTCTTACGTGTTTTATTAAAATTCAGATGCTTGAATTGATTCAATTAGATGTGATAAATGCTATCATAAATATAAGTATCATAACCTGCTCGTATGTCTATTTTAGTCAGAGCAACACTCTTTGTACATTCCTGATTTTTGTAACTATATAGCCAACCAGATCTAAGTTTAATCAGTTGCTTGCAACAAAGAATTGCCTTGGGGTGCTTGGGGCTGGGTGAAGCTCTCCTGGGCAGCTGGCAGAACCTCTGAGGTGCACACTGACTGTCCGCCTTGACGCGCTATGGAAGCAGCCAATGTTGGCTGAAATGGGAGAGAGAGAAAATTTAATTTTCAGTCTTGAGGGGTGGTACATGCTCAAAGGGATCAGGGGTCACAGGGATCATGAACAAATCATAAAAATGATTCCATCAAAATTACCAAATTAGCTATTTTGGAGTGATTTCTAGTGACTTTTACCTGCCAATGAGTATACTCTTAACAACAGCGCCAAACCCCCCTATTGGTATTGGTGGGGAGGACAGGCTTTCTGAACACATGTAAGCTGGTGAAGGTGTTGGCATAGTGTTTTTTTGGGGGGGGGATGCTTAATATATTCATGATGGCTTAATACCAGAAACTAATAAGTTTACAATGTGAAGGAATTCCTCTGGGTACTTCAGATACAAGACCCAAAATGCAGAAAAATGTGTTGTCATTCTAGGATACCCTGAGGATATGTCTGAATATATTTCTTTTCAAAATGTGTAGTGAGTGATAGCCATAGGGTAGCATTACTTACCTGGGTAACCTGTCCGACATTAGTGCACTATTAGAGTTGACCCACTTTTGACATGTACGGACATAGCTTAATTAGATGTGGCAATATGCATTGTGTAAGTATTAAGTCGGCTGACAAGATATTTTACTGTGTTTGGTCGGATTGCTATGAAAAATTAGGACTGCGCAAAGACATGTCATATTTTGATCACAGTTCCACCGTGGATGTTCTCGAGATGACTTTCTTGCTTCAACTCCGCCAATGCTACCCATTGGAAGGTGCATCTCAAAACTTCAATAGGACATTATATTGAGTGAACGGCCCATATACTACATATTTACATATACCTCATATGCATATTGTGGTTGAGACATTGCAGAAGGCAATGACAGACGAAGAGGCCTGTTATTCAGGCATCCATTCTATCCACAAGTACTGCGGAAAATACGGTTGTATGTGACGTAGCACACATAAGCTCCGCCCACTAATGACTGTTAATGTTCATTGTGGACTTAAGAGCAGCAACGACGTAAGCGGCACATTTTCTGTCCAAGTTCTCTTTTCATAATTTGCTTTAGAGCATTACCGCCACTGACACTAAACCATCTACCAACATCCTGAAACATTTTTTTTAATTTCAATTCATACCATGGCGACACGCTCCCCTGGGCTCACTTAACATGAACAGGATTGATGTAGCAGATTGATTACGGTAATGCCCCGATGGTGTGACAAGGTGGTGTACAAATGTCCATCATCAGATCGTCTAACACGACAATCATGTTTTTGTGGGACTGGTTGCTGCATGTCGGCGTACAGATCCTGCCACACACTGTAACAGTACACGATCAGGTAGGGTGGCTTAGCAAAGACTGTACTGGCATTCTCTAATAGGCGTTTCGTCCTATAGGTTTTCCCACTACATGTACCCCCCGGTAATGGATAAGGTGGTAGGTGTGACGAAAGGGAGCAAACATTTCTCGGACATGGTGTTCGCTTATAGAGTGTCTGTTTAAGCTGATACATGGTGTTGCTGATGCAGGTTATTTATGCCTCCCTCAGTACGAGCGCCCGTTGTTGTTGTCGACGTCTAGCCAGTCTTTGGAGAGCTCTTTGGACTTCATCTCTCTGACGTGTCTGATATGTTCATACTTGAATATGAACTGAATCAAGGGAGTATGGTTTAACAGGGTTTGCTTAATGCTTCTATTCGTTGTCTCAGGTCGAGCGAAATGTCGCAACATTCTCAAATAATTGTTGTGGGGATTGGGCTGCAAGAAACGATGCTGCTCACCACGTGTCACCAGTATGCGTGCATCGAGCAATCGTTTTACGATGGCTTTGGGACCCTTGATTTGTTCGTCATTCATGCTGAGAATATCGCGCAAGGTTTCTTTGTAATCATTCAGTGAAAGAAGTTCTCTGAAAAACGTGTAATGTCTCAGCACGTATCTCACCATGTCTTGCTCGAACGGTGTCACTCTCTAGAATGATACGTACTCGTGATACCTCAGTCTTAAATAATCATACAACCATACAGACAGATCATATATAGAACAACTGAAACACAATAGACATTTTCTCTATTTATTGACAAATCTATGGTTATACAGGAACAAAGATCATGTTATATCGTAAATAAACTAATTCTTGAGCACTGATTTCAACTCTTCTCTCCCTTTTGAAATTGCCGTTTTATCTGAACTAGCTGCTTCACCCTGATGGGTTTTTTGGGAGAGAGAGAAATGAGATTTGAAACGTGACAGCCAACCACGTGAATAGGAAAAATCCGAAATGCCAAGTTGTGTGCCAAACAATTCCGCTTTCTGAACAATCATTGCATCATTTACTGCAGCATTTTTGCTATTCAAGTCATTAATCCAAAGAATGAGGGCTTCTTCCAAATTTTGGTGTTTTGCATTTCTGGCACGAGAAATAGAGGCCGAATCTTCTGAAAGTCCTAACCATTTATCTTTAGATTTCAAAATGTCCCCAATTGTAGATTTACCAATGGCACGTCCAACAGATTTTTCGAAATGTTTGCTGATATGGTCTAAACTGGCTGAAGGATGGCGTTCTTTAAATTTACAAATTTCACGCTTCTCAGCTGCAGTCATGAGAAAATATCTGGATTGAATGGCCATATGCCAGTGCAGTGATAACCATTGTTGGCTTTAAGCACCGTCGGTGTTTTTCGCTGTAAGCATCCTCAGATAGTTCGGCCATTTCAAACACTGATCTTCTCTTTTCC